CCTGTTTTGTATTGCTTGTCACGTTGCCAGATGTTCAACTTACAAGGAGCAGCCAAGATTGGCCCGGTTCGCCTTTTTTATATTATCCTTATTCCAGTTGCCTAATTGCAGGCAGCGCTGTACGTGTGCCCGTGGCAATTAAAATTGCTCACATCCTGCACGTTCGTCCTTAAAGGCAATTAAACGGTTTTAATTAGTTTTAACGACAAGTATTTTGCACTCTCATTTGTCACTGGTCAGAGGGTCTATTAGTGGAATGAAGGGTGCTTGGGTTGCTGATGGGAAAATTGCGGTTTGGGCCGCGGTCAAAGTTGTTCAAACTAATTGGAGAAGAGGATCGTATTTAGAACACGAAAACTTTAACCTAGTTCCTTAATGAGAAAGCTTATAAACTTATTACAAGCTGTCAAATCATTAAAGACTTATTTTTTGATACAAAAATAATACAATTATCTTTGCAATCTTTTAAATATTGTTAATTTGAAAATAGGTTGAAATTAGAAGTACCTACATATGTATATATAAATTATTTTTTTTTTTTTTGTAAAGCAAGCTACTTTAAGCTTTAAAAACAAGAAAGCAAATCTAATAAACTTCAGTTTATTTGAACATTTTTAACTTAAACACTAGATGTTTCTTATGAGATTACGTCAATATAGGTCTCTGAAATAAACTGCTATTTGTGCATTCAGAATTCACTTAGTCGGTGCAGCTGAGAGAGCACAAGTATCCAATTGTTTAGCCAGAATAAGCCAATTCCACAGCCACATACTCCAAGCAATGATGAACAATCCAATTTAATATATTGAGAGACAATTTCTAATGCTGTCACCTCCCCTTGGCTCATCAAATTCGTCTGGCAAAACCCCATTTGATATAGTCTATATATCGTGGCTCCTTTTCCACTCCCACTGAATGTCTGTCATGTTTGTTTGCCCGCTGTCAAGTGTTTCATGTGCTTTTCAAATGTATATCTATATATACTGACATATATTGGCAACACTTGCCTCAGCTGCTTTGGAAACTCGTCTCCCGATTCGTCTGGATATATCGCCCCTTGAGAGAAACATGTCGAGACACTTGTTGTCAATGAAAGATGTTCGAGTACCGCTTTCATATTTTCCATTGCCCCTCGAAACCCACTTCAAAATCAACCGAAAGATTATTGAGTTCAATACCTCTCCACAGTAAATTAATGTTTATTGCATTTTATTAGGCATATCTAAATGGGAATCTGGCTGATTTCTTTATGGCCCCCTCTAATCACCATCAAAAATGCCCCAATTAACATGCTCAGACGAGCAGACATAGTCAAGGACTCTCCATGGAAAATATGGATGTAAAAGCCCGAAAAAATAATTGTTCAGGCCGTAAAAAAAGAAAGAGGGGAAAAAAACAATAAAGGACCACATGTTTGGCTGCCAGGACAACGAGCCGCACGTATTTCTGTGTGTGTATGTGGGCCAGGAACACGTTTAAGTGGCCCAGAGAACAACAATAGAGGCCAAAACGAGTGAGTGAGAGGCTGCAAAACAAATTAACAAAGTTAAGGGGAGGCAAAAAAATATACACAAATTCCCCACGCTTCATAGAGATCACGAATGGAGCACTTCGTTTAGATACACTCCTATCAATATTCATCTCCTGCAGAATCACAGGACTTCAACAGGGCAATTCAATCAACGCAAACCCCACAACAGACAGCCGTCAAAGGGGGGCAGAAACCCCAAAACATATTTGCCAAATCAAAAATTGCACTCAGCCATACAGCACATCGCCCACACACAGCTCCACTCAACTACAATAAATTCGATTTTATAACTCGCTGCACGTTCCCCCGATCTACTGACCTCCCTCCACAAAATGCAAATGGTTACGAAACTTTTCCCAAAAATCAAAATAAAAACAAATAAAATGTACGAGAGATTCAAACGCATCAACAACAAAATTGTCTAGTGACTTTTACCAGCGATGGAAAATAATTGAAAAACGATGTAAAAAAAAGACGAGAAATAAAATCAAAATATCAACCGAAATGGAATGGAAACTATTGCCAAAAACGCCAAACATCGAAAAAGAATATAAACTTGTTCAGGGCAAATGTTGTGCCAACGGCAATATGAAACTGTCCCATTCCAAAAAAATGGATTGATGGCAGCAACCGCAACTGAGGCAAAACTAAAACTAAATGGACAGTGTTGAGGGCAAGAAGCTTCTGGCGAGTGCTTTCAAATAAACAAAATTGCCTCTACAATTCGTTCCCGGACACTTGACCATGACCTTAGGACAATTTTCACACGGCCAGCAACACACACTCAAGCGAATCGAAAAAAAAGCGGAAAATGTGTGACTGCCAAAGACAAACTTCGCAAAAATGACTTCTGAACAAGTTAATGCTCTGCAAAAATATTTTACAAGAATTTTGTTCTTAGAATTTGTCGCTTACAGTGAGTTTTATCATACAACTCCAACTTATTTATTCAAAACTATGCCGTTTTTTGATAAGTTTAACAAATAAATTCCTTGCAAACATATTACTTATTACCTATACTTTTTAATAATTTGTTTTTTTTAAGGTTACTTTAAAGTTTTTGTCTAATGAAGTTTTGGAAATGTTAACACAATCTGCCTGAAAAAATCCTCCCCCAAAGTATGCAATATTCGCTAGCAAAACTTTCTCTTTGAAAGGCTGTCGCGTTTCCACCGAAAAAACCATAAGGAAAAGGGTCCATGAAGTGGTGAGCGCACATAACTTCATCAAGTCTGGCCCGAACTCAGTGGCTCAGATACAAAACTACCTCGGGCCTCAAAAGAAATGGTGGAACATCATAACAGAGGAAAAGCATACGCCACACATGATACTTACAAAGTAGAGCAGAAATTCTGTTGGCATGCCCCACAAAATACACACACTCACACACACTTGCAAACACTTCCATTATTACATTTTTCACGCCAATAAAAACAAATACAGAAGGCGATGGAAAAACTTGGCCATGCTGATCAACTGCCTAAGCTTTTGAATAGCAGAGGTTGGCCTGGTTTTTGGCCCTTTTTCCTTTTTATATTTTGTGTGGCAATTTCCTCTTTCGGGCAACGCCATCCGGTCCAAAGTTCGACTTGGTCACTCACCAAAATTACTGAAATTGTATATCCGTTTCCGGTTGAAGTTGGCTCCTAGCTTCCAGCTCCCATCCTGCTTTGTTCCCAATTTTTGACAGGCATATCGAGTTATTTATTGGCACTTTTGGCCCTGGCCACCAGCAAAATAGTTGGGACATAATTTATGAAATGTCGCGCATACGCCGCGTGGCCATCATGTACGAATATCTGTGTGAAAAGGACGGGCGAATGGGAAACAGTTTGGAATCCATGGGCGCAGGCTTTTTTCACTCGACACTCGTTACATATCCCCAGCCCAGTTGTAATCCCTTAGGCCTACACAAGTCAATTTGCAGGCACTGAGCATCGAACTGGTAGAACAATTGCCCCAGAAATCAGCAGACAAATTGTCAAAGCAACAAATCCTCGCTGCAGGATTCGTGCACAGATAAAAAAGGATCCTGTTTTCAAAACCTTTTGTAAATTTTCATTTGTATTATTACTTTATTCAAAAATGTACTTTTAATAAAACAATACCATTATAACAAGATATACAAACTCCTAATATGCATTTTATTTTATTTATTTATTTATTTATTTTTATAAAACTAAATAAAATGTATATAAATGACTATTCCATACAAATTGTTTTTAATTATACACCTAAGATATATTTTTTTTTAGGTGTTGGTCTCAGTTATTTCCAAAATGGTTACCCATTTTAGTCGAATGCATCACTTGGCCGTCCACAGACCAAAAGGGCAGTTAAGTGGCAACTTTTCTTGCGGAGAATCGAGAATTGGAAGTTGGCCGTAATCATTACGACAAATTGCCGCGCCACAGGCAATAATGATTAATAATGAGGCGGCTGCAGTTGCTCGGCGGCAGGAAAATGGCCGAAGTTTGTGCCGGCGCTTGTGGCTTTATTAAAATAAATAACTGAGGTTAAGGGAGTTAAGGAGCAGGTAATCGCGACGCGACCCTGGCTGCCACTTCCGCTTTCGTTATGAATAATAAACTTGCCGCTGCTCAAAGTTTACCGATGCCCGGGGAAAAGTTATAATTTGTCTAATTAAAAAGTTTTACTGATTAACCTGGCGACTAACAAGGTGAGTGCAACAAAATGTTTTGCCGGGCAAGACAAAACATTAAAAATCAACGAGCAATAAAAAAACCTGCGGCCAGTTAAAGGGAAAATCAAACACGAAAAAGGGGAAAATAGTCGCAGCTTAGAAAACTTTTTTTGTGGTCCATGAAATTGACCCAAAACATGGGGTCACGTGACTCGTGTTGCACATATCAACCTAATACACAATGCTTTGCAGCTTTCCCACTTTGTTGTGGCATTTCACGTGCATTTTATTGCAAAAGTTTTTCCAGTCACATCCTGCGGAGTTGTCATGTGCGGTAGTCTAAGCAAAATATAGCCAACTATTGCAAGCGGTTCGTAAATATTTGGGAATTACTTAAGCAATTTTTTAATATTTTTAAACAGACCGTTGAATATGGGTTACTACCCATATTACGACCATTAAAAATTCCATCCCAAAGTTTTTGTTTGGGTTGACTAGCTGAAAAAATTGTTTTTTAATTGCGGTCTAAAATGTGGTTAACAATGTATGTACAAAGTTATACTAGATCTGAACAGCTAAAAACCACAAAAACCAAAGGAAAAAGACATGGAGGGAATAAAAAGTCTATTTATTTCTGGACTAATCATTTGTTAATATGTGTATTTGTAAAACTTTAAACATAATTTTAATTTATTGTAAAAGAAGAGATACAAACACTATCATTTGCAATAAATTACTCTTTCAGCTTAATTTACTTTTAATAGCAATGGTAATTCACTGAGCCCAGAATAATGTCAAATTGTCACCAAAATCAAAGCACTCAACATGAAGCTTCTGTCGGGGTTCTATCTAATTGTGACTCTGACTTCTTTTGCCGCCAGCCGAGGATCGGATTTTCGTTTTACCAACATGGATTGCAAAAGTCTTGATCTAAAGTTTGTTGAAATTAAAGAGTGTGTCCTAAAAATGGTGCGCCGAAACGAAGTCGGTATGAATTTCCACATCAATATAAAATACGAAAAGCCCATCGATAAGATTAAGTTCAACCTGAGCATATTCCGCAAGTCGAATGTATACAGGTTGTTTTATATTAACCATACCATCGACTTTTGCTATTATATGCGCAGACCGCAGGAATACCCGATTTTCTATATATTCCATGAATCTCTGATGTCGGCCACCAACGCCAATCATTCTTGTCCCTATCCAGTGAGTAAAGAATTAATGGTAAAATATGATAAAGTCTCATACTATATATATTATACTTACAGGAGAAGGATATTTATGTAAAGAAAATGACTTTCAATAAGCAGACACTGAGTCACCTTGCTTCCATTTTGCCAGAAGGCGAGTACAAACTGGTTGTTTCTGTTGGCGGTTTTGGAGTCTGGCGATTACAAGTCAACGTTTACGGGCTGCGTGGGTGAATTGGGCATTGTTAAAATAATTGCCAATACATATTAACATTAAGTGGATAAAAAAAAAAAACAATTTTAATCAATCAAAGCAAACGAGCCATTAAATTGACTATAAGCAAAGCCAGACAATTCAATAGTTCAATATTTTCCATCGATGAGTCAACATGAAAGATCAGCTATTGAGTTTATTACTGCCTATACTAATAATATCAAATTGGACCGAAGGAAAAGTCTTCAAAATCAATAAAATGGAGTGTAGTGCCTTGGACCCTTCGTTTACATATTTTAAAACTTGTCAAGTGGTCCACAGAAAAAATGGGCGTGCAGCTCTGTATGTCAGTGAGATATTCCTCTATAAAGAACCCATTGATAATATAATTGTAAGTTGGAAAATAAAATCCTCGAATAGGTAAAACATTCATATATTTTAGCTCAACCTGGGAATTTTCAAACTAGTCAAGAACAGGCGGTTTCAAATTCTAAATGAAACCTTGGACTACTGCGTATTTAGTCGGCAGTATTTGGCCAGCGGGTTTTTCGGATTTCTAATGTCACCGTTGTTGAAAACTATGAATGTAAACGCTACCTGTCCTCTGAAGGTAAGAATTCAATGCGAATTGAAAAAGACTATTTCTTAATGACTGAAGGATTTACCACAGCAGCAAAACATAACTGTCACCGGTTTCCCCGTTGATGAAAACACAATTAAGGAGATTCCCATCCCAAACGGATTTTATATGTTTCAATTGCGAACATCAATGATGAGGAAATGGAGAACAGATGTAAGAGTCTATGTATCTCGTGTTGAAAAGTATTCTGAATAAGTCTCTTAAATAATGCAGATAATAAAATCACAATGCTATCCAGAATCATATACCTTTTATCTATTTTTTCCTTTAAAATGTAAAAGAAATGTTTTCTGTAGCTTTATAATCTAAAAAAACTTAAAATATTAATCATAAAGGGAGGGGAATTTCAAAGTTTTTTGAATCTGAATTCACATATTTTTTAAGACCCGAGATTTCAACCATTGTAAAAAGGTTGAAGAATAATTTTGGGAATTCTTAGGGTTGGGTTCTAAACGACTATATATCGATAGTGTCATCGGTAATTTGTCAGCTCTATAACACGCTGCTTCCATCTTCCTCTTTTCTTTTTCAACCGTGAGCGATTCGGTAAGTTAAAGTTGGAGCTCAGCGAAAACTAAAAAAAACCATTGTAAATATGTTCGAAAACACTTAAAATATGTTTGCCCGAGTCTAAATCAACGCCGGCGAACATCTCTTAAGCAAAGTTTTAACGAAACCACGAAGGTGCCTAAAAGCAAAAGTAACCTAACCTCGTTTTTTATTTGTGCAGTCCACGTTGAATTGTCGGAACCATGGTGAACGGCCGTATACCCTCGGTCTTCTCGAAGACCTATGTGACTCCCCGTCGCCCCTATGAAAAGGCGCGTCTGGACCAGGAGTTGAAGATCATCGGCGAGTATGGTCTGCGCAACAAGCGTGAGGTGTGGCGTGTCAAGTACGCTCTGGCCAAAATCCGTAAGGCCGCCCGTGAGCTGCTGACCCTCGACGAGAAGGACGAGAAGCGTCTGTTCCAGGGTAAGTACAGGAAACACTCCATACTACAGTCGAAATTCCCTAAAGAGAAGGCCCAGAAAAACACCCGTCTCAGTTGCTAATATTTGAGGTTATGTTTAGCACGTTTTTGAACATTCAATATGAATGAAAGCAATCTGTTTATATTTACATTAAACTGAAAGATCTGTTACCACTGTGAAGAATAAATCAATTTGAATGGTCAGAAAGTTCGACTGTAGAACCTTTAAGTAAATGACATGATGAACTGTATTAAAAATAAATATTCTGACACTTCTTGTCTGAAAAAACTTTGACGTTAACCAATACACTCTGAAGACAGCTCCAGTTTGCACAGTTCTGAAAAATTTGTATTGAAACTTTGTTAAATATCTTTTTTTTTTTTTCCAAATAGGTAACGCCCTGCTGCGCCGTCTGGTCCGTATCGGTGTCCTGGACGAGTCCCGCATGAAGCTCGATTACGTGCTGGGTCTGAAGATCGAGGACTTCTTGGAGCGTCGTCTGCAGACGCAGGTGTTCAAGCTGGGATTGGCGAAGTCGATCCATCACGCCCGCGTGCTGATTCGCCAGCGTCACATTCGGTAAATATCGCTTGGACGAGCGACGATAGAACGTCGCCAGGCTTTCTCAGATCCATTTATCTGTTTTGTTCAGTAAGACCACTTGTGAGTCGAACAGGCTACAATGCTTGCACCGGCTCTCAACGTCTTAAGATTGCGCATGTGACTCTGTTCACTCCAATCGAATTTGCAAAATGCCCGCCCAGCGTAAGTTGCACTGAACGTTTTTTAAATCTTGCAGCCACTACTTGCAGGTCTTCCTAATAGATTTAGCTAACCTGACATCTTATTTTTTTTCTGCCCCACAGTGTGCGCAAGCAGGTGGTCAACATCCCCTCGTTCGTGGTGCGCCTGGACTCCCAGAAGCACATCGACTTCTCCCTGAAGTCGCCCTTCGGTGGCGGCCGTCCTGGACGCGTCAAGAGGAAGAACCTGAAGAAGAACCAAGGCGGTGGCGGTGGAGCTGCCGAAGAGGAGGAGGACTAAGCAGCTGTATCCAGCTGCAGCCAGTTAAATACAAGGCGCAGAGTTTTTTACGCAAATAAATGTAAAATTATCTGAAATAACTTATTGCTTGAATGGGATTTGGTTTGGTGGTTTAGAATGGAACAGGGTATACAGATTGAATTTTTATATATGTAACCTATTTCTCTTTTGACCTTAAGATAGTTAGATAGCAGAAAAAAGTCCGCAGTGCGGTGCAAAATGGCGGTTTTACAAAAAACTATTATCATTTTCGTTAGATGTAATAAATTTATTAAACATAGTGACTACCACAAACGTGTTACAATTAATCAGTCGACTAAACCATAACGGCGAATTCGTATAACATCTTTGAGAACACATTACATTATGAACGAGAAACTAGATCATTCCTTTTTATCTGATTCCTGCCGTTCCTTTTTAATTTTAAACTGAAGTAATTGATTTTTTAATTGAATTGTTTTCAGTTCCACAGTTTGAATTTCTAGTTCGTATTTATGTTTTTCAGCTGCCCTGGAATTTTGTTCCTTAAAATGTTCATGTTTTAACTTAAACACTTCCAACTGTTCCACCTCAATGAGCGTTTTCGTTTTCGCATCGGTAGAAATTGGTGTCTTGTCATTCCTTGGCGGGCTCCACGTTTGATAATCCTCAAAATTCTCTTCTTCTGACTCTTCGATATCATCAATATTTTCCTTAAAAATCTAAGCAAAGATAAGAAACATAACTAAAGGAACTAAATTAGCTTACATGCAGCAACTGAGAGCTGTCCGAGATTTCAGAGCTGATAGCTGGAATTTCATCGGCGGCTGAATTTACCAACTGTAAATTTACTGTGAACAAAAATTAAAATAAATGTAAATATAGTGATATTTAGTTGTAAATCTATGCTGATTTTAAGAACACTTACCGTCGCTGTCCAAATGATTTTCCAGTGGTGTTGTGTGGGTTCCTGAGAGTCTACTGTTCTCCGACACGGAGGACCCGGAACAAGAAGGATTTCTAACGGCAGAGATTTCCCTTCTTTTGTTCCGATTTTTACTTCTGTGGAGATGGTTCCGGTAGCTTTTCTTCAGGTTGTCGAATTTCTCTCGAAGAGCTACCCATGGTCGATCGCTTCCAGTTTCCGACCTAAAATCCTCGGCAAGCCGCTTCCATGTTTCTGCCTTTTTGCGCCATGTTTCCCCATCTCTTTTTTTTCCTTCAAAACATCCTTGTTCAACAGGACGAGGTCGACGAGAGCATGTTCTTCAAACTCGGAAAAGTTCCTTCTACGAACTCTTTTGGAAGACATTTAAGACTTTTTAGCAAAACGCATCGCAACAAATTAAACGTAAACACAAACAGCTGTTCGTCATATCGATAGATTTGAATTTCGTCTTTGGTCGACCGTTAGGAAAAATAAGTTCTCAAGTGATTAATTAAAACTTATTTTAAATAAATGCTCGCAGTAACTTCAGTTGATTTTATTTTTTACTTTATTTTTTACTAAAATTAACCTTAGTAAGTGTTTCCTAATTTTAGAACTTCTTTCGACGAAGGAACAAAAAGAAAACATTGGCGGCTTACCAATTTTGAAAAATCAAAGTGACCCTATTTTAACAGTCAGCAGTATTACCGAATTCCAAAGCTAACGAAATACTACCGTCATCAACTTGGCATTCATCTTTCTTTGAGCTTTGGCGCGCTTCCCCACCAATTTGCCATTCGCACAAAACGAACTTTTGAAAATCACTTGAGTTTAGCGTAAACACAAGCTCCTAGAAAAACAACAGCTGGAACTAATTCGAATACCGTGGCTAAATAAATATCGCCAAAATGCCGAAGGCCGGTGACAAGGCGAAGGTAAAGGTCAACGTCAAGGAGCGTGTGGTGGACGAGTCCTGCGACTTAAGCCTGTCCGAATTGAGCGAAATACCGGTGCGGGAAATTGTAAGTACACGTACAAATGCAAGTACCGATGTTCTGCGGTAATTAGCACCGATTCTTGGTGTCTCAATCTGCGTTAACCCGTCTCACTCCCGCTTGGGGGTCACGGCTGTTGTCTGGCGAGTGTCTAGTCACACTCTATCTCGCTTGCTCAGACAGCAGGGGCTAGGGTGGGGTGGTTTGTCGGGGAAAGAAAGGGAGATCCACTTCCTCTCTTCATCTTTTTTTTGTTATTCTGCCGGCTGGCTTGAATTTAACGGTGACGTTGACTTCCTCTCTCTCCTTAACCCTGGTGTGGTGTTGCTGAAATTGCAGTTGAATTCGCTCGAGGGGGTTGATTTTTGGTCTTTGCCACCCCTTAAAACTCAAAAGGTTGCCAAAAAAAAAAAAAAATAAAAACCAGTATGGAAGCTAGAGGACAAAAGTCCTGACTGCAGAATATCCTTTTTTAGGTCTGAAGCATTAAAATTATTAATAAAAAGTTTCCATTAAAAACATATTCCTCCTTTGTTAGATCAATTAAAAAATATATTTTCATTTTATTAAATTAAAGAATTATGATCTTAAAATATATAATTTCACATAAAAACTATAGATGAAAACAAAAATTTACTTTAATTCAACAGTAAATGTTAAAAAATGTTTAATGTTGATATTTATAACACGTTCTAGAAGTCAAAAAAACCTTAGGGCAACTTACTTATAAGGGGTGTAATATAAATGGAAAGGATATTAAGGGCAGTTGCATTTTTCGGGGGTTTCCTTTTTTTGGACATGTTTACCACAACTTCTCAATTCATTCTGCCCTTGTCCTTTGCAGGCTTCGTTCAAGCGCGTCACTGTTTTGGATCTGTCCAGCAATCGTCTGGTTAACCTGGGAGTAAGTATATCCTCCAAGAAATCTAATCGAGCACCACAGTCTAAACAACTTGTTTTTGGTAGAAAAACTTCTCAATTCTGACACGTTTGGTGCGATTGGATCTGAGCAAGAATCAAATCACCTTCCTGCCGGAGGACTTTGGCCAGCTGGAGCAGCTACGCCACTTGGATCTGTACAACAACTGCTTGGAGCACTTGCCCATTAGCTTCGGTCAGCTGCGTCGTTTGCGCTATTTGGACTTGAAGGGGAATCCCCTTACGCCCGCCTGGGCAAAGATTGTGGGTTGCTGTTCCACGCAAAAGGACTGCCAGCAGGCGGCCAAGAATACTGTAAGTGGTTCTCAAGTTGAGTGGCCCTCAAGTGGCATAGCTTTGCAACCATTTTCCCCAATCTACATTCTTTCCGTTTTTCCCATTTTCCAGGTCAGCATCTGCGCCAACTACAAGCCGGAATTGATTGAACGCGAACGCTTGGCAGCCCAGGAAAACCAGAAAATGGCCGGAGCGGGGGACTCCAATACCAACTCCGCCCAAACGAATGGCGGAGCTACCAGCGGAAAAAAGTCCAACAAGCCCAATAACAAGAAGGCCAAAGCCAAAAAACTGGCCGGAGCGGGTGACAATGAGTTGACAATCAAACCAGTGAATGCAGCAGGATCATCAGGAAGTGGAACAGGATCGGGAGCCAAGTCCAATCAGAAGAACAATCAAAAGAAAAAGAACGCCAGTAGCAAAACCTGGCTGAGTCTGCTGTCCAGAGCCGCACTTTCTTCACTGATGACCTTTCTCGTTCTCTTCATCATTAACGTATTGATCATCTACATGATTATGTTCAAGAACCCGGACATCGCAGACAAGCTGGTGGAGTATATACCCCATCAATATCGTGATTGGATCCTGACCAAAACGGAAATCTTTCGCCTGCGCGTCACCGACTGGATCTCCGAGTTCCGAACTCCGCCAGAGGAACACTGACGGTTCATTTATTTGAAGCCTTAGAGCGCTGGGCTTCAAATAGAGGAATACGCTAAATAAAATTCGGATGCATAGCGCGAGTGTGGGGCAAAAATAAAATTGGGATACGTGTAGACCACCTGAACGAGTTATACGACTGCTACTTTGATATACCATTATCTGTAATTTACTGCCATTTATTTACGTAGACACTAAGCAACAACGTCCATTGACGGGAGATCAACAGGAATACCACACACACACTCCGCAACTGAAGAGGCCACTTAAAAGACACCAAACTACACTCAATCACTCAACTCAATCGAACTCAGATGAAAAGACAGCTAACCTAATCATAGCTCAAGCTCAACTCAATAGTAACTGAATGGCGGTTCCAAACTGGCCAATGCATAGAAACTACAGACACAGTCAAACCAGACACCCTTGTAATATCCACAACGTCTCAACATAAAAATAAAATAACTTAATCTATAGTAAGCGTTTCCTGTGCAATTCCCACTTTATTTAAAGTTCAATCTTAAATTGTATTCACGTTAGATTTCAAATCCCATAGATTTTATCGCAATACGATTTGCAGAATATCAAAATGAAAATTAAGCGGTTTCATATGATTTATGCAAAATCAAAATAATTGTATTTTAACAAAGATTGATCAAGATTTTTGGAATAAAATTTTACATTTATAAAACTCATTTAAGTTTTTTTTCTTTTTGGGGGAAGCTAACACAATAAAAAATCGTGTTATCAATGGTTTTAATTGTCATTCACATACGATAATGATAATTATTGCTTTATATTAAGCACTACAGAAATATTTGCAACCCAAACGGAATAAATGAATTCTGTTTTATTTCCCAGGAAACCGGTAATAAAACTAATTTTAATTAAGATTATTTGAAATTTATGCTTATCTATTGATTTGGTCATGTGGTTATCTTATATTTATAGCTCCCATTGGGCACGCGAGTGTCTTTATCAACTTGTTTTTATTATATTTATATATGCATACTAAGAGATATTCAATCTATTTTAACGAATTTCAATGAGGTACATTTTTTCTTTTTTTACCTTGAATTTGATAAGATTTTAGTTCAGAGGAAAGTGTAAATCATTCTTCGTCTTTTATCTGATAGCTTTTCGTAATCAGTTCATTCGCATATCTAAAATAATTGATAAATGACTTGCGAAAACAAACCGGTTTCCATTCAAAGTGAATTTCATCAATAGAAAGTTGTAGAACGATGACGTACTTATGTATTTGTGGGAGGCAATTATTGTTAAACATCGTGAGTGAGCAAAAACTTAAATAAATATTTATCTTTATCAGAACTGAAAGTGCACCCTTATTGCTGATGCAATTTTGTTTATCAAATACAATAGAAAAGGAGTTTGTCGTTTCGCCCGACTTCAATTTTAAAGTTTCGTGTTTCCGGCGAAGACTATAGAATCTGCCACGCTTATGAAAAGCTCATCTTTGATTTCGTCATCCAAAAGGGATGGTCTTCTTTTTTTCTTTTTTGCCTTTTAATCTTACGTTTGCTCTCCTTATATTCAGCGCATCCTTGCCGATGTCCTTTGTGCCTTTATTTCTATCCCCTATTTTCTCTATTTTGCCGGCTTTAGTCGATGTTGCTCTCTTTCTCTTTTTTTCTCTTTTTGGACTCAGTACTGGCTCTTTGGCGGAAAAAAGTCAGAAAGTATGTTTGAAAACTTCAACACGAAACCTTAAATCTTAGCATATGCGTTATTATGCTAAAACTGTAAACAGGTTATTAGGTACAAAATAGAAGCTATTACAATCAAAAGATCGGCCAACGTTTAAGTAATATATAAAGTTTGTAATTTAAGTCTGTTAAATCCGTGAGTAAATATGTAGCTAGATGGTCAACGCTATTCCGAACCGGCTGCGTTTTTTGGCGCGCTCTCGCATTGGGGCTCTCGACGAGTATTTAAACAGCCGTCTGCCGAACGCTCTTCACAGTTTCTCTTTAGTCTTCGCGCAGTCCACCCGGTTTTCGTGGGAGGAACCTCCGATTTTTGGTAGCCACGGTTGAACTGTTGGCATTATTGAAACGATTATTCGGACAAGAACACCTATTTAAGACGACCAAGCAAAGTGTTTGACTTACGCGGCATTTCGTGTATCGTCAACTCTTCAGAAAAGGAAGAAATAAAAGTAAGCTATCTAACGTGTGCAGGGGCGGACGCAGAAAAAAATTTTGGGGGGGTCCGATCGAAAAATTTTTGTTGTTTGGGGGGTCCGATCAAAAAATTTTACGTTTAGGGGGTTCGATCAAAAAATTTGTTCTTTTGGGGGGTCCGACCAAAAAAAATTTTAGTTTTTATGGTTGAAAAGCCGTGTGCTGTAAGGAAATTTGAAAAAGTCTGAGATTTTGGGGGGGGTCCGGACCCCCGGACACCCCCCTGCGTCCGCCCCTGAACGTGTGTACGAAAACCAGAAATTCAAAACTGTACAGTCGTCGGAAGTGAGGGACCGAAATAGGGCACGTGAAGCACATGGCTGAAACAGAAAAATTGGGTTTGTTCTGAAAATAGCAGAGGCAGAGTGCACTGCCACACACATGTGTTATGTATTCGAAACCAAAAAAAAAATAAATGGAAGCCACGAAAAAGAATATAATTAATTGACATTGTCAAAAAGTGTAGTGTAGGTGAGAACCAAAAACAACCACAATAAAAAAACGAAACAAAAATAGCCGCAGTGACAATTATAATCACAATTAAAACCGAAACCTTTTCAAAAATCGGACAAGGGAAAAACGAAAAAAAAGTTCTTTATATTTTGGGTCGGACACGCGTGCAATTCAACGTCGACATTAAAATGCCCACGTTGCACCTGTCCCGTTATTTGCATTTCGACTCTCATCATTTTCTACCAATTATATTTTTCGGGTCTTTTTGAAAAACTGTTTTTCTTGGGCATAAATGGAATATTAGCATTTTATTTAGTGCCCGCGTTTTCCACCGCAGTTAAGTTGTTTGTGTATGCGATAGTTCAATGGCTGCGAATAGGTTTCCCCATTTGACTTGCTGATATTCCACGTTTTTCGCTAAATTGCAATACGTAATTTAGCTTTAATTGAGCACTTAGCCAAGGGAAAGTTCCCTCAATGCCAACACACCAAAAAGAGTGGTAGAAATGTATACAAAAAGAGGCATTACTATCAAAGCTATCTGCACACGTCAATGCAATTACCTCACCCACGCGGACTACTGCACCCACCTTCTTTTAGATCGACCCAAACTGACTCATCAAGGACATGTCCAAAAGGAATTTAGGCCAAATAGGTTCAGTAAAGCAAAAACAAACAATTTACAGATAATATAGTCTCGATAAAACTTTTACTAATACATATTATCAAAAATCTATTTTTTTTTGGCCGTGTATCATGAGTTTTCAGACTGAGGTGTGCCTGTCTTGGCCATATCTTTACGATTTTACCCAATTCCCTTCTTTCGCGCGCATTTTGTAGTTGTGTTATTGATTTTGGTGCTGTTGTCGTTGTTGGTAATTAGCATAACAACACTTTTCAAGCAAAAGTCAAAGACGCAGTAAAACTGTGACGTCAGAGACTGGAGTCCAAGTGGGTGCAAGCAATAAGTAACAGGAGGAAGTGAGAGAGCCACAGACAGAAAGTAAAGAAAAGAGAGAGTGTGGGTGCAACTGTTGATTGCGTGGGCAACCTTCGAGATATTTGGAGTCTTCCAAGAATAAATCTATTCCGTGTATGATTTAGGGATTAAGAATTTTAAATTTAGCTTTAGGTTTCAAGCAATGATTTAAGAGACACTTATTGCAAAGTAATGAATATCAAAAAACGAAAAAAATTAATAATCCTGATATTAATGAGATTTGGTAACAATAATAATAAAATAGTACTATGTTTTTTTAATACAAGCAAGCCAAATTATTTAAGGGTTTTAAAAATGTAATAGCCATTAGCTGGTCAACATTGTGTGATATAAGGACATTTAGCTCTGGGTCTTTGCCCTATTCTTATCCTGCAATGACATTCATGGTTGTTTACTGTTATTCTTGCTGTCCATCTTTTGTCGTCAATCGCCTCCGCTCTTTTGTCCGCATTTCCCATTTGCGCAATTTGCCACCAGACATTACACTTGACCGCCTTCCTTGCCTCAACTGGCCGGACAGAAACTGATTTATTTTTAGACGCAACTAATTTCCGCAACACCTGAGAAGGTCGATTCTTAAATAGGTTGCCGTTTTGGCCCCCAGAATTGATTGGACCATTGGACGATCGATAAACACTTTCCAATAAAAAGTGCCGCTTTCAGTGCAGAAAGCAATTACCAAAAAAAAAAAAAACCATAAAAACCACAGTCATATAACGGTATATTATCTAAAACGATAATGTGACCTTTGTGGCGATTTTCATGGGTTGTTATCAGAATTGATATTATGCAACGACCGCATGCAAACTCTCAAATTGTTGTTAATTGTTTTAAACACCTCAAACAGCAAGTAAATTGCACTCGCTTCCCAAAGCTTCTGTAGATAACACGAAAGACAGGGTTTTTTTTTCGCTCGTGTCTCCGCGTTGATAAGAAAACTTTAAGGTAACTCAATGGGAGCTCTATTTGATCAGCAGTTTTCCATTAAAATGACACGGGCTTATTATTCATATGCATATGGAGGTCAGACCCCCTTTTTAGTGACGTGAATGTTGTACAGAAAGTGATCTTTGAGCTCATTTCAACGTCAGCAAACAGCTGCGTAAATGTTTTCAAGATCCGTAGATCTTTAAAAATGATTTGCAAGACAAGCGACGAAACGAACAGCAAAAATACATTTTAAAATCAATTACGTAGGTGTACTACAACCTACAGAAAAATATGGGTAATTCTAGTTTTCTTTATTAAAGAATTTTGTATTCTTATCGGTCTCTTCCGCAGACAATTTAACCTTGTTTGCTTCCAAGAACCATGTTTCATTATCTTAAAAATTCCTCAGAAAACCCAACAACGAAAAGAACCCAGTAATTGGGAAAAACTTATGACAAAACTTGCAATTCATAAACATGACCCCCCAAAATAAACAGTCGTACACACATAAAGCTCGGATGAATCGAAATAAAATACTTTATTTGTTTGCTACTAGATAAGAAGAGTTAACTTTACTACTCAAAAAGTCTTGCGGCTTATGCATGCCGCAAGTCAGAAAAAAGATATTTGGCTGATGAAATTTTAGAAAAGTTTTGCAGCACGAACGCTCAGATGAACTTGGGTCTAAATATAAACATTTGTTGTCAAGACTGAGAATATCGTTTTATGTTTTTCTTACGCAGAACGCACTCGGATATCGTGTGGGAAAGTGGCGGTATTATCGGGTAATGGGAAAGGGTTCGTTCCCCCATTACAACTTACAGCTTTATCGTTTTCCGCTTAAATATGAGTCAGGCCCAACAATATTTTCCTAGTGGGTGCGATAAATATATGAATTTGTCAAAAATTACAACCCTTTTAAAGGGATCGGTTGAAATGGCACTATGTTATGTCTGGTAGCTATAAAAATAAATCCACAGCAACAAAGTCGAAACACGTGGTTCCATTTAAGGCCGAGGGGCTCGACCGGGTGGGTTTTTACTTTATAGACGCTCTCATCATTTTGGGATGCTGCTAATAGAGAACCCGATTGCTTAAGAGAAACCCAGACAGTCATATGTTTTGTGAAAAATATAAAGAGTTTGAATTTCTACCAGAAAGTGGTTGCAGCAACAGCATTTTTCAACCGATTCTCACGCTCGCATGCCATTAGCAAGATTCTTTGTTTTCATTTAGCATGACTTACAATGGGGCATTACTTTCCTTAGTTGCGGATTCTCTAAATACTTCGGATTGCCGAGGTTTTGATATTCAAGGTTTCGATTTGCTTTTCAGTGATCTGTCACGTTTGGCAGGCAAGTGATAATTAGTTAGGATTAAATATAGAAAAGTAATCAAAAACAAAGTTGTTTCTAAACCAAATGAACATATTTGTTTTTAAAGCAGTTAAATTGTAATACTTGCAAAACTAATTAGAGTACTGTAAACCCCGATAAAGTGTTAAACACCTCATAAAATGATCAACAGCACATTTGAAAAGGTTTCTGTCATGTGATATTCAAATCACATATCACTTTAATAAGATATATAATAGATAAAAAGGTCAACAAACTATTGATTGGGGAAAGGAAAACTAAACTTATATATTTCAATTGAAATGATGCAATCGAAATATATTTCGGCAAATATCGTGCCCACCGTAATTGCTCCCAATTTCGGATCGGTTTGTATATGTTTCGGTTCGATTTTAGCACAGTCATGCTTTTTGCTCACGCAACCGAAATAAATGATAATGCCGAGACGAACACGTATATATACAACGTATCTTCCGATAAATCGGGCAAACCGGTGCGCACCGGTTTTTGGGGATCGAAATAGTGAGAACTATGTATGTGGACGATAAGGGCAAACATTTGGCATAACAGAAGCCAAGCACCTAGCACTAAAAATATAGAAGCAGTAAAACAAAAAAAAAACTAAAACAAAATACTACCAAATGTGTGCCAACTTTTTTTTGTTTTTTCATCTTCACTGGGTGAAGGTTCTTTCAGTAGACCGTTGTGCCAAAATATTGTGTGTGTGCCTCACGCAGATATTTCGTTCTCCCAACATTTTGATTCATTCATTCAGCGATAATGCTGCCCGATGTTTTGATTCTATATCTTATCGGGGTGATGAGTGCCATGTGCGTGATTTCGCTGTGACGTTTCAGTTAGATAAAGTAATATATGAGCCGCTTCCAATTGCCTTGAATCGCTGCCTTTTCAATAGCTGTAAATGGCTGTAAAAGTCAGCCAGTTTCGTTTTGGCCCCCAAGTGGTTGCTCTCTCCAGAGGGCTTATCTCGCATTCCCCGAAACCCTTGAGCCAAAGGTCAGGCCAAGTCAAGTGCGGGGTCATTCAACCGCGTTGCGAAATCAGTCAAATAAGCGGCGAAACATGGCCAAAACAAAACCGGCCAAAAGAAACATCTAAAGACAATCCGAAACTGTCTACGCAGCGTCTGAGAGTTGCAAATTGATATGCAAAAGCGGAGAAAGAGCGAAAACAAATTTATGCACATAAATATATCATTTGTCATTTGTACGAAACAGAACCGGCTTAAGTCGCAATATAACCCTCAAGTCGGGCCTCGAATTAAGTTCTTAAAAGTGCCCAAGACCCTAAGTATATAAAAAAAAAGTGCTACTCATTTGGGGGCCAGTACAAAGTACAGAAAAACTCACCCACTCAGCAAATACTCGGCACATTTACTGTGTGAAATGTGGCACATGTGACAGGGATTTAACAGATTAATAATAGAACTCGGACACAAAGGCCGAAACGCAAAAGGAAAAACCAATTAAACGAAAATATGTCATTGAGATCCGAGAACAGCAGCATATGTCGCATCCAAAGTTCTAAAAATATAAAACTCATTAGTGCAAAGTTTAAGTGACCAAAATTATGTTCAATTGCTTCCCTGAAAATTTGCATACAAATTGCCAAAAAATTCGTTCACATTTTTGTACGATTTTATTACCATAAATTAAAGCCAAACGGCTTAAATTGAAAGTGAGTCGCACAAAACCATTAACGGGCAATTGAACTTTTGCATATTGGAATATTTCAGACACAAATCGCAGACAATTAAATCAAATCAAGAGAGGCTGTCTGTTCGTTTACTTAATAAAGGGGGATTCTATTAGTTTGGGTCTGGAAATATCCAGTTCGAATATTGAAGTGTCTGGGCGCCACAATTTCAATAAAAATTGATTATTAAATCAATAGAGGAATGCGTGTCGAATACAAAATGAAATATTAACTTAAATGGCTATTAATTGTATATACATACATATGTACATATATGTACGTTATATTTCTCAAACCTATTGAGTATTAAAATTCAAAACACCTCACTGTTTTAAAGTGCATTAAGTGCCAATTAATAGCCATTTAAGATAACATTTTATTTTGTATTGGACACGCATTCTCCACTATTGATTTAATAATCAATTTTTATTGAAATTGTGGCGCCCAGACACTTCAATATTCGAACTGGATATGAACATTTATGTACATATATAAACATTTTCAGAGTTTACTATTATCCAATTAAAAGTAATCTCATTTTATCTTTTCCCTTGCAGTTTTCTCTCTGAAGTAAGGAAACAGCTACTTTCAAAATGGTTAACATTGTGGTAAGTACTATCTAGAACCTCAATTGAGTAATTACCTTTATTAATTGCTTTATTCTTTGGGTTTTTTAGGACAGCGGCTCCAAGCATGCGCCGCAGGAAATGGAGCAATTCCTGCCCGGCGAAGGAAAAGTCATGTGAGTATCTCATCTCTCATCAGTCTGGTCAATGTGCTAAAAATATGTCGCCTAAATTGCTGGTGTGGCATGTTTGCCAATTAAGTTTACGAGTAGATTAGTGGCTCGATGTCGCTAATTGGCCTTTGATGTGACGACGACGGCTAAATTGAGACTAAAAATGCTTTGTAAGACCTTAAAACCGGACACTCTGACACGAGCAGCTCAGATTGATTACAATTATCAATTAGTCTGAAGAGCGGGGGATCTGTTCAGAGTTATTAAAATATTAGAGGTCTCGTCTAGAGGGCAGACTTGATAGCCAGGTTAAGCTCACCAGATAAAAAGGTCTATAATCAACCAGTCTCTTGCCTTTTAAAAGGCACAAATCACGTAAGCGCCAAGGCGAGGTGCACCTATTATAAATTCCTACTACAGAACGCAATAGAAATAAATCAAAACCAAATCCACTTACGTACTTTGAGCGCTTTTGTTAATCAATATTGTGAGTTATCTCCCAGGTTCAAGGTGCTGGTCGTTATTTTCTAAATATTTATGCAACCCATCCGCTGTCGTTTGATAAATATCAATTTTGGCGATCTGCCTTTTAGATGCAAATATTATTGCTGGGGAAATAAACAAGAAAATTATATTTGAAAACATTTCTGTCGAACAAAAATGGCGTGAAATAAATTAGCAATTTTTACGACAATATCAGCAAGCACACGTGTAAGACTTTTCTCGTTTTCAGAAGATGAATGAATGTTAGACTTTAATTTACTTACTCAAATGATTTTTCTCTTGTTATTGTAAAACTTATTTTGATGACGCTGCAGTGATTAAAGATTGAACTGTACGAACTATAGCCGATAACCTGAGATTTGTTTTTGAACTGATAGGAATATTTATAATAAAAGTACCTTCAAAAGTATAGTATTCTAAGCGCGTTTTGCCCGGAAGTCCACTTTTCATAGGGGGTTTCAAATATCAGCAATTATCAGAAGGCGGAAAGTTTTAATTTTCGTTTGTTAAAAAAGCGCTGTCATTCAAATGATTTACATCCGGTTTTAAAAATGGTTATATAAATTGCTGGTATTACAAAGGGTTGCAGCTACCTTAAAATATTAACAACCAGACCAAATGATTTATATTTCGATTATAAATTAATTATTATGTGCGACTATAACTTTTCCAAGATTACTTCATTCATACAACTGAAAAAAGAACTTTGATTTAAAGCAATTTTAACATTAATGTGAACCTATGAATGGCAGAAATATATTTAAATCATTTTTTATAATGATTAGCTCTCAAGTAATACTACATTTTAATTTCCATCTTATTCGAAATTTGTTTTGCGATAAAGCGATGATGTAAAAATCCATAGCCTACCTTTCGGGAGCTTTTGAAACCTGGTCTAGTAAAATTTTGTTCAACATAAAGCCAGGCTGAGTTTTTCAGCTGTGGAGTGCAGTTTTCTTTTATGGCTGATGCAACCGAATCGGCAATTCGAGTCAGGCACTCTGGAATGGATCGGAATCCATAGATTCCGTCAATTGGCCAGACCAGGCCAATCAGAAGCGGCCTGTCCAAATTCGGCCGGCAAAATGCCTTCGACTGCGACAGCAGTTTGTTTCTTTTTTTCTCTCGATCGACATTTAGTTACAAGTGTAGTATTATGAGCCGGCGGTGTGGCACAGACAGACGAGACGGCCAACAAGTGTAATTGCAGATGCAGCAATTCCGTGGCACGGGAATTTCACTGTCAGCATATAAGAAACCGATGCAGTTTCGTGGCGAGTTTCAGTTTTACACAGCCAATTGCTCCGATTGCTCCAGCATGACAATGGGCGACTTAGAACCCACCAATGTAGAATTGAGGTTATCATTTGAGGAAATTGTAGCCCCCTTTCTCCTCTAAAAAATTCCCCAACTAATGGTTTCATTTTTATCCATCTTGCAGGTACAAAATCCAGCCCCGCAAGTCGGACACCGAGCAGGCCTTGGCTGGAAATGACTTCGATCCCTTTGCCCTGCGAGACAACGAGCATCCCACAACGTAAGTTGAAATACTATTAGTTTGGAGTTTATATTAATAAATATTTAATTATTTTTCCTTTAGGGATAATGAAACCCTCACGCATTTGCTTAAGGCCTCCTTGGGCACTGGTATTCTGGGAATGCCAGTGGCTTTCATGTACTCCGGACTCGTCATGGGTATCTTCACCACCATCTTCACCGCCTTCATTTGCACGCACTGCAGTTACATTCTGGTAAGACAACCTATTAATAAGAAAAATATAAAAAATATAATATATAAATAATTTATTATAAATAAGTCACATTTCTGTTTTTTAAATGTATCAATAATATAAACAATAATGTATCTCATTTTCTTGTTAAGCTGTTTTATAACTACAATTGAAATGACTTTGTTGATATATGAAATCCATGGAAATGTGACTTATCCATTAAATTGTTAAATTAACTATAATTTATTATTTCATTATTATAATTATCTTCCTTTTTCTTGTAGGTAAAATGTGGTCACAAGCTGTACTACCGGACACGTCGCACCAAGATGACCTTTGCCGAGATCGCCGAGGCAGCCTTCCAGAAAGGACCGAAGTGGTGCCGCGGATTCGCTCCGGTGGCCAAGTTCTCCATCCTGTTCGGTCTCTTTCTGACCTACTTCGGCACCTGCTCGGTGTACACGGTGATCGTGGCTTCGAACTTCGAGCAGTTGATCAACTACTGGACGGGAACGGAGATCAGTCTGCGGCTGCTGATTTGTGCACTGCTGATACCCCTGATCCTCATTGCCTGGGTGCCGAATCTCAAGTACCTGGCGCCCGTTTCGATGGTGGCCAACTTGTTCATGGGCCTGGGACTGGCCATTACGTTCTACTACCTGGTGCAGGATCTGCCCCCCGTTCAGGAACGCGAATTCGTAGTGTGGGGCACCCTGCCGCAGTTCTTCTCGATCACCATCTTTGCCATGGAGGCCATCGGTGTGGTGATGCCGTTGGAGAACAACATGAAGACGCCGCAGAAGTTCCTCGGCATCTGCGGTGTGCTCAGCCAGGGAATGTCCGGCGTGACCCTGATCTATATGCTCCTGGGATTCCTTGGCTATCTGCGATATGGTTCTGCCACCGAACAGAGCATTGCTCTGAATCTTCCCATCGAGGAGTGGCCCGCCCAGGCGGTCAAGGTGCTCATCTCCCTCGCCGTCTACTGTACATTCGGACTGCAGTTCTTCGTCTGCCTGGAGATCGTGTGGGATAGCATCAAGGAGAAGTGCACGAAGCGTCCCAATGTGGTCAACTATGTCCTGCGCACCGTGCTGGTCACCGCTGCCGTAGTTCTGGCCGTTGCCGTTCCCACAATTGGTCCCTTCATGGGTCTCATCGGTGCCTTCTGCTTCTCCATCCTTGGATTGATTTTCCCTGTAAGTATAAACCATCTATTTAATTATAAAGGATTGTAATTTCCGAATAAGTATCTATTGTTTTTTAACATTTATTATAATATGAATATCTTTTTTATTTTCCAGGTAATCATTGAACTGATTGTCCATTGGGAGACTGGCTTCGGTAAATTCAACTGGATTCTGTGGAAGAACATCTTCATCACCTTGTGCGGCATTGGAGCTCTGATCTTCGGCTCCCTGGCGGCCATTGAGGACATCCTGAAAGCCTACGCTCCCAAGGATGCCGCCGTAACCCTTAAGAACTAAAAAGGGAATCCTACTACTATCTACATAGAAGAAAACCACATAGCTGAAGACGAGCTAGAAGAGAGGCTCTGCTTCTTAGAACCATCATCTAACTATTGTTAGATGTAAAACTGCGCCCACATTTTGTACATTTTGTCTGTTGCTTAGTGTCTGTTTTGAGAACCGAAAGGGATTTACTATTCACTAAGCGAGTGTCCACTGTATTTAGCACACTCTTGAGCACCACTATGCCGTTTCAGCACGTTTTAGTACACTTGCAATTATATACATTAGAGGGTAAGCTAGTTGATGGCCATCGCGAAAACTTTTAGAACAGACTAAAAAGCGATTCAAGCGGCTTTCAAACTGTAACTGTACTAAGTGCACTTCATTTGTTTCCTATTGATTTTAGTACGATTTAGTACAGAGCTATAAAAGACTTGTGTAGCAACCGGTAAACTAGAGGAAAAGCTCGCCCCGCCCCCTTCCTTCGAAAGAAAACCCCTTTCTCTCTGTTCTAAAAGAGTATTACTAAAAGCAAAAACCAAAACTGAAGCCATCATTTCATGCCTAATTTTCCCCTTTTTTTAATTTTGTTCCGTAGCAAATGATATGCGTACATTATTTAACTTTTTTAGCATGTTTAGTTCGTAAGCATTAGAACGATTGCAAAGGAGCCTTTGCAATCAATCAGTTCCAATTATGATGAGCTAAATTACTCAAAGAATACCATTTTTATACGAAATCTAGCAGAGTAATAAGTTACATTGAATTACCCCGATATTTACTTTGTGTAAACATATTTTTTTGTTGCATACATATTTTTGTATTTTAATGATAGCTTTACACGAGAAAAAATACTTAGCGAAACTATAAAGTAAATAAAAAAGTGAAACATTAAATTTATAAACATTTTATTTTGCATTTAAAATCCTGTGAAGGCAACGAAACAGTTTTAATTGTAAAATGAAGAAAAGTTGAACCGCAGACTTATCCGTCAACTGTACATATGTATATTGATATGATCGCAACGAGAACTAAGTATATCTGCCCAGAAAAGTATTTCGAGTTGTCCATATTACATATTCAGAAGAACAAAGATTGATATGAACGTTTACTTTTTTTGAAAAATGTTTAAATTGTAAAAGAAAACAAAAAGAAATAAATATACACAGAAAATTAAAAAAAAGAGAATGTCAACCGAAGAAATTTGTTTGTACTTATTTGCATGAGACTCTTTATTGAATAGCTACCGATTTAATTGATTATTTTATAGACCCTGAACTTTTCTTACCGTTTTTGCCCTGCGGGTTCAACGCGTGGCACTTGCTCTGATCATTTCGGAATATCCGTCCACTGAATGGCCGAAAACCTGATCGACCAACTTCAATTACCACTGACTGAATAGTCATTTGTTAATTGGTAACAAGTGGTCTGTGGACAGGGGCGAAGCGAATTCGGATCGTTGTTGATGTTATTTTCACCTAAATTGCTTGTTCGATCCCACACAAAAGCCCACTTTTGTTTGCTTCGTGGGCAAAGGGGGCAAGTTCAAAACATTACGGGCAATTGAACTCGAGATTTTTGGCCAATTAGGTAACCTCCAAGGCAAAGATGTGGACCACGATCCATCGACGAGATGTCAGATCGTGGCTTGTGGTATTGGCCTGTCATCTTTTGTGACAAGATGCAAATTGGAAAGGTCTCTGGGAATGAGCGGACCATCCTTGACATCGAGTTTGGACCATTTGTGATGGGCTCGAAAGAGCGAGCCCCTCCAGGAAGCTCAAAACTTGGCCAATTAGCGACCGCAACAATTTGGCTTACACCAACAATTGAAAAAACTGGCCCAAAACAGTTCGACAAAATAAAAAAATATGTTGAACATGCCTGCGTTCCAAGGCTGGCGATGATTTAAAATAATTAATCTCTGGCTCTGGGTCTCCTCAATGGTTGCTGGATGGATGCTGCATCTTGATTGAGCCAAGGTCTGAATTTTACAATCTACTAAACTGCAGAAGCTGACTCGCTTGCTTCTCTTATTTTTTTGTGGTTTTCGCTTTTCAGTCTATTGTAATTTGTAATGTAAAACCTTTTTTTTTGGTGTACGATTGTGCAATCGCAATTACAATGGACTTTTTTTGTGTTCGGCATTCCAATTGATCTATTCGTAGGCGTTCTTATCGCCATCCGGCATCTTGGCTTTAAAATTACTTTCTCCAAATTTTGCATTTATGTGGAGTCTACTTTTTACACGTTTTTGTCATATGAATTGACACATTTCTATGGCATATGCCTTTGGAATATTTAATTAATTGGTTACGGAAGCGTGGGAATATTGAAGTTTATTAGTTGCTTATGAATAAAATTATTAAGGCTTATTAATAAAAATTTGAATCAATTTCTTTCGAAAAAAATAAATAACAAAAATTAAGTTTTACCTTGTATTATGATTTTATGTTAAAAATTTGATTGATGAGTTAGGAATATTTTTTGATTAATATGAAATGCTTAATGATGAATGTTTCATGTTTAATTTGATGGGTTGGGGCTTATTTTTAGATGAATGTGGGATGATGAAATAATAATTTAAAATAAATATAGCTTGATATTGAAGACCATAATGTTCAAGTACAAATTAATCCTTTTTAAGGGAAAGTCTTTAATTTAATGTAAACAATTCATTATTAAGTCAATTATCCTCCGAGAAAGGCCTTTCAAGCACTCACCCAGTGCCACTCCACTTTCACAAAACCTTTCAAGGCTCAATCGCCAATAAACCGCATTAAATTCATAAACCAACTTTTCTGACGCGAAAAGAAAACATCAGCGAACTCTTGAGACAAATAAGCAATCTGCAGCAACTAGCTACCAATAACCAACAGCAAGGAGAAAAAAAATACACAAATATTTAAAATAATAACGACGAAAACAATCAATAAATATGAAACGTTTATGAAAAGTGTTGACTTGGGGGCGCAATCACCAATCCCAAACAACTGAAAATGGGCAAAAACAAAAGGTTCAGTCAGCATTGAAGCAATCCGAAGCAATCCAATTCAGCCATTCACTTTCGACAAGACAAGAAAAAGGTTGAAGTGGAACCATAAAAAATTGCCATGTCCAAGAAACCAGTGTAATTATGTATAACAAAGATGTACGAACAGGCAACAAGGGATCCCTTAAGAGACTTTCAAGTCAAGTAGCCGCCCCATCATCCCACCATGAATTTGGATTTGGATTTGGATTTGGAGGCACGAGCATACAGATTAATAGCGGCAATTTCGCGTAAATGGTTTTGCTGCCACTTCCAGTTAAAAACCGCAAATAAAACTGATTCCAGCGAGAAGTTGGTAACAACTAAGTGCCAAGGAAAAGCAAACGGGAATCATTCAGGGCTCTCTAAGCCCAAAAAAATATATAAATTTAGCTGCTGCTGCTGCGACTGCTGCTGCTGCTTTGCTTTTCATGATGGAAATAATGATGATGAGCGCGTCGGCTGAAAAACGCCGGCAGAGGAGGGCACCCGCTAGTTGGAGATCGGTTTTATGCATTTGCATTCATTATGTTTGGCACCGTCGACGCGACCACAACGTAACTCCAAGATCGGATCGGAATCGGAATCGGAATCGGTATTGGAGATCTTATAGTATAGTATAGTATATAGCCAGGTACTTACCAGGTAGCTTTGGCAACCGTCGTCACGTGATCGTGTCGCGTTCGTTCTTTCTGCTCGTCATTCATCTGTCGTCTAACTCGTCGTCTAACTCGTCGTCCAACTTGTGCAATCCACCTGTCGAATATCGGAGAATATGTCTCGCATCTGGATTTGTGTACCGAGCTCTTAACGTTTGTCTGCAGAAGTCGCTATCGAAGTCGTTTAGATCCGCGAGTGCCTGTCGATCAACTTGACCTTTCAGCTCTCAGATCAGGAAATTGTCTACATTCCTACCATAAAAATGTCTTCCACATTTACAATCTGGCCAATTGCTTTAATATATCTTTGCCTGAGTCCGGCAATAATAGTTGCCCAAGACTCGGAGTTTGCGGCACGCAACCACAAGGTGTGTACGCTGAAGCCTCACCCGCACAATTTAACCATAAATAATTCTGTCGAAAAACCAATTTCAAGAAACGCCAAATCTATCGGGAACAAGTGTTGCCACATGCGGGTGGCAAGATCCCAGACACCGCTTTCGAGACGGATCGCTTGTTTCTGAACCGCCTGCAAAAGGAGGGAATCGCAGTGCCCGATGGCATTGTGCCCGAGCAGCGGAGTCCCCAGGTAAATATCAGCAGGAGATCCTAGATCCTTCTTCGAAAAGGCTTGCAATGAACTGCTCTTCAAAACATGCAGCTCTGAGAATGATTTGGTTCAAATAAAAGGTTGCATTATCTGAATGCTGCCAATATAAATCTCTTTAAGAATAACATGAAAAAATAAGTTACAAAATAAGTTACAAAAGTTAGAATAATTATTTATTAATTATAACTAATAGCACTTTTATCAGTTTTGCTTAGCAGACTTTAAGATTAAATAAAACAATTTCTACAGATTTTTTTATTTCAGCAGAGCACTTTGATTTATGAAAAGAGTATAAATCTATTCAATATAAGCAAATTAAGGACAAATCAATTAATCATTTAGTTATGCATGTTATATATTTAAACCGTTGTTTTGCGATTAATTTTTCAAGTTCAGATATAAGGTTGGAACAGCAAACGCCAAACTTGGAAACATATATTTATAACTTTATAAGCTGCTTCTTTATTTTTATTGTCTGCAGTTCAATATTTTCGTAATCGCTAATTGCCTTAAAAAAAGTAATGATCATTAAAGATGCTTTAGGATATTTGAATACCTTTCGAGTTTTAACACTTAACAGAAAATTTTTCTTATATGTGGATCAGTTAAAAGATTTATTAAAGTTCTTAAGAACTTTATGTTCTTCATGCTGAGATGCTATATAAATAAATTTATTACCGTTTGTTTAAGTGCAACATACAAAATTAAAATTTATGGAAAAATTATATTCGATTTTTTTATAGCTCGTTAACTAATAAATTCAGTGCTAAACAGCTATAGAATTTATTTATCTTCTTCTCTAGCAAACAGCTAAGTTTACGAGTTGGTTGTAAAAATATTTAAATGTTGTGCATATTTTTTATGCCCATGGTATTGTTTTTTTTTCCTTAACAAATTTACACATTTACCATTATGAGATAAATTAGCTTTTTTGAGCTGAAATTAGCTTAAGTAGTTTAATTACCTTGTTGCTCAAAGAAGTAAGCCAAAGGATTTTAACATTAAATTAAATTAATTGGCTTTAAAGATTAATACATTAAAATGCTAGTCATATTTTTTTAATAATTTTAAAAATTAATAAACCTTTTAAGCTAGTTTACCTTGCATTTTTTATTAGGTGTACCAGTACTATAACAAGCCGATGCGAACGGTCTTCCACATCGCCCTGAGCTCGGATGGGAGGTACACGCCGCGGGAGGGACGATACCACTACCGCCAGGTGCCCACGGTGGAGACCACATACCTGTACCCGCAGGCGGTGGGTCGCCAGCACGTGGTGGTGCCGCCCAAGCACGGCCTTCCCGTCTACCGACAGCTCCAGTTGCACAATCCCCTTCTCAATCAGGTCAAGTTGCAGCCCAAGAAAAGTGAGTAGATAGAGATGGAGATTGGATGCCCCCTTTCCCAGTTCAAGCTAAATTTGCGCTATTGTAGTGCCCAATTTTCTGGAACTGGCGCCCTCGGTGGGCAAGAGCCATGCGAATCCATTAGCCGGATCGGCCAAGGCGCAGTCTTATCAGAATGTGAATCTCCTCCATGGTCACAGTCCGGTGCTGCCGGCTTTCAAGAAGACCGCCAAAGGCAGCAAGACCTATGTGGACAGCTATGGCACAACCCATGTGAGTTGATCGGGATTATGGGGATTTATGTAATACTCTAAAACTCTGTTTTTTTTCTAACTAGCTCTTCAGCGAATTTGACGACCTGCTGAGCAAACTGGACTTGCATCAACAGACCCGCAAGAATTATTAGTTTTAGTGCTTTTCACATGCCCAAATTTAGTAGAATTTATGGATGCGGCATTTCTGTTTATCTTTAGCCAAGAGTTAGGTTTACAAGTGGTTCGTAACCATTGTCTAACCATGTGCATATCATTTCAAAACTTTTGCCATACGCCCCCTCACCGATTAGTGCATTTCCATTCCCATTCCCAAGTTTGTAATCCATTCATGCCCAGCCCATACACAGAGAGAAATATTGTATTAAAATTCATCACCACAAATTATTTTTTAAATTAAAAGAACATTTAAAATGTATAATATTTTTTCGAGTAATTCTAAACTTATTATTTGTGATTAAAGCTTCGCTGAACAGTTTGTTACATTTCTTTTATCTAAGAATTCTTTTAAAATATCAGCATCATTATTTGGTTTTTGATTAAAAGGATTTTTTGGCTCTCTGTACCAAGTTGCATCCACACATCGCTTGCTAACCCATCCATCCACATATTGTACCGTCTTAGCCAGGCCAAGCGATATGGGAATTCATTCGTATTTAGCTAGTTAAGCGTAAACAATTTGTATCTTGCAAAATAAACCCAGCCCGTGCTGCATTGTACTTTCCCACATCAGTCATATATGATAATTATGCGGAGACGAAGGAGCATTACGCTGCAAGCGGTTCGTTTACTTTGGCAATAATTGAAGCAGAGCTAAGTAATTTGCCAATTTGAAATGAAAAAGCTTGCGCCAACAGCTTCCAGCGCAAAAATCGAAACCGTTACGAAGACTTAAATCGGAACGGTACCCTTGAAAGCTCCATGCTCAAGTGGTTGCCGCTGGAAAACTCCAGTTTAGTTTGATTTTCAAACCCAACTCGGACGGTTGTCTCTCCAACTCTAAAGCCTCCAAGCTACCAACTTCAACGTAGGCGGAAAATATATATATATTGAACATAATGATGCCGAAGCTGGGTTGTTTCTCTTTTTGGCTAATGGTCGTCATCGGAGCCGCTGTTTCCATCGAAGTTCAGGTGAGGATTGAGGATCGGGTGTCTCGAGTGTATAATTATGGGGAGGAATCAATTAAGAGGAGCGTGCGCCACCCCAATTGACAAAGCTCTGGGTGTCTTAGCCACGTTCACTTTTGACCCAAAAATTGTAACATGCAATATGTGTACGAGTGCCGACGATTGTGGCCATAAAGAGGCAGTGCCGCGCGGGGATTTGCGGGGTATTAAAACCGGATTGGGGCACGAGCTCTTGTGGCTGACTTATGCAACGGCCACCATTTGATATGTTTACAGAAATTCGGCTATCTTTTCAATCCACCGCAAGCGGAACACCAGCAGCATCATGAGGAGAAGCAAGATCTGAACAAGATACCCGGAGTTCCGGGCGTGGATTATCCAGTTTACCATGAGGTTCCGCACACCCACTTCAGTTGCCACAACGTTCCGGCCACGCCGGGTATGTACGCCAATGTGGAGACGGGTTGTCAGGCATATCACGTCTGCCACGATGGACGCGAAGGTGACCAGGGTGCCAAGTTCCTCTGCACCAATGGCACCATCTTCAATCAAAAGGAATTCGCGTGCGACTGGTGGTACAATGTCAAGTGCGAGGAGGCCACCAACTTTTACCAGTAAGTTTCAAGTTTTTCTTTTTTAATATTTCTTTTAAAAAATGTTATCTTTTTAGTTTAAATGCTGATCCGGAGCACAATCCATACTTCCCCAAAAAGAAACCTGAACTGGAGCCTTATGCTAATGATATTCATGATGCCAGCAAGTTTCTGATACAAGCCTAATTCAATTCTCATTCTCGTTTTGTTGTTGTTCTTTCACACTTGTAAATAAAACATGAGTAATTTAGATTTCATTTTTCTTTTTAACGGACCGAATAAATTTGCATTGTTTTTTGTCCTGGAATAAAATTAATTAAATTATAAACAAATGTGTATCGTTGTCTTAATAAAAATATTAATACAAATAAAAAATTTGTAGACCTAGCTTTACAAAAGAAAAATATGGTACGTTACATAATTTTAACCTTTTTTTAAAAATCGGAAATTCGAACCAAGTAACGGTTAATTAATTACCAGTATATACTAGATTCATTTTAGTATATTTTATGAGAAAGTATATTTTACAAGAAAGCGAGTTGTTTCGGTAATTTGCACCAGTTAGTGTCACTGCCTTATTAAAAACAACAGCAATAAATATTCTCGAATAAAAATCGCTCTCGAAATTAGGAATAGGTAGAAAAATGAATCTTTTAGATCTGCCGCAGACGGTGCTCCTAGACATCTTCGAATGGTTGCCCTACGATGAAGTGGCCAAAAAACGAGAGGTGAGTGTTGGCCAAATGGGAAATCCAAAAGTCTCTGGACGGTGACTTAAACTAGACGTTTCCATCTAGGTGTGCACACTTTTCAATTACCTTGGCCAGCAGGTCTTAAATAAGGGATTCAATAAGATTATTATGGCCCATGCCAAGAATTTTAAACGCATCAAATCTATGCTGCCACGACGTGAATCAGAACGCAGGTGAGTTGCGCATCATTCGCGAGACATCGAAACATCTAGTGATTTCAATTTGTTGCTTCTTTAGGAACCACATACTATCCCGCCACTCGGACATACTGACCTCCATTGAGACGCGCATTTCGATGTTGACCATGACGTACTCCAAGTTCATCGACCTCAACATCTGCTGCTTTATACCCGGCCGCGTTCTCGACGAGATCAACAGCATCCTGCGCATTCTGAGCACCTCCACCAAGCAGCTGCGACCTCACGAGGTCCTGCAGGAACTGCGAGACATCTCCTCTATGGCCATTGAGCACTTCGACGAGAAAATTGCCGTTAACTTCAAAATGGAACACCGGAAACAACTGGCGGAATCCACGGCGGCCGGAACTCGGCTGGTGGTCTGCAGTGCCCTCGGCGACATCAGTTTCAGCGGCGTCAAGCGAAACGGAATCAGTCGACCCGTGGTGGATCATGCCCTCGTCCAGCAGGCCCTCGTGCAGTTGGCACCCATCTGCGCCAGCAAACCAGCACAGCCAGAGTCCCAGCAAAGGGATCGCGTCTCCAAGCACATCCTCAAGCAATACCAACTCCAAAGGACACTTATGCAAAAAGTACGCACCCTTGAGATGTCGCGCAAGGTGCAAGATCGCCGGCTGCAGGATGCCGTCTCCACGATAACAGAACTGACCACCCAGGTGTCGGAACTGAAGCGCCAAATGGAGGATGTGTTGGCCAATATGCCCAGCTGTGGCGTCAAGCGACAGGCGGTGGCCAGTGCGGACTGCATGCCACCGGCCATTAAAAAACCCAAGGTCTAGCCAAGGATTAGGTTAAGAAATTAGATTACAAAAAAAAAAAATGAAAAAATGAATGAAAGAAAGAAAACTCCCCTCCAGACGAATTTTAGCTGATAGTTGGAGTACGTAGCATAAACTAGACAGTGCAGCTTCGATATATCGCGTTAAGATTTATTGTTGCACTTGTTACTTAAATATTGTATTACTACTATATAAATACATTGAACATCTAGTGAAAAGTTCTCATTTACGCAATCGCAATCGCCGGTCCTTGATGGATTTTTCGTCTTTATCGTTTTTGGTTGAATGAACAGTATGGTTTGGGTTTACATATTTTATTTATAGCCCTTGCCACAACTGCAGTCATCGATAGTAACTCTGGCTTTCGTCTAGTTCGTTTATTGGCGGAGATCCATCCCGGGACGGTCCCTTGTTGCTATTGTTAGTGTTAAAACTACTGCTCTATGCGGGAATTGTGGATATCTGGGCTCTGGTGTTCGTTCTATGATGCTATGGTAATTACTCGTTATCTTAGCGTATAAAAGGTAGTAGAAATTGCAACACGTTAGCATGGTTTCTTTGAGGGATCGTCTGACTTAATTCGAAGCTAACTACGTACATATACACTATGCTCTCTATATACAATAACACAAATATAGGGTTAATAACATTTTTCGGGATCGGGGGTACATATTGCATAACAAAAAAAACCAAATGGAAAACAAAAATCATTGCAAACTTCTTATCGACATAATGTGTATCAACTAGTCAAAATTGAAAGCATTGCCACGTTGAAATAGTAAATAGTTATAGTTACTATCAACATCAGATCCTTCGCTCTTATCATACAGTTAGTAATAGTGTCAGTTAGTCAACTGGGAGATAAACGTTGCATAAACATATATATATCCGTGTTTTGTGGCTCGCTGTTCCAACGCTCCATTCTTCATTCCGCATTTATAGGTGCATGGATCAACTCGTAGTCATTACTATATTTCACCCAATCATCAGTTAGGCTGCTCACTAGCGATGGCGAATCACAAATGTATACACATTTCTTTGAATATGTACATCAGCGAGGGATTCCTAATCCGTATTCTTATCTGTATCTCTGTTTGTGTCTGTATCTGTCTTGCGCCGCCGATTAGTAACGACGCCGACGATGCTACTTTTTCTTTACCACTGCCTTGTGGTTAATCTTCTCCTGCAGTTGCCGGATTAGCTGCTGTATATCATCCACGTTGTACGCGTAGATTAGCTTGCATTGCTTGGCCTGGATGTTCCCATTGTTGAGGTTCTTCAGCGCGTGCTGCAGGCAATAGATGTTGCCATCCTCGGTGCGCACCATCGATATGTACAGGTTGGCGCGGCACAGATCGCACTCGCTTTCGATTGACTTGTATGGCGGCTGTGGCTGCTTCTTGGCCTTCTGGTTCTTCTCCGTCTGCACTTTCTCGGTGGATGTTACGCCAGCAGCCTGAAAAGTGTTTAAATAAATTATTAAAATTGTTGCAGTTCTTATAAAACCTATTCTTTTTTGGCATTTATAAAATCTTTAATTAACTCACCCTAAGCTGTTCTCTGGCAGCGGATTCCTTTTCGCAAACATCGTTGAGCATGGGCAACATTTGATGCAGAGCCTCGGAATTTACCCGCTGGTCATAGCCCAAAGCAAACAGCAGTTGCTCCAACGAGAACATGGCCGGCTCACAGCTCTCATGGATGTCCTATAAACCAAACAATTATTAGTCTCTGTGTTCAATGCAATAAACAGACTAAAACACTCACCCTGAAATCATCCTTGGCCAGATCCAGCCAGGACATGGTGGCGAAGTAAACGCTCTCGGAGACCACGTAACCGGTGGCCAGACTGGAGGTGTAGGCCCGTGGGAACACCACTATGAACTCGCCCGGCTTCTGCTCGATGCGGCACAGCGAGACGCCGCGATCCGTGAGCATGTGCGGTGGCACCATCACCGTATCACAGGGCAACCAGATCGTCTTGTTCTGGCAGTGCGTCGGTATCAACGAGGTCAGCGCCGCTCTGAAGTTGGCACTCTGATCGTCGGGAATGCCGTACCACAGTTTGGAGGCGCCCGTGTGCAGGTACTCGATCCAGGACAGGCCATGAGGATCCCGGTACCAGCAGCAGGCGGAGAAGAGCATGCCCACGTGGAGCGTGGGAACGGTGACGCCCATGACGGGACCCAGGGAGCGCAGCACGGAGCCCGAGTTGTTGGTCAACACCTTGAGGTTCCACGGATGCCTGGCATAGTTGGAACCCTTGCCCTTGGGACCAGGACTAGGAAAACCATAACCCCAACCGGAGCTGTCAATGGAGCCCGAGTGGACGCAGACATGGCTATCGCGGACGGCCACATGTCGCCAGAACTCCGCCTCCACTTCGTTGACGGTGGGATCGGTGCTCTTGAACCACAGCGCCATCGTGTTGCGGGCAATCCTGTAGAACTGGCTGAGCGCCATGCTCCTGCCCTTCACAATGCACTCCATGGACACGCCGTCGATCTCCTCCTCGGACTCCTCGTCCTCGTCGCTGCTCACGTCGTCCTCCTCGTTGGACACGCTCTCCGTGTTCACAAAGCGATCCGCATTCCGTCTTGCTCGCGCTTCCCGCTTGGCCCAATCCGCTTCCACCTCGTCGAAGAGCTTCTGGCGCTCCGCCGGCGACAGTGTGTCGTAGGGCAACAGGTACTTGCAATAGATGTCGTCCAGTTTGGTCACCCGATCCTGGGCCAGCTTGGGTATGCACATCTCCTCTGCCACACGCGCCCACTTCTTCTTCTCGATTACCTCCTTTAGGCCACCGAGTTCCTGGACAGTGTGATATAGACGCGGCAGATCCACCTCCATGCCACCGATCCAGGGTGGATGATTCATCACGATACTCTGGGTAGCCAGGTACTTCTTGATCGCACTCAGCTCCTTGGCACTCGGTCCCCAGCGATGGAGCATCTTGTGCACATACTGATTGTACGCCGTGAAGCGCATCTCGTCCGATATCCGGCATTCCGGCTTGAAGCTGGCCGGCGGAATGATCTTACAGATCCCAAACCTGGCCGCTATCGGGGTGATCCGTTCGATGAACTCAATGGGATCGGCGAACTCCTTTTCCGTGGGCCTGAAGATGGGCGCCTCCACCATCTGGGTGGGATCGTCGTGGCGCGGGAAAGCCGTATTGTTGGCCATCTTGATGGGTGTGTCATCCTTGTACTTCTTGGCCACCGCCGCTGCCGTGGAACTGGTCTGGGCAGCTGTACGGGATTTGGCCGAACCGGAGAAGAGCGATGAGTTCGAGTTGACACGCACCAAACTGGAAGCGCCGGGAGCAGCAGTTCCTCCTGCGCCCGCTGCTGCCGAAGTGCTCGCCTTGGGCAAACTCTTCAGGCTCGTCGTCGTGGAGGCCGCATCATTGCTGGCCGCATGGAGCAGCGTTTTCACCAGCTCGTTGGTATTCAGTGATTCTGGCAGCGGTTTCGAGTTGGTGTCCATCTGCGCCTTGGTCACCAGAGTGGCCTGCATCACCACCTTCTGGTTGGGACCGTCGGGTCCCTCTCTTCCCAGCTTAACTGCCACTCCTTGGATGCCGCCATCCCCACTGCCGCCCACTCCAGCTCCTTGCAGGGGTATGTAGAAGGTGGCACCCTCTGCATCCGAATCTCCGCTGGCTTCCACCGCCGGTGCTGGTGTTGGTGGAGCGGGAGCCTGCGGCTGTTGCTTTTTGGCTCCTCGTCCGGTGGTGGCCTTCGGTTTGCCATCGATCTTGCAGTTCTCCGTGGGACTCAGCGTCAGTTGGACAGCAGTGGCTGCCGCGGCGGCTGCAGCTCGTTTCTTGGTCGGAGATCGCTCGCTTAATGCATTGGAAACGGGTGCTGGCGTAGGAACAGGACTGGGTTCCGCCCGCCGACGATTGCCCGGCTTGGTGGCCGCTTCCTCCTCCTTGCCAAAGGCATAAACCGATTCCCGTTTGGATCCTGCTCCACCGCTTGGAGCACTTGCAGCCGGTTTGGTCTCCGCCTGCGGCTGTTGAGCTTTGGAGTTCTTTTGATTGTAGACCGGCGTCCGCTTTGGATTCGGTGGTGTGGGTGCCGCTGGCGGGGAAGCTATCGAAGTGGCACCTGCACCGCCAGAGGCAGCAGCAGTTTTCTTGCCCTTCTCCGGTTTTTGCTTGACGGCCGGTGGCGGAGTGGGACTGCTCTTGGATGGCGTTAGGGAAACAGGAGTGGGCGTGGACGAAACGGGAGTGGGAGGCGTGGTGGCTGCACTTCGCGGCGCAGCCTTCGATGCGATGGCTTTGATCGACTCCTTGACCTTTCGATCGTTGATCCTCTTTTCGGCAGCCGTCGGCTCATTGGATGTCAGTTTCTGGGTGAGATTTACCGGCGTCGAGGATTTGTCGTAATCCAGGGCATCGCAATCCTTGCCATCGGCCAGCTCGAGGTGTTCCTTGCGATTCGGCGGAGTGACCAGCACGGGCGTGGCCTTCAGTGATGGTCCCTTCGCCGACCAGGCGCTCTCACTCTTGCCGAGATCACCGCGCGTATTCTTCGACGACGAACTGAAGCTCGCACTCAAATCCTTGTCATCTCTCGTCGGTGGCGGAGTGGTGGACTGCTGCGGTCTCAGACTATCATCGAAATCGTCATCCAAATCGTCTTGGATCTCATCCGGATTCGAGGAGCATTCGATGAGCCACTTCTGGATCTGTTCGTGGGTCATGTTCACCTTCGCCTTGCGTCGCTCTTTGCTGGACAACTGATCGCCAAAGTATCCCTCGGTGGGCACCACTGGTCCCAGCACGGGCTTGTGGATGGAGCCACACTTGCCCAGGGTGCACTTGGTGTTGTCCGGTCCGGAACTCTGGGCCAAACTCACGCTGGCAATCCCAAAGATCTTGCCCGATTCCTCCTTGCTTGGCATCAGTGTGGCCTGCGCCAAGATGCTTCCAATCTCGTCCTTCAGTGGATCGGAATTGGCACCTGCTCCGCCTGCTGCAGTTCCTCCTCCACTGTTGCTGTGCGCCGGTGGTGGCGTTGAGGTGGCCGTCACCGTGGTTGCAACTGTCGGCTGATGAGCCACTGCCGCCGCCGACGAAGTGGAGGCCACGGCCATTGGAGCTGCGTTCACGGTGGAGGCAACACTCATGCTAAGATTCAAGCTGGACGTCTGGATGACCACCTGGCTGACTGGCGGCGACGGCGGTGGCGGTGCCAACGGGCTCTTGGTTGCCGAGGAAGGAGTGCCCACTGTGGTGGCGCTCGTACCCGACGTGGGCATAAACTTCACCGGCGACGGACTGGGAAAGGTGCTGGACGACGATCTCGGCAGTGGACTCCGCTCGTACTTGGGCGTCAGAAAGTTCGGATTGATCTTGGGACACTGGTACGCCTCAATGGGCGGCGGATAGGTGGTCGGTGGCGTCTGATACTTCAGCGGCGAGGTTCCCTGCGCGGGAGTCTTACTCCCCGATGGAGTTCCTCCGCCTCCAAATTGATGGGTGGGCGTCGGTGGTGGACGCACATAGCCGGAATGATAGTGGGGCGATGCCTGCGGCAGATACGAGGAGGTCTTCGGGAAACCCACTGCACCGCTGGCACTTCCGGGCAGCGCATAGGTGGCGGGCACATTTAGGATCTTGGACGTCGGCACCGGCGGCTTCTTCTCCATGGTTTTGAGCGGTGAATAACTGGCCGGCATGCAGGGAAACATGGGCATGCTGCCCAGCGTTGGCGTGGCCTTGGCCGTCAACGGGAGCATGGTCAATTGGGTGGTGCAAGCGGTGGTTGCCGGTGGTGTGCTGGTGGTCACCGCCAGCGAGGGAGCCACCGAAGAAACTAAGGGCGTGGGCACCGTGATGGCCGACGGAAATGTCGCCAATTTGGGCGGTGGACTGGGCATCTTCGGTGGTGTCACCTCCTCCTTATCTTTGGCTGCCACCACCGGAACTTTGATGGCCAACGGCTCGTCATCGGAGTCACTGAAGCTCTTCTCCAGCTTGCGCTTCGTTTCGTTCAGCTCCTCGTTGATGAGAAAGTCCTCCTCCTCGTCGGAGTCGACTTTTGAATGTTCGGACTTGGCTTTGGGCTTGGCCTGCTGCTCCGCCATCTTGGCCAGCGCTCCCTTCTTCACCAGCATGCCCTCGATGGGCGGTTTGGGCGGCGGTGGAGCGGCAGCAGCCGATGCCCTGCCCGCCTTGGGCGGACGACCTCGTCGTGCGGGGGGCGGTGGCTTCTCCTCCTGGGCTTCCGGTGGAGAGGGGGACGCATCATTAGCGGTGGCTTCTATCGGATCTGCGGCTGCTGCTGCCGGGGAATCCTTGGGTCGTGGCGACGGCTTACGGGATGATTTGCCTGCCGAAGACACCGTCGTGGCCTCCGGCACGTTTAACTTTCCCGCCGCATTGCGTTTGATTTCGTTCTCCATCTTCTCCATCTCCTTGACATTTGGGATGTCCGGGAAGCTGCTCATCGAAAGGTCATCCTCCTCATCGTCGGCCAGCTGCAGTTTGTGACCAATGATGCCCATGTAAATGGCTGCCGCTTCCTTGGTTTTGCGGGACGGACGTTGCGTTCGCTGAGGCTCCAACTCCGCGGAGTCCTCCGATGCCTTGCTCTTCGCCGCCGTCTTCCGAGATCCGCGTGCATTGGTGGCGGCCTTCTTCGATGAGGGTGGCGCCAGTTCAAGCTCATCGGCTGGCGTGTCCTCGGCTTTCTTTTTACCGGCTTTCCCTCTTTTCCCGCCACTTGGCGGTTCCTCTACTTTGCTCTCTGGAACAGGTTCCTTTTCCTTTTCCTTCTCCTTTTCTTTTTCCTTTTTTTCCCTTGCCTTTTCCTTCTCTAGCTCCTTTTCCTTCTCCTTGAGCCTTTCTTTCTCCAGCTGCTTTTCCCTTTCGGCTTCTTTTTCCTTTTCCTTCTCGAGCTTTTTGGCTGCCGCCTTGCGATTCCTGGCCGCAGGAGCAGCTGAAGCAGCCGCTCCCTTCTTGGGACTCGCCCCCTTGCCGCCCTTCTTCAACTTAATTGACTTGGCCAGCGGCTGTTCGTCATCCGAACTGAAATCGAAGACGTTCAGGCTTTTCTTGCCCTTGGAACCGGCACCGTGTTGACCGTCTCCGTTTTCCAGCTGCTGCTTGGCGTCTTTGGCATAAATACTGGAATTCGTCTTCTCCTTGGCTTCCTTAATCTGCTTGGCAGGCTCGGCTGGCTCTTTATCCGGTTTGTTTGGCGGCGGTTCTGGTTCCTTTTTGGGCTCTTCCTTTGGCGGCTCGGGGGTGCCAGGTTCCTCGTTGTGCGGAGGAACCTTGACTGGCTCGAAAAAAGCCCGCTGTCTTGTCATGCGGCCCGACGACTCGGGTGAGGGTATAAATATGGGCGACTCCCGTTGCCTTACGCGCTTCACTGGTGCCTTGTCCTTCGAAGCTGTCTGGGATTCGGGTGTGGGCTCCACTGCTGCTGCTGCTGCTTTCTTGCCCGCCGAGGGACGTCCTCTTTTGGTCGGTTCTGCTGCTTTCACAGGACTATCCACCTTCACCTCTTCGCCATTGCGCGAAGTGGCATCGTGAGCGGAGAAGAACTCATCCTCATCCTCATCGGCTTCGTCGAGATCCTCCGACTGGTCATCGTCTATGATGGGTTTACTCTCCTTAGCAGTGGATCGATTCGAGCGGCGCTTGTTGTTCGATGCTGCTGCTGTTGTTATTGCCTTGTCAGGAGTCACAACTGATCCGGCTGCTCCCCTGCCACGTGCTCCTCGTCGATTGCCATCGGTGACAACCTCCGCCCGTTTGCGTACCGCTCCTGGCAGCACAGGAGTTGGAGTTGGCGCCAGAGTTTCCGTGACTCCGGCTGCAATGAGATGGTTTTTATCACTGGCTGCTTTTTCTGCTGTTGGTGTCTTCTCCGTGGCCTCGGGAACTGCAACTGGCGTATCCACTTTCTTTGCCGCTCCTTTGGCGGGACGACCACGCTTCTTTTTGTTTGCCGCCAAGCTCGCTCGACTGTTGTTGGCCTTTTTTGCATTGTTATTATTGTTGGCTCCCGTCGTCGTGGCATCCGAATCCTTGGACTTGCCCTGATTGAGGAAGTCCAGGTGGGCGGGCAGCGCAGGAGTGCCGCGAAAGCAGAGAAAGGTGAGAAAGTCCTGCGCCTTTGGGCACTTGTTGGGCAGGATCTCGATGGGCGGCTGAGAGCTATCCGCTCCGGAGGTGCTGGGCCCCGATCCGGATCCAGTTGCCGCTGCTACTGCGCTGTAGGCGTTGCTCGACGAGCTGCTGGGTGCACTCTGACCCTGGGCGAACTTGCGCTGAGCCTGCACCTTCGTTCTGCAAATGGAAAGTGACAAATCAGCGGTGTGAGTGGTTTTTATTTTGGGAAAAAGAGGCAACTTGATACAAATTGGATAAGTCAATATTAATAAAGATCATAATTAAGGCCATTCAGGTCTGTATTACAAGGGAGCATAAACAGTGGGCTCACGATAAGAAAATATTGCTTCAACGTCGTATGAATAATTTCATTGCTTCATTATGTTCAATTTTTGGGTTATTAACCCTGTAAATGATCAGTAAATTCTCTCCAATATTCACTAAGAAATTCCTAAGACGTAGTTGAAATATTTGGGCAAACATAAACTTACAATTTGATAATCTAACATTGATTTAAGTGACTAATCAATGAAAGTGATTTTGTTGACTTTATTTACTAACTAAAATTATTAAGAGTTGAATAATCCACAAAACTTTGCGTTAATAGTGATAATAAACAAGAATAAAGTAGTTTAGATATTTGATTTCCTAATTTAGCATAGTGACTAACCACTGTTGGTGCCACCTGCTCGAGGGGGATCCCCCCTCTGGCCCACTGCTCCCACCCGTAAACGACGGATGCGAAACACCCCTTCGTGGAGAAAAAAACAACAACAACAACTACGCCACGACACGCTGTTCACGCTGGCTTATACAATTGAAACCCCCCTCCACCCACACCAACAGTTACTCCCCTTGGCGTGCCCCCAACCCTGCCCCCCTCCTCTACATTTGCAATCATTCGAAGCGCTGCGACGTCATCTTCGTAGTGCCACACACACTTATTTGTGTTGCTGGACAAAAACCCATTTTCCGAGGAATAACTTACCTTTTGGGCATTTCTGGGGAGGACTCGATGGCCGCCACTGCCGAAGGAGGCGCCAATGTGGAGGCGGTGGGCGTACCACCTGGCGGAGGCGGCGGGGGCGTCTCCGTCTCCTTGCGGCGACGCTTGTTGTTGTTGTCTTTGGAGACAACCATTTTGTTGCCAACTTTTCGCGCCTCTTTTTCACTCGCCTCTTTTCTCTCGCTCGCGCGCGTTCCTTCTTTGAATTAATTATTGTTATTATTATTTATTATCCGCACATCCGATTCTCGGCCGGATTCTTCTTTATTATGTATAGATTTGCACATATATATATGTATATATATACATATGTATATCTACAACAAATAGCGTTTTTGTTGCTGCTTCTGCTGCAGCACGCAATTTTCGTATTTTCGCTTCATCTTTACGTGCTTAAGCGGCTGTTCTAGCTCTCAAAATGTACACTAAAATGCTGATTATTGTCTCTTTTGTCTGCTGTACACTGGGGGTTCACATTTCAAACACAGCAAGTGCTGCAAAATTCATTTTCTTTCGCGAGATTTGCTTGCACATATTTTTTTCGTCTTCTGCTTCTTCTTACACCGCTTTTGCTTTGTGTCATGGCGGACAGGCGAGCTGCCAGACATTCGACCCAGGGCTGCGTAAACAGCTGGCCAGACTGCGGGACTTACTTCGAATCTGGCAAGGCTGGTCCACTCTGTGAGTTGACAAAAATTTTGTGGGCTGTAAAAGCTATTTTTTGTTCGATAAATCTACACACAAGAGGTAATTAAGTGAATATAAGTAAGATGAGCGACGGCGCAGGTAACTGGTGTTTAATTGAATCCGATCCCGGGGTCTTCACTGAGCTCATTCGCGAATTTGGTGAGTTATTGGCGCGCTTTGCTAGCGACGCCGGCAATTTTAACAGGGAAAAGCTACTAATGCTATCTACTTAAAACCAGGCTGCGATGGTGCCCAAGTGGAGGAAATTTGGAGCCTGGACAGCGAGTCGTTCAAGAATCTGGAGCCCATCCATGGCCTGATCTTCCTGTTCAAGTGGGTGCATGAGGACGAGCCTGCTGGCAAAGTGGTCCTAGATCGGGAGAACATTTTCTTCGCCAAGCAGGTCATCAACAATGCCTGCGCCACCCAAGCGATTCTGAGTCTGCTGATGAACCTGGAACACGAGGACATCAAGCTGGGCGAGACCCTAACAAACTTCAAGGAGTTTTGCCAGTGCTTCGATCCCTACAACAAGGGATTAACTTTGAGCAACGCCAGTCAGATCCGCACGGTGCACAACTCCTTTGCCCGCCAGACGCTCTTCGAGCTGGACATGAAAAATCAAAACAAGGACGAGGACGTATACCACTTTGTGGGCTACATGCCCATCGGGGGAAGACTGTACGAACTGGATGGCCTGCGGGAGGGACCCATTGATCTGGGGGAAATTGGGCCGGAGCAGAACTGGATCGATGTGGTGCGACCAATCATTGAGAAGCGCATGCAGCGCTACAGCGACGGGGAGATCCACTTCAATCTGATGGCCCTGATCTCGGACAGGCAGCGCATCTACGAGCAGCAGATCGACAAGCTGCTCAATCCAGCTCCCAATGCCATGGACACGGAGGAGGACCGCCAGACGGAGATCAGCAGTCTGCGCACCTACATTCAGTACGAGATCCAGAAAAAGAAACGCTACAAAGTGGAGAACGTGCGCCGCAAGCACAATTACTTGCCCTTCATCGTGGAGCTCCTTAAAATGCTGGGCGAAACTGGCCAACTGATGCCCATCTACGAGAAGGCCAAGCAGAGGGCGCTGGATCGCGAACAGGCTCAGCGCAAAAAGGAGAGCAACTAGGCATTTAACGTAAATTTTCCACGTTGGGCAATTTCAAATTGCTGCGTTTACAAAATAAAACAGAAAGAAAAGATCAGAAATTCGGTCAAAGAACGAAGAGGAGCCAGTTAATATCGCTCATTAGTAGTTAGATGAAACTGCCTTTGTACTGTACTTTAGTTTTTATATTCACTATCCTGCTCTCTGCCAGTTAATCGTACGCAATTCTGCGTGATAAGCTAAATATACCTAATATCTATAGTAAAAAATTTAAATAGAACGCAAAAATAAACAGTTTCGGTAACGTAAAGAAAACGACTTGGATTTTTTTTTTTTTTTTGCCTTTGCTCGTATAGAATATATTTGGTATATATATATAATTTACAATTGCTATGTTTTTTGGTTGTATTTCATTCTCTTTGCATTTGATTTTTGCGTATATTCACTTTGAATTTGATGCTGCTTGTTGTATAATATGTATATTGTATATAGGAATATTTAGTTTGTTAATCGTCTGTGCCGCTCGCCAGTTCTATGCTAAAAATTTGTCTCTCGTCTTAAGAACTAGGCTCTACAAGTTACTTAGTATGCGTATTTAGGGAACTTTCATTTGGGAGGTCTTTGATTTAGTTTTCTCAATTTTGGTGTCGTCACTTAATTGCTATAGGCTACTGCTAATGCGGCTCATTGGGAGTGGGGATGTTTGGTTTGGAAGGAAACCGAAGCTATTATGTTTGTATAGTTCTAGCCAGGATTTGGCCATGTGGAAGTGTGCTGCACCCTAAGCGCTATGGCAACTACAGAAATATATTTATGTGTATATATACTCGTAATATGTATATGTTGTATATGGTTACCTTGCGTATAAATATTTTTTGTTCTTAAACTAGTTTTTCTCCTGCCTGTTGCGTGTTGATTTCTGGTTGGCTTAATTGAATTTCATTCGATTTAAGTTTTTTTAATTTTGTTAACATTTAGGCTAATTTTACTAGTGTCTCGTTTTTCCATCTGGGGACCCTTGACTTTCCCCCTCTTGTTTAATTTAGCACTTAGTTTTCAATGATTTCGCTCGCGGCGATTAAATTACTTTCTTTTTATGTTTCGAAGACACAACAGTTACTGGTCCAGTTCCAGGAAGAAGTATATGTATATGTATAATGGGTTCACATCTGATCTCTGTAGAGGATTCCAGATACTTGGGTTTCGGTTTGGGTTGGGTTGGGGTTCTCGGTTAGGCCAGTTTTTACCGGGGTCCGGCGTAACTGTACTGCAAGCCCGTGTGCGTCAATTCGTTGCATACTTCGCTGCGTTGCGTCGCTGAGTTTAGGGCGGCAAAGGCGTGATGGGGGCGTGGCGCGGACATGTGAGCTTGGGGATTATGTTGGGCCGACTCATAAGCAGTTAAATCAATGCTGGGGGCTGTAAAATGAATAAAATTGGTTTAACAATATTATTTATTAGTTTAAAAAAATCTTACCAGCTGCATGCATTCGATTGTATAGGTTCTTTCGCTTCTTCTTCAACAAAGTATCTAAGTTATAGCCCTCCATGCCAGCTCTGTAATTAAAACTTCATATTTAATCACTTTTTTATATGATAAATAATTTAAAGCACTTACTTTTCGGGCCTCCCGTTGCCCAGCAGCTCCTTGAAGGCCACATAGATCTTATTTAGCGTCAGATTGGATAACCCCTGGCCCAGATATCGTACAAATTTAAGTTGTTCACATTTGGATAAAGCGCTCTCGTGGAAGTCCAAAAAGGGTCGATGATCGGATATCTGATATTCCTGTCGGATTTAAAGATACAAGTAGGAAAAAGAAAACAAAAAAAGGAAAATACATTAGGATTGTTCTGCTTAAAACAGGCAAGAGTTTTGTTCAATGCTCTAGAATTATCGGATGAGTATGCAATTTAGATATCTACATAGATGGAGTGCCAATGTTTCGAACGCCAATTGAGGGCCAAAGAACAAATCTCCGCTAGACTACTGTTGTTGCCTCCTCCTGAACTCTGCTTTCGATACACTTTTGCTCACATTGCAAAACTTGATGAAGTTTTCGATGAGTATGTACTTTTCATAATTGCTCAGACATTGCTGGCTACTACTCTGTATACCGAACTGTTTCAATAGCTCCTGCTTCTTGGGCGGCAGGCGGCTAATGTGAGTGCAAACCCCATCCTCGATCCGGTGCGTTTCGTGCACGTCAAAGTTCTCGTAGATGATGAGTTGCTCCAGGGATCTGGGCGGTGGTCCCAGTGCCGGAATCGGCGGTGGCGGCAATAGAACCGGCGGACCACCACATCCATAGCGGGGATCCATGGATAGCTGATGCTGCTGCTGCTGCTGCTGCTGCGCCGCCGAAGAAGTCACATAACCCGATGGCATGGCCACCGGATTCGGAGTAATCCCTGATCCTGCCACCGCATTGCTGCTGCCGCCGCCGCTGCTGCTGCTGTTGCTGTTGCTGCCGATGTTCGTGTTGCTGCTGCTCGTGTTGCTGTTGCTGCTGCTGCCACCACTGCTGCTGGCGAACTCCAGGGAGCCATCGTTGGCCGCCGCCATGTTCTTGAGGTCTACAAAAGAGAATCGTAATGCCAACACACTCAGGAAGCCATATTCCAAGTTCCGCCTGCTAGTCAAAATCGCCCTTGAGCTCAGAGTAAATTTTAAAAAGTAGATTAAAGCAACTAAAAAACTTTATGTTGCTTATAATTTCAATAAAAAGGTAAAGGTTTTAAAACCAAAATGTTTCCCCAAGGAAATACTAGCACTAAATGGAATTTGTCGCTAGAAACAAGTTTATAATTTAATTTTACAAAAAACTAAAAATCAATACATTCCCAGAATTTTCCAATTTTCTATTTAGAATTTTTCTACAATTCTAAGCAAAACGTTTTGGAAAATTAAATATAAAATTCCGAATCCATTTTTGCTGAAATTCAAAGGCGATTTTTTAGTTCGCATCTGTCTGGCTTAAATCAATGATAAAATTGCCCCATGGTGAAGGAAAACTATAACCGCGCAATGCAATACTGCATCGCTTTTCAATTGCAAGAAAAGGAAAGTTCAGCTCTTCGTTAATTGACTTAGCGCAAATGCAGAGGCGCGACGCAGGCAATAAATCTCAAGTAAAAACAACAATCAAATCGATTTTCTCTCAATCTCTTCTTGCTAGATGTGTATATATATTTTATGGGTTCGCAAACAATTTCCATATATATCGTATGTCGTGTTTAGTTAGGATTGGTTTTACATTAACATACATATCATTTGTTCTTGGCTTACTAAAATATATATATTTATATATTACCATATTAAATAGCATTAGCATGATTTTCTATACTCGTGTATTCGTGTTGGTGAGTGTGTAAAAGTGTGATGTGTGTGTGTGTTTGTGTGTGTAAATGTAATAATCTCTTTTCAAGGAATAACATTGCATAGTTTTGGGGTAATGATCAATCGTTATCCAACAATTTTCATTTTATCGTCGTCAAACGTAATACAAAATTTGCATAGTTTTATAAAAATTTGGCAGAAAGCTTGTGTAAAATTAGTCTAAAATAAACGAAACATAAACTAAAAACGAGGAGCACATTAAAACATACATATATATAATAATATGACGATGAACATCAACGGAAAACTATATAAACTAGGACACAGGATGGAAGAAGGATGATGGGGTGCTGAAATCAATCCTGCATCCTTGGCCACGATGTCCTTCTGCAACAGCCTACGACGAGTGTCAACAGGTGGCGCCACCACCGCTGTCCTTGGCGCCACGCCGACCCCAATCTCACATGGCCGTGGGCGGGCCACCACCACCACCTCCTCCTGGTGCTCCTCCTCCTGCGGATCCCGCGCCTCCTGTTGCTCCTGCCGCACCCACTCCCACTCCCACTCCACCTGCAGCCGACTGTGGTGCGGTTTGTGGCGGAGGTCCCGGATAACCCATGGCCGCCATATGCTGGACATGCGCGTGCGGATGCGGATAGTAGTGAGGATGATGCTGCTGCGGATGCGGATGACCATGGGCATAGGCAAAGTGATGGGCATGCGGGTGTCCTGGATGATGACCGCCCGCCTGATGGTGCGGATGTTGGTGCGGCGATGGCGGATAGTGATGCGGATGTTGCAGCTGGGGATGCGAACTTCGCGTCGGCGTTCCCGGCTGCAAATGGTGCGGATGTGAGTGGGGTGGTAGCGTGTGCGGATGCGGATGCGAATGCGAATGCTGGCTATGCGGATGCGGGTGCGTGTGCAACATATGCTGTTGATGTTGCTGCTGCTGTTGCTGGTGTTGTGGATGTTGCTGTTGCAGGTGCTGTTGTTGTTGCTGCTGTGGAGTAGTGGGCGTTCCAGTTGCTGGTCCTGCTGGCATTGTGGGCGTGGCAGGTCTTGTGCGTGGCATTGCATGTGTGGGCGTGCCTAGTCCCACATGTGATGTTGGTGCCGTTGCTGCCACTGGTGTTGCTGCTGTTGCCGTTGGTGCTGCTGCTGCTGCAAGTTTCGGTGTTGCAGGTGAGTTGGGTGCAAGCAGTTCCTGCTCGGATTGCTGCTGTTGCTGTTGTTGTGGTGTCTGTTTGACCGGTGTGGATGTTGTTGTTGTACTGGTGTTGTTGTTGGTCTTGTTACTGGTGTTGTTGGTGATGTTGTTGTTGTTGTTGTTGGTATTGTCGCCTAGTGAATTGAAAGCGTATGCGTTGGAAAAAGAAGAAGAAAGAGGAAACACAAACAAATTGAAGTCAAAAATTAAAACTGTTTTGTTTTTGTTTTTTTTGCGTTTTTTTTTTAGCGCGCGCAGACTAAATTGATTATTTTAGACAAATTTTGCAAAAATAGGCAGGCCAAATTGTAGGTTTTTCTCTCATATTTTTTTTTATAGAAAAAAACGGAAAGTGCACGAAATAGAAATAGAAATGAGAAGTGCAAAGTGGAAAATAAAATTATAAAAATGAATGTAAGCACTTCTAGTTTCGAGTGTATTTTTAAAATTTAGCACATTTGCCTCTCGGCTTTCATGTCTCGTCTTTTTTTTTTTATTTTTTTTTATTAATTTTTCTCTGCCTGAATACATTTTTGGTTGATGATGCCTGCTGCTGCATTTGCACTACACGGAATTCGGGGAGATGGTGGAGTACGTGGGAATCTGGGAGATATATCTACATCTATATTTAGATATAGATTCCACTTACCAGCTGTTGTGTTGGCCAGGAAGCGCTTGGTTTTGTCGAGTATATAAGGCAGATTGTAGCCATCCTTCGTGTAGCTACAAAAAGGACATTCATCAATTATAATAGCATGCTTTTAGGCAACTCTCAGTTTGGCTGGATATTCAATTATCCGGGGAGTGCATGATACTCACATTTCCGTGCGTTTGGTACAGAACAGATTCTTAAAATTGCTATAAATGCAGAAGAGCGTGAACGTTGGCAGTCCCTGTCCCAAATATCGAGCGAATTTGATCTGCTCGGGTTTGTTCAGACCGCATTGATTCAGCGACAGCCATGGCCTATGGTCCTTAATATCGTATTCCTATTTGGGGATAGATTAAAGGGTAAAATTGGTTGTTAGCATATGTGAAAATCTGACTGAATACATAGGTATTTGTTGTAAAATTCGAAAATGTCAAAACCAGGTTTTAGCCAATTCTCATTCTTAACTGTTGGAATTGAAATGAAATTCAATTACTGTTTTGTTGGTTTAGGTAACCGTAAACCCAAATACATATTTTTGCTTTTACAGAAATGTAAAACTAGAAGGTAAAAAGCAATTTAATTAACAGAAAATTAAATTAGAAATTCAACTCTAGTTGAAAAGTAATTTCCAGACATACCGGTTTTTCGGGTTGGCAACACCACCCCTCCCTCCCCCGAACCACCCTTCCATTAGTTTTAAACTAGCTTACACCTTTCATGTAAAAACCCACCACCCCATTCCACCACTTTTTAGCATAATTTCCTCGGCTTTTAGGCTGTTTTTCCACGTAAATGTGTATGTGTCTTCATTGACGTCAAATTCTATGACTGCACATATGTGTTTGCGTTACATAATGTGCTATATAGGTTCAGGAAAACCCAAAACCGACCCATCCCTACCCCCAGAAACCCATACACATGCGAGCGAAAACTTTGCCCACTACTAATCAAAACTTATAATTCGTGTACAACGCAAAAGTTTAAAACGAAAATTTTACACAAAAGCCAAAAACTTGCAAAGGACGATGGGCTGTGGGTCGAGAGGGGGAATAAAATGGGGAGGTGGGTGGTAAATGGGTCTGAATAACATGCCAAAGCAAAAGCTTCACACACACACTCATACTCACACACAGCCACTAAAACTCACACACACTCATACCCTTACAATGTATATTTTATAGTGTAAAAATATAGAATAGGGCGAAGCGAAAAAGGAAGCAGAAAAGGCAGCAAAGCAAACCCAAATAGAAAAGCAAACAACATTTTCAATGAAGCCATTTTTCCCCCCGAAAAAGCTAGGGGATTGGGGAATATTTGCAAAGGACCCCCTTTTCAAAAGGGTTACCATGAAAGCCCCTGTGTCAGTGTGTGTGTGTGCGAGAGAGTGTGCTGGTGAGTGTCTGTATTTTGTATGTGTGCGCTGTAGGCGCAGGCAGCGGCTTAATGGACATTTGTGTGAGTGCGAGTCTTTGGCAGAGCAGAGAGTTCAGTTCCGTTCGTCGTCGGAACTTATCAACATCCTCATAATCAGGGTTTCCACCCACCCAGGGTTGCCACCCACCCCCTCAAAGGGTCTCTCACACATGCGAATTGCTGACTGAGCTCCTGTATTCTCCTCTGTGTGTGAGTGAGTGTGTGTTCGTGCATACATTTTGGGTTTTGATTATGTTAAAAATCAATAGAGCAAAAAGGAGTGACGTGCCATCTTGCTTTTGGGGAATATAGTGAACGAGAACTTTAAACTCCTGTCAAAAGGCAAGAAGACACAGGCTGACAGCCACTCCACACTCTCTTTTACTTTTTTTTCTTCTCTTTTCTGCGTTGACAGCCAGCCGACACCTGGCCACTTCTCCAGGTGTCTCATTAACAAGCAACTATTCGGAGGTGTGGCATACACGGTGGTTTTTGGGGGCCAGTGGCACCGCACTGTTGCTGCTGTCATGCCGTTGGGCCAAATAGTGCTCCTCCGGCCCCTTACACTACCCCTTTCCACGCCCATGACCAGTCAACAGTTTCAGAGTCAAAAAGCACAAAAAATAAAATATACTTCATTTCCAACTATATGATACCCTCTCTGAATTAGACTTTCGGTCGGATAGCGACTTTTAGATGTCCATAAAACAAGTTTGATTTATAATCGCAATATGTTTGTTAAAGAAAAATAATACTTTTTACGCCCACAATATAAACTTAACTTACATATTTTTAAAACCAATTTCAAAACCTAAAAGAAAGAAGTGCGATCTGTGGTTTTCCCTACAAAGTCTATACATTTTTGAAGTTTTGTTATTATTTTGTTGCATACTGTTAGGGTTTTTGCAAGGATAAGAAAAATATCGTTCCGTTACTTTCTTCCTTAAATTAGCCTTATTGGAATGCAACTTATAAAATTGATATACATTTTAGGGATATATATCTTTCCTAATTATAATATACCCTAGTTGTATACCACTAACGGGTACAGATATGTTAAAAAAAAAAATAGAAACAGGAAAAGAAGAATAAAAACAGTGGCAATGTGTTGCGGTATTTTGTTCTTGCTTTCGCTGCCGTTTTCCGTTTCTGTTTTCATTGCGTCTCCTTGTATTCGCTTTTTGTTTTCTGTTTTTTTGTTTGTTTTTTTTTTTCGCTTTTTTTTTTGCAAACTTATTGGCAGACATGGTTTGTGTTTGTGCGTGACGTAGTGTACGTGTGTGTGGCTTTGTGGGTGTGTTGTGCGGATGTCTGCGAGTGTTTCAGGCGATTGTGTGTGTGGGTGTGTGTGGCGGGATTGCGGTTGTTGTCTGTGGTGTGATGCGGTTTGTTGTTGTTTGTATTGAGACAAGTGTGAATTGTTTTCCTTTCTCCTGTTGTTGTTTCCCTTCTTGTTGTTGGTATTGTGTGTGTTGCTTGTGCGTGTCGAGGAACAACTACAACAGGAACAACAAAAGCATACTGTTTGGCTGTTGCTGCCATGATTTTTTGATTCCTTTTGCAAGGGTTGCCTGTGCGTTTGTGTGAAAGTGGGGGAAATTTTCACACTTTCACTCTTTGGTGCGTGTGCTGTGTGTTGCTCGTTTAACAGGTTTTTAAAGGGTTAATGGTAACCCTTTACTGCCTCTTTTCCACACTTCCCGGTTTTCCGCCTTTTCATTAGGCAACAAATTTGGGGTTTTTAATTAAGGTAAACCCGTTCTAAATGCGTTCTAAATTCTGGAAAAAAGACCCCGCACACTAATTATATGTGGTGTGTGTGTCCCCAAAAGGCGACAAAACGTTGCACAAAAGCTAAATATTTGATGTGTGCGTTAGAATTATACAAACCTACATATGTACGTATGCTCCTGCATATATGTGCACGTCCTAAAATCCTGTATATAGTCATCATATGTGGCAAGTACAGTTTATATTGGTATGTGCCCACATACATATGTATGTATAATTTAAAATTATAATCAATGCCCCATATGTGCGCCTGCTTTTGTACGTATGTATGAGGGAGTGTGTGTGTGCGCGTAAATTGTGCGGAGCCGAGACATTGTACCTGCCCAAGCCGCATCCAGTTTTCGCCCAACCACCCACCACCCCATCCCACCCATCATCCACTAAGCTGTCCTTTACACACACACACAAACGACCGCAAAGTTGGGCGAAACCAAGTGCACTTGTGTGGGTGAGCTGACTGCATGCGCACTTAGTAGCCTTCAACGCTGCCGCTGGGCGAAACACACATCCGCAATCTCACTACAGTCTAACTTCCTTAACATATAAATTGTGAAAGAAATATTTATCTATTTTAAAAACAACCTTTTAAGTCTAACATGCTCCGGTATAACAAAGATATACTAGTTTTTTGGAACTCAATTTTTATTTCAGTTCTTCACATCTTTTGATTATTTAAGAAAACACACTTTCAACAAAAAAGAGAAAAAAGACTCCTATTGAGGATTTGTTTCTTTTAACAATTGTTGATTTCTAAACAAACCAACAGTTTCAAAGTATAAAAAACTTTGCAAAAACTAAGACTAATCTTAGATTCTTGTAAAGAATTTACTTTGGTTTTAAACAAGTTTTACTGTACTTATGGTCGTTTTGATAGAGACATGTATAAAATGTGTTGATAAAATACAGACACAGACACATATACCGAAATCGAGAGAGTCGGAAAAGGACATGCCGCTAGCAGCTAGCGGACAGTCCGACGTCTCCCCATTTTCCTCCCTCCATTACCCCACCCCGCCAAGTAACTTGATGATTGTATGTATGAGAACAAGGAGTGGAAGCCAAAGAATCTAACGGAGAAAAAGACGACGAAGGACGAGCAGAAGAAGGTGGGGGGCAACATACAATTACTCAATAGCAAGCTTTTGGGGGTTGCCCACACCCACACCGCCAAACTCATACACAACTACACATCCTTTAGTAGTTCAGCCTTCAAGTAAGTTTTGAACTCGAGAAGAAGAGCGGGGTGCGAGGTAGTGGGAGCCAGGAGAGAGCAGCAACGGCAGATGAGAGAGCGCAACAATTTTGAGTTAGGGAGCCAAGTAGGTAAAAAGAGAGAGCGTCTTAGAACTAAAATGTTGTAATAGCGGGGGGTTTTAGCTTCCTCTCTGTTTCGCCTCCTTCGTAATTTCCCCACACATTTGTTGTTGTTGTATTATGCCATCAATGCCATTTTGTACATAGTTTGGTGAATGTGTGTGTATGTGAGAGAGGGGGGATGCAATGGGTGGCCAACAAATCTAGATGTGACTCTGTCCGTGTGTTTGTGTGTGATAAAGCGGAGCGTAATGAGCGTGGTGAGTGTTTGGGGTTGACTGCCATAGTGTTGAAAAGGGCGCCAAATGTGTCTGAGTCTGTGTGTGTTTGTACGGGTGGGGATTTAACCCCCCGCATGTATAGGTGTTTAGAACTCACACACTCACGTACGTTGAGCACACATGATTACAGTTGTATGCTGAATTTGTGGTTGGCTGCAGTCGACGTCGACTGCGACGTCGGCATCACTGCTCCTGTTATTACAATTTATAATGACATTTGTGTGAGTGGGGGGCAAAACGGAATCCTGAATGCGAGTGTGAGTGTGGGTGAAAATGCGTTTGTGTGTGTGATATAGGATATAGATAGGGTGCTTGTTTATATTATGAATATCCCAATTTCTATATACTAAAATTCGATAGTCTTTTGCACCGATAAAAAGGTATCATATTTAAGATTCCCAAAGGACTACAATTTAGTATAATAAAGAGCCCCTATAAATTTTCCACCCCAAAATATTTTTCTAATTTTGCGTGCCACTTCATTGGGGTTTTTGTGAAAAAGTAATCAGTTAGATAAGACATGATTAATTGACCTTTAGTTTACGCCTTTTATCATTAGTTGGCCGTTATCAAATTAGAATCTATGACCCCCATTTTAAATCCATTTATTTTCATTCCTTACGTTATTATTTGGGTTTTTTTTCCATAAAAGTCAAACATTTTAAAACCAATCTCCAAATAATTCTAGTCTGTTATTTCCCTCATTAGAAATCCTTCTCTCATGTAGAGTAATTCCCATGGCCACCCCTAATTAGACCCAACCAGACTCACTCCCGACTATCATTACAAATAAATACGTATTTCGTACATATGTGCAAATATTTAAATTGCATATGGAAATGGGCAGTGCGCGGAGAGCAGCATTGAAATATTCGCATTCACATTAAAAGCCAAAGGGAAATTCGACTCGCTAACTCCCCGAAATCATCAGGAACCCAACCCTTTTTAATTATTTTGGGGGCGTAACTCACCTCGCAGAACTTGATAAAGTTCTCCACCACAATCGATTTGTCCGTTAGCGTCATCTGGCCAGTGAACCGGACTCCCAGTTGCTTCAGCGTATCCTTTTTCTTTGATGGCAGCTTGTTCATATGCTGAAAGATGCCCTCCTCGACTTTGTGCGACGGATGCACCTCAAAGTTCTCCTTGATCACAAAGCTGCCAAGGAGTTTCGGGGCATGCGATGATGACGAGGCCGTGGAGGAGGAACAACTGGCTCCAGTTAACAGTCCGCCAAATTCTCCCGCACTTCCGCAGGCCGCTCCTTCGGATGAGGTGTTTGAATTGGAGGCATTGAGGTGTGAATTGGGAAATGCTAGCATCTCCAGCGAGGATTCATTGGAGTTCGAGGATCCATTTGAGGTCATGTGCTGCAGATCAAAGATCGTCTGCTTTGAGTCGTGATCGAAGACATCCAAAGCGGAGGAGCTGGTGTCCACCAGACTATTGGAAGCACGCGAAACGGAAGACAATAGAGCGGCCACTTTTCGGGAAGCAGAGCGGGATTTCTGCGAGGTGCTGGTATCCAGATCGATCAGACCGCTGGCCACCGGCGATTGAGCAGGCGGTGGGGGTGTTGAGCCTGCGGCGATTCCCTGATGCTTTCCACCTCCGGGCTTTTCCGGACACGAGCTCGATTCACTGGCGCTACTTGGTGTGCTGGGTGTAAAATCCGTCGAGTGCCGGAGATACTTAATGAACTCAAAGGATCCATCGAAATGCTGGGGCACCGAACCCGCTGATGGAGCGGTGGGTTGATGATGGCCGTTGGGCGTGGCCACCGCTGTGGGCCATCGGTTGCTCGGGGGGTGACGGTGGTGAGGGGGTTGATCCTGCCGCTCCTGCGACGCCTGGATTCGACGTCGGCGCTGCTGTTAAGCTCGACGCATCGACGACGGCCGCGGCAGAGACGCCGGAAGTGGCATAATGTGCGGGATTAATAGAGCTACCTGAGTTAACGGCAGAAGAGTTTTCCCGCTGAGACGTTGCCGTTGAATCGTAATTGGGAAAATCCGCTGCTGTGCTGCCATTGGGTAAATGTGTGTGGGAATACTGCTGATGTTGTTGCTGCTGTTGTGTCGGCGCGCCTGCGCCGCAGCCAAACACTTGAAATTCATCGAAATTAGTGCATTTCAGCTCGCCATTGCTCAAGTACTTGGAAAACTCTGAAGGATCGTTGAGCGAGTTGAGGAAGAAGGAGCTAAAGTTGCTCGATATGCAGGACATTTTGTTCAATTGTTTTTTTTGTTGTTTTTATATTTAGGGTAATACTGTACGTTATAATTTATTTAAAGCTTAAAATGGCACATGCGATATTTCGAAATTTTCTCTCGTTTTTCTCGTTTTCCCGCTGCTTCTGCGGTTCATATTTTATTACAATTTTCCACACACTAACAGCGAGGGAAACACATGTGTGTGTGGGCCTCTCCCGCGTGTGTATATAAATTTTTCTTATTATAGCAAAGTGTAATTTATTATTCTTATTGCTCGCTCGCGCACTGCCTTTCGCTCCTTGAAAAAAGGCCTTTTTCACCGTATGTGGTCGCTTTCAGTTGTTGTTGTTGTTGCTGCTCACACGAACACACACATAAACACGTAGAGAGCCTGAAAATAGGCGCGTTTTGAAACTGGTCTGGTCTCTTTGGGGCCTGTCTTTTTGCCTATTTTATTATTATTATTATTACTTGGCCTTTTTGCACTATTTTCACTTCCTTTTCGGCCTTACGTTCGCGCCCACTTACACACAGACAGGCGGTAGGCTCACAGACACACACGAACACAACACCACACACATACAGCGAGGCGCGGTCGACAGCGGCGTTGCTTTTTCCGTCTTCCTCTCTTTTATATTTCTCGCTGTTTTACTCGCCCGCCTTTGCTTTACTTTCAAAACAAATGCCGCTAGTGCTTCTGCTTCCATACGGAAAAACGGAAAATCTTATCGTTGTTGCAATTGTTGTTGCAGAGTGTTTTCACCGCCGCGAGAAAACACGACATTGCCGCAACACACACGAAAGAAAAATGAGCGAAAAACATGCAAGCGGGCGCTGCGGCAGCGATTTGAGCTCTTTGCTGCCTCTGCCGGCGTCGCTCTCTCTCTGTGTCTATCACTCTCTCAGTAACTGTGTTTATGGCAAGTCCTTTTTGGGACTAAATTCATGAAACCAGCTCTTCGTTAATTTACTTTCAGGTGTGAAATAAGTTATATTTTAATTGAATAGGCCCAATATTGGTATTTCGCCCTTAACCTTCTCTGTTCAATTTACTGATTTTCATTAGTATAAAGTAAGTATACATGGTCTAATGAAGTCGTCCGGAGCGCACCTAAATTATAAAATATTCAAATCATATTACTTCATGATTTGTTAATTTATCTGCCTGTTATAATAATAAAGTTTTTATTTCTTTATGCGTAAACAGGAGCCAGACCTTATGTATTTTTTAAATCGAGAAATTCGCCGCATAAACACAGTTACTCTCGCGCTCTCTGGCGTTCCCTTCATGTGTGAGAGTAATAAGTTGTAGGTGTTTTGTTGTTGTTGTTGCATTTGTTGCTGCGCTAGGAAACGTGTATTTCTTCCTGCGCCATGCTAACCCTTTCCATATAAACCTGATTTAATCTTTGATTATTGTACTCTCGCTGGGGGATTATGGCTGCCGCCGTTGTTGTTGCTGGCTTTGCTATTTTTGAAAATTCCACTAAATTATCCGTTGTGCTCCCCGCTCGCTCTCTCGCTGCCGTTCTTCAATTAGTTTTTTGTTGTTGTGCGTTTTGGGCAGGTAAAACAGTTCATTTGCCTAGGGTTGCCACGTCGATGGGCGTTTTGGCAGGACCACCTGGAATGAGCATAAATGTTAAGTTTTATTGTCGTTTTTACAGTTTCACATTTTTACGACTCTTTCGGGTCGTAAACACACGAACAGGTAGCGACTGGCAACCCTGGCCGACAGGAGTTTTTAGAACCTCCAGAGGAATTTCCTTTTTATTTAAGCAATTTTCATAGTTGTTTGTTTGAATAAATACACATACATAATTGCCGCGGCAGACGTTGTTAATTATAAACACAACGGCGGCCGCAAGGAAGTCATCAATTTAAAAAAGCTGCCTTTGCATTATTGTTATTCTAATTACCTCTTTTGCTGCTGAATGTTTTTGGCACAATTTTGTTTTTAAATTCAAAGCAATTTATGTGTTGTATGTATGTATGTATGTTTTTAGGAGGGGAGCTTGTAAGTACATACATAACATACATAACTTATTTAATAGGCTTTCACGCGCGGTCATCCAATTTACATGTCTGTACATGTCAGCCGCACACATGTATGAAAGTACATATGTGGGTAATTTTTCAATTAATTTTAATTATAAACTTAATTAGGAAATCAATGAACGACGGGCAAACGGAACGGACCACACTCGCACACACATTTTACCGCTGTGTGAAAGAGACAGTAAACATCCGATTCCACAGACAACAACTAAAACAATGGCAACAATTGCCATCAAGTGCGCTGCGCATACAGCATAAAATCATCCACTCAGCGCCAATGGAGCCCCGCGAACCAGCGAAGAGGCCTCCAAAAAAAGCGAAGTGGGGCTCCCGTTAATAACGAACACGCCGAAAAGTCGAAATCAACTGAGCATTGGAGAAAGCAACAACACAAACGAGGAGAATAGGGGCGCCAAATTACCAGGGTTGCCTAATATTTGGTTACCGCAAAGATTTTATTTTATTCTTCGGGTACTTCCCGTCTTTAATTTCGGAAAGTTTTCAAAAAGCTACCATAAATATTTTCAAAAATATGTCTAGAATTAACTTTTTATAATAAGTAAATACTAATATAAGAGGATGCAATTAATACGTTTGAATAGTATAGGAAGTTTTCAGTTTAAATTAGTTTGAAATTTTTAAGCATAACAAATTAAAAACATACACATTTTGCAAACAAGTAAACTTTTTTGAGTTAGGCTTAATTTGACTAAATATGGCCAAAGTAAGGCTTGCAGAATGACAACTTATTTGCTGGCACCGTTGGTTATATATGTAGCTTAAAAATAGTTAAAGGTTCAGCACCATTAGCCAAAACTTCCGCTGCAGTCATAGTGTCATCACAAGTTTCTATCGTTATCGAAAGCAGCTTGAAACGTGCGGTTGATATTATTTATTTCGAAGATAAACAAAAACAGGCAACCTGGAATGAAATTCGCGATCGAGAGCATCAGCAAGAAGTCCGGAAGATTGGGACAACTTCGGATCAAAGATGCAGGACCCGAGTTGAGGACTCCGCTCCTTTTGCAAACGACGAAAGGCGGCAGCGTTCCGTGGTTAAGCGCAGATGTTTTTGAGACTCATGTCAGCCGAAAGCCACAGGTGCTCCAATTTACTCTTTCCACCATGGACCAAATGACTGAGGCTTTAGCGCAGTGGAATAGTGGTGGAGATCGCGGAGTTAGTGACTACGTGGGATTCCCAGGACACCTAAATGTCCTCTTGCTGCGGGATCCTTGTGAAATAACGCCTTCCGGTGGCAACGACAGGGACATACAGCCACTTTTCACGAGAAGAGGCAAGGAATCCCTCAGTCCCGAACGCTACATGGAAATGGTGGCTAGTTTTAAGCCGGACATCTACCAAGGACTTTGTGATGCGGACACAAATTTGGATAGTGCCAAGAAGCGGGTTCAGAAATCGGTGGATAGAACAGAAAAATTTATGCGCTACATATACGAAAACCGCAGCAAGGTAGAGTCCACTCTGCTGGCTCCCATAGTTGGTGGATATAACACCTTTGCCCGGACGCAATCCATCAAACATGCGCGGGAACAACCGGCTGGTACTTACGGAGGTTACATCTTTGAGGGATTTCATACGAATGGTTTGTCTGCCACCACTTTGGAACCTTCCAAGCTACTGCCAGTTGTGGAGCACTGCGTTAAGCAGCTTGAGGAGGATAAGCCTCGGATAATGCCAGGTGCTTTTACACCTTTAACCACTTTGGAGCTTATTCGCCAGGGAGTTGATGTGTTCGATACATCCTACGCCTACTGTGCTTCCCTGAACTTCAAGGCGTTGACTTTTAGCTTTGTGAATGATGAAGTGGAGCATTTGCCTTTCATGGACATAACTGATGAAGCTAATAAGGAGGATTTTTCGCCGCTGCTGAGTAACTGCAGCTGTTTAACTTGCCAGAAACACACGCGTGCCTATCTGCATCACCTTTACAAAACCAACGAACTACTAGGTCCTATATTACTAATCATGTAAGTAGTTTATGTTATTTCATTTAAACTTGATTCAATGTTTTTAACTCCCCCAGCCACAATCTGCATCATTACATGACCTTTTTTGAGGAAATACGTAATAGAGTGGCTAACGACACGCTGCCGCAGCTGACTGAGCTCGTGAGGAATCAGAATGGCAAATCTCAAGTAGATTACGCCATTTCAGCCAACACCAAAGTTATTAGCAAGGCCACTATGGGCAAAGGATTCGCAGCGGTAGCTGTGTGACATGACATTCTAATTAAACACAGAAATTAGTCTAAAAAAAGCCTCTGGATGTTTATATTTTAGCAACTCATATCGTCAAAGGGAGGTGCCAAAGAGTTTTTCCTTCGACTATATGCGTAATTTCCTCATACACAGACTTCGGAGCATCGCCAGTGACAGTGCGAATCCTAAAGAGCACCTGCAGTTCCGTCAGATTCTCCATTTTATCGCGGTCTGTTAAAGGGTTAACTTTACGTTCAATCGTCATTGTCATTTGTAAATAAGACTCCCTTACCTGGCAGCGGAATGTAACCAGCCAACTCACAAAATCCCACATTAAAATCGGCGAAATCCTTGTTAACGCAGTATTCTGAGCGGGCAAACACGAATACCTGAACGTTACCGCTTTTATCAGATTTCCGATCCTTCGTGATGAACAGGTTGTGCGGCATATTGTTCTGGCACATCCACATGGCTAGCTTGTAGAGCTGATCAACCTTCTCAGCCACCTGTTCATCGTTATCATTTTCGTTAAAAACAATACATATAGCTTCTGTTGGCGCCCTTCTACTCAAGCGATATACATATCCCCCAACCAACTCCTCCAAAGGGGCTTGGTCTATATACAGATCCTGGGGCATGTGAAGAAGGTGAAAGTGCAGGTGATTGACGGAGGCCAAAGCTCCCGGACTATTGTATCCCATACGCATGTCCTTGTCATCGATATTCCGCATGAAGGTGATACAGAACTCTAAAATATCACGGGTAATCCGTTGGACTTGATTTTTCGACACTTCCGGACAGATTAGAGAATGATACTTGGTAATGGGACTCTTGTTGATGATCATCTGGACTTCAGGACTGCCGTGGGCATCAATTGTCATGATTACCTCCTTAACGTCGACCTTATTGAAGTTGAACATACTGGGCTTGAAAGTAGGATTAAGGTTCTCGATGGTCTGCGGTCGACGGCGTTTAAGGGAACGGTCTGAGTTCAGCTGAAGTAGAAAAAGAGTAATGAAAGATTTTGTGTTTGCAAGGTTCGTCATTTACCTCGGTGTAGAAGCCCCAATATCCTGGAATTGTCCGACCCTGTGGAGTTTTGCTTAGCTGATATGAAAACAGTCCAGAAATCTTGTGCAGCTGCTCCCAGCGCGCCTTAATGGTGTTCAGATAGCCCTGTGCCTTGCCCTCCAGACACGTATCAAACTTGACCTTGCTCATGGTTCGCTTCCGGCCGGGTCGTCTCACTTCCTGATCTTCATTTTCCTTGCAAACCGCTGATCTGAGGATACCCAGCGGCAGAAGAGTTGCCACCCTCAAAGAAAACCTGTTGCTAAAGCCAGTCGCCAGAAATCTTCGGAAATGGGCACTGAAGGTTTGAAAAACATAATGGTTTCGAAGAAAGGTTCCAAAATGTCGCGAAAACATTTGGGTTTCTTGCTCCGCAAGGAAAAACGATATCAATTTTGTTTAGTTTTGACGAGACTACTTGACCACCCAGCCCGGCCAACCAGCTGTTGTTTGAGAGCAGGGGCGTAGCAAGATAAGAGGGGTTATTTTGTAAGCACTGATGTATAGACATTTTAAAGTCCCTTTTTTAATGTTTTGGTTCATAGTTTTTAAGTTTTTTAGAAATTAAAAAAAAAAATTTTAGTCCTCATAGACGTTTATACAACATTAAAATGATAAAGTTATATGGAAGTCAACATATCAACATTTTCCTCAATTGTCTGAATTCTTATTACTATAAAAAAAAATACAACCCCGTTGAATTCGTTTCCCTACACCCCTGATCCACGGTTCTTGCAGCCCTGGTGTTATTTGTGCGGGTGAAATTGTTAAAAAAAACAAATGGCTCAAGTTCAGGGTTCCTGCGAAAGTTTCTGTCCTGATAGAGAGGCAAAAATGTGACGATCTAAACCAGTATTCCAGATAAGACTTAATAATGTTCTCTTATCCGTGCAGGCGCATTCGCGAAAAGCTCCTTCATTACTTTGAGTTGAAGAATGGGCAGAAGAATATACCTGGAGTCCTTGTCAAGGAGTTCACACGCTCTGCCGCCGATGTTAAAATGCCATTACCCAACGAATTGCGGACGGAAGCGTCTCTGACAAAAACAGTGGAATATCTGCTTAAGGAGCAAGTATTTAAATAGTTGTTTCACAACCAAATTTCTCTGCTAATTAAAGGTCTTTCTAGCATAATCCTAGACACACGGAAACCGTATAACTGGGCCTATGACTTTATATTCGATCGTTTAAGGGCAGTGCGGCGAGAGATCGTGATCCAGATGTATGATGCCAGCCAGAAAATCCGATTGCTAGAGCCCATTGTAATGTTTTTGGCCTACAGCCGCTATCGGTTGTGCGAGGAGTCCATCGAGAAGTTTGATCCTAAAATATGCAACCAGCACCTGCAGGAGTGCCTCACAGGAGTGCTCTGTTGTTATGACGAGTTGGAGGATCTAGAATCCCACAAAGAACCTACCATTCGAGAACTGGAACGTCGCTGCTTTATAGAGTGCCTGTATCAGGTGTTCAACTTAGGTTCCCCGGAGTCCTTTGCCCGTAGTCTAACTTTACCAGATTATGTGCGTCAGAATGCGACTTTTAAACTGTGTTTCCAGATCTGTTTGGCCTTTCAGCAGGGAAACTTGTATAGAGTTCTAATGGGTTTTCCCCAATTGCCACATGTTCTATGTGCATTAGCTGCTATTAAGTTGCAGGCGATTCGAAGGTAATATATTCGATATTTATTAGTTCTGTAATTTTAAACCACTTATAAATTTTTGCAGGAGTTTACTGCAGATTTTCACGCATGCCTACAGCAACAAACAACTTTCTGTGCCGGTTCCTTACTTGTTGCGTTTACTGTTAATCGATTCGACTTCAGGACTTCAGGATCAGTGTCGACATTATAATATAGCCTTTACAGACGATAGAAAGGCGGTACATTTTAGTAAGGCTGATTTCAACCATAACACAGATTTGTTAAAACCAAAACACGAGCGCTTTGTGGAGTCTAAACTAAAGCGAATTTATTTGCCGGAGGTATTGTTGCTAAAGAAATTTTACTAGTCATTTAAACAAATTGTAAATTGTAAATAGATTAAATAAAAAAAAAACCATGGTAACTTTTAATCTAGTTATATTTTGTTATTGCGCATTACTTTTTTACCAGGTGGCAACTTTGGTGGTAGAACAACAAACCTATCGCCCATCGATAGACAGAACGCCGCCGCATAAACTGCCAATAAGTGGTTAAATAAAAATTGTTTAAAAAAGTGCAATTACTTGATGGTATTCTGATTTCATTTGTGATAATTTAAAGAGTGATACAAGAAGGTGAAGCAATTCAAACCTCCACAAAAGATATACATATACACAAAGCGCGCGCAGGGTTGCATGTCTCGGATAGTCGTCGCCTCAGTCGCACACACACACACGAAACGCGAGAGAAAGTACCGAGCCGTTTCTGGAAAATACAATTCCGCCATATTTACCGGCAAAATTCAAAATATTGACACTGCCCGAGGTGAGCGGTAACCATTGGGCCACCGAAGTCGAGGATTTACCCATCGCTGGGCCAAAGGAGCGTGGCGGGCGGAGCGAGCGGTACGCATCATTCGCCGTCTGCCGCCGCCGCCGTCGCACAGTAAAAACCGATAGGCCATCGGGGCAAGGGGAACGCCAATACCGACAAAAACAAGTAAGTTTTTTTTGTTTTTTTCCAGCCAATATACGATTTTTTTGGCAATTTTACGGATCTTTCGGCAAGGTACTAATTGCCCACTTATTCCGCAGCGCGCTTGCATAGGCACACAAACTCACAAGAAGAAGTAAAGCGCCCATCACAAACACATATACAGACACACAGACGGAGCAGCCGCGATGACAAGTCATCATCATCATCATCACGTCGGCGTCGGTGGGAACTTCCAGCCCCAACTGCATCAACTCCGGGCGCCAATTGTCAAGAATCTATCGCTGGCAGCAGCGGCAGTACCGCTGCCCCTCCCCTCCGCGTCCTCGTCGGCGTACTTTACGCACGTTTTACCGCCAACGGCGTCCACAATGGTCGAACATGATCCGTACACCGTTTTGGCTGGCGATCCGATGGGTGGAGAGGAAAACGAGAGCTTCCTGATCGAGGAAATCATCGATGACTATGATGACGAGGCTAACATTGTAGTGGACACGGGCGAGTTTTTTGAGCACTACGAATACTATCCAGTGGATCGTTTGGATAGGCTCACCTCGGTTACGGTGGCCACGGCGGACGCACTGCCGCCGCCAATCATCATGCAACAAACCAGCGACGACGAGGAATTCATCGAGGAGGATGGCCTGCAGATGACCTCCTCATGCGATGGAGAAGGAGAAGAAGAAGCAGAGCACGAGCAGGACGACGAGGCTTCGGCGCCGGCCATGACAAATGCCTTTGAAATCGCATCCGAGATGCTGACCACTATCGAGGCCACCAATATCAAGGAGGAACAGCTGGAGAGCGACTTCTACATGAAGGCTACAGATGATTCAAACAGTTCCAATGGCCAGCTGCAGGATTTTAAGCTATTCGGCAGCAGTCGCGTGGAGAGGCCCATAGCTAATTCCGCCTCAAAGCGTTGGAAGCAAACAAAGGTACCCATTCGCATTACTCAGGATGAGTTCAACGTCACCCTGTGGTCCTCGCTCAACTCAGAGGATGAGGACGAGGAGGAGGAGTTAGAGGAACCACCGGGCTGTGTTGCCGCTACATCCGTGACTTCCGCCTCCGCCGTTAACCGGAGTGAAGGCTCCTCTAGCATGCCAAAGCTTATTATTGACGAGCACATGATCAACCACGATGTGCTAAGCGATGGCATTGGCAACGAGTATGTCATTCTGCCCGATCCATTTAGCGCCTCTGCAGTTACAGACGTCGAGGAGGTGGTGAACGCTTTTATGGGCGATGTCAAGGGCGAGGAGGACAGCCAGCCGCTAAGCGAGCAGTTCATCTATGCGGACCACCAGCTGGAGGAGGCCTACGGGAATATCGAGCTAATCGAGAACATGCCCAATAATGTGGAGTTAATACCGGCTCCGGGACCAGGACCAGCGGGACCTGTTCCAGTGGCGCTGACAAAGGCCAATGGCTGCGTGGCGACTGCGCAGGCGGTTTTGCCAAAACTAGTGCTACAGAATAGTAGCACCAATGTGCGACTGAAAAGTGCCGGTAACCAGGCGACAAAGGCGACGAAGAGGCAACTTACGGCGGCGGCTCAAGTGGCGACACCAACGCCACCACCACCGCTAGTGGCAACTAGCAATCCGGCCCGAGCACGAACCACAATTATGACCAAATCGCCGGCAACGGCTGGCAATCCGACGGGAGCAGCTGCCGCCGCCGCAGAGGAAGATGAGGAGCCGAAGTTCCGGTGCACTCATCGCGGTTGCAACAAGGAGTTCCGCAATCATTCGGCCATGCGTAAGCACATGCACACGCACGGGCCGCGCGGTCATGTCTGCAACGTCTGCGGCAAAAGCTTTGTGGAAAGCTCCAAACTGAAGCGCCACCAGTTGGTGCACACCGGCGAGAAACCCTTCGAGTGCACCTTCGAGGGCTGCGGCAAGCGCTTCTCGCTGGACTTCAATCTGCGCACTCACGTCCGGATACACACTGGCGATCGACCTTACCACTGTCCCATCGACGGCTGCTCCAAGTGCTTCGCCCAGTCAACGAACCTCAAGTCGCACATGCTCACGCACACAAAGCCCAAGAGGAAATGGCCCCGGGCGCCGCAGGTGAACAATAACAACAACAACAACAATAATAACAACAAGACACCACTGGTGGCCAGATACGGACGGCTAGAATTTGGCGAGGATCCCCGCCTGGTGTACGTCGAGCAGAACGAGGAGATGGCGTCGGTGCTGCTGGATGGCACGTCCCCCACATCCTAACTAGTAGTGCGATTGAATGTGGGACTGGTAGTAGCCTGAGATGAGCGGAGAGCTTCATCCAAAAAGGCCAGGTTGTACAGTTAGTTGTAGCCAGTTTTTATCTGTATCTGTAACCTAACGAGCGGAACGGCAGGACGAGATTTTCACCTGGTGAATACGTCCCCCTGCCTGACCGCCCTCTAAGTAAATAGTCTAAGATCTTTCTCTAACAAAATAGGCTTGCAGTGCAAAAGGAAGTTAGATGGTAGCCATTTATTTATTTCCTGCATGGAATGAAAAACCGGATAAACAGCAGTTCTAAGAGTTTAGCTTATAGCGTAGGCTAAGTGAGACCTCCTCCTCCAAAAAAAAAAAAAAAAAATAACTGAACCGCGAAACCCGAAGAACTCAGCCAAACTGCCCCTTATCAAACCCCAAAATTGATCTGATCCTAACCGTGTGCGATCTTCGCTCGAATAACAAAACACGCTCGTTTTTTTTCTACGATAAAAAAAGAAACAGAAAAATACGCAAAACTAGTTCTACCATTAATCAGTACGCATACACCATAGGCTATCTATATATTTTTGTAATGAATTGTAACACTTAGAGCATTGAAGAACGGATTTAGCAAGTTCAACGTCTGTTGGCGTTCACAAATGGAAGCACATCAGTTAACTTGGAATGAACAAGGGAATACCTCTTCAAAATTATACAAAATAAACCAGGAAAACAATGCAAAATTCAATTGTGTTTATCATTTCTTTAAACTATTTTACAGTGCAATTGTGTAAGCGTTACATTTATTTACTGGTATTTAAAGTGTAACTACATCTAGATAACTACATTAAACGGTGAGGCAGCTGTTGATGGACAGCCGCCGGGTGTTGTCCACTTCAGATTCGGATCAGCAGACGATTAGATCGCCACTTTTGGACATATGTACATATGTCGAATAGGCCTCCCGGTCGGTATTCTTCGTTCCATTGACTGATTGCGGGTGAATTAACGCGTGCGGATAAGATAAAGTAGCGCGGCGAGGCATATTTTCAGATACTTAGCGGATTGTTTGGATAAAGATGGAACGGAGACGATTTTAGGTGACCTTGAGGCCTTGCCCCTGAACTCCGGGCATTATGTCCGCCATGGTGGCACTGGGACCAATTAATCCGGCCAGGGAGAGGAGGACGGAGTAGTTGAAGTACCAGAACACGCAGAAGAGCACCATAAAAATTACGTCTGCCAAGAACGAGAGCAATAATATGTCTGATAAGCGTGAAAATTCTCCTAAGGCATGACGAATACCGGATATTCCCAGAATTTTGAGGGTTTGGTATTTATCAAGTAAATAAAACACTCACGTATCGTTATCCGCTCCCACTTTTCTACCATGTACAATTCGGTGACCTGTAAGGTAATAAAATTAGTTGAACTCTAAGCGCAGCTTCTCAAGTGGAATATGTGTAAAATTTTATGACCATTACGCACCATGAGGTATCGAAACCACCAGTAACTGGCGAATTCCACGAGGTTGTCCAGCATTGCGGTCTTAGAATTGACAAAAGAGCGAAAATAGGGGCAACAAAAAAGGCGACTAGATCGTCTTTTTTTTAAGTTCTCCCACTGACTTTATACTAACTTAAACAGGGTTGAGCAACTCGGAGTAATTAAGGGAGAAAAGTGTTGGGCAACGCTACAGAATAAGGTAGTTTCAACAGGGTTGTCACACACGAATCCACTTTTTAGCTAGTTGAAAGCCCTGTTGCCCACAGCTGTTTCTTGAACCCGCAAAAATTGTTTACAAACTATTGTGAAACTCAAATATAACAAAAAATGGCTCTTTTTGTGGTTAAACTACTTCAGCGCACCGAATTTTCGCATAGTCAAAGGGACATAAAGCCATTTATTTATGTTCGAAGCCACTGGTTGGACGACGAGGTGGAGTTTGACTTCCTGACCACTTCGGATAATCAAAACTACCGGGGTAGCCTTAAGTATGAGGAATTACGGATTGCAGCGAAAGATTTGGAACAGTCTTACGATGTCGTCTTTGAAGAGTGCAAAAAAGCCATGACCACTCACATGGGACTCCAGGGATTCGATTACGAACTGTCGGTAAAAGATGACAAGCAACAAGTCTTTAAAATGTACAAGTGCGAAGGATACGAGACGCTCTTGATGGAAGTTTCTCTCAGAAAAGTCTCAAACTGCTACCAATTATTGGATGCAGCTATCGAAGTTATTCAGCTAAAGCCCCAAGCGGCTTCAGTTCCTGAACCCAATGTTCAGGACACCACAACACTTGCTGAATATGAAAAATATGTAAAGGACTCAAAGTTAAAGGAGCAAGAACTCCTTACGAAATTTCTGTTGCTTATCAACAGCAAAAAAGAGTACATAAGAAATTTGGAGAGCCAACTGGAAGAGCGTTCGAAAAAACCCTCAAAAGAAGGAAAGAACCAACGGATTTCCTCCGATGAAGAGGACGAAGTCTATGGAGCAGACACCCAAGTCATGAATATAGATAACGACTCAGATTAAGCCCCTTAATATAAGCTCCACCCAATATTACATGAAAAGAGCCCATCTTCGGTACGTGCTTGAAATGTATTTTGCTTTTGTTTTAGTTTTTCTTTTCGATCGTTTGGTTTATGTAAAATAAATTAGCTTTATAATGTATGTATATATGTATAAATAAACAACAAATAGACTTGTAACGTAATACATTAAATTACCATCAATATGTGTAGACGTGGCTTATAATTAGACCAACAAAAGATCGCTTTTTGTTTTTGTTTTGAATATAATCAATAGTTATCGTTGCAGTTTTGTAAAAATTAAAAGCATTTCACATAAGTGTTAAATATGTATCTGCTATTATATAGACGTTATGCATAAGTATGTTAGGGTGTGTGTAACATTTGAAAGAGTAAACAATTAGAGCCGATGATAGAGCTTGCGGAGATCACTCAAAGCGCGAGCAGATCCTCCTCGGCGCCCGGTTTCTTTGGTGTCTTTCGTAAGCTGTCATTTCCGACGGATCCTGTCGTGGCACTGGCGGCGGAGTTCGATGCATTGATCGTTGGAAGATTTTCGGCAGCAGCGGCTCGCTCCTCAAGGAATTTATCAAACTCCGAGCTAGTCAGTTCCTCAATGCCCTCAATGTGCTGTTGTGAAAACAAATCACTCATTAGTTGCCTTGTATACTTAGAATTCAATATTAAAAGCAAAGAAGCAAAGAAAGATTATGCAAATCGAGAAACTAAAGCCGAGTGTGCATGGTAAGATGAGCTTAGAAAAAGACAAAATGCTATTCGTATGGCTACTTACTGAGCTGCCCAACCACGCCTCCATCTCGTCGATCTCATTCTCTTTCGTCGACTGTGTGTGGGCGCCAACCGAACAACAAAACGAAACGAAAACCAAACGCAATTTGCATAGAACAAAAGAACCAAAATGTTGTTTTTTTCAATTTTAGGTTAAAAGGTGTGAATAAAATGGCAAAAACGAGGTCAAAAGTATAGGAACAAATCGAACGCGATTAGTTAGACCGGCTGCCATGCGGCTAGTTACTCACTTTACTTACCACCGGCGGATCGCCGGCTGATCGCTGTGTCTGCTGCGGTTGGTTCTGTTCATAAGGCGAGATTGTGGCCGTCACACTTCCAGCAGCGGCGTCCACGGAGGGAATGTCCCTAAGCATATCCGATTTACTGAGGAGGAATGGTAATTTGCATAAAGTGCAATTGCAATTTTCAACAAAGACTCACTGGTTGCCATCGGTGCGCGATTGAGCCAGCATATCGAACTCATCGGGTGGCTTCGCTCCCCTCTGGCCAGCGAGAGGTGCTCCTCCACCCAGACTGAGCTGACCCAGATTCTGCGGCAGTTGGGCCTCCTCGCTGCTCTCGATCAGATCGATCAGCAGCTGGTCACTTTGCGGCGTATTGCTCACGGCAGTTGTTGTGGGCGGAGGTGGGAGAGAGGCCAAAGTGTTCGCTCCAGCAGCTCCCACTCCGGGCAGGCCCATTGCAGCGCCCAGCACCGCAGAGGGCGAGGTGACAACAGCTCCCTGGCCCTGCGAGCGATTCTTCTCGTATCGCTGATGGCGCAAAAATACATTGTTCAGCTCGTCATTGATGCGCAGGAACTCCGCGGTGAGCTCGTCGTCCTGGACGCGTCCAATCAGATCCACAATGCGAGACTGCATCTCCTTGCAGGTGGAGGTGAGCTCGTTGAGCAGGGCATAGTCATCCGGCGACTCCTGGCCGGGCTTCAGAACACTAAGCATTTCACTCAGGATGGACATGTTGTTGCTGACGATCTCCAGCTCGGAGCGCAGCTTCGCCGCCTGTTCGGGTGTCAAGTGCAAAGGACCTGTGCTGGTTGGTGCGGCCGCTGAAGCGGCGGCAGCTGCGGCAGCCATGTGTTGAGGCGAGATTGCGTGCTGCTGAGCGGCCACCAATTGAGGAGGCAGCTCGGGAACGCTCTAAAAACATACAAAACCAAAATATTATCTACAGTAATAATTATTTGATTCAAAATAGGAATAACTTTTTAGCCATTTTGTAAACTGAAGAGAAGTACCTCTAAAAAAAAAGACTACAAGGACTCACCCTTTGAGGCGTGTAAATAGGCGCCATGGCATCCAAATCGTTGGCTGGAAACTCAATGCCTTTGTTTTTCAGCTCCATGTACATCTGCGTAACGCCATTAAGATCCGGTTGGTTCTTGAAGGCATCCGCCCAGATCTGTATGAGGCTAAGAACCTTTTCCTGCATGGCAGCTGGTGGATCGTTCTTTGGCCCAATAAGCTTGACCAGCTCGTTGATAAAGTCCTTCTGGGCCACCAGGACATGAAAGGCCTTGCCGCAGTTCTTCACGCACGTCTCCAGGACGGTCAGCGTGTACATCACCACCTGGTTGTTCTTGCCGGCATTCTGGGAAAGACGCTTCCGAATGGCGCGCATGGCATCGCGGGCGGTGTCCGAGGACTCGTTGATCATGTCGCAGATTTCCATGTTGGCTGCCCAGTTCTCCGAGGCCAAGTTGGCATCGGTGGCGGCCTCTGAAAGTGCAAGTTAAGTTTTAAGGGGAGTGAGTAAGCGTCATTTATTCATGTTATAATCTTTTAAATATGTACATTGTAGTCATTTGAATGTTTTTAAACACGAATGTTAACATTTTTTCAAAGCCCTAATTATAATGTGTTGTGTCATAAATTTGTTTATCATCCACTTTAAAACCGTTTTAAAAATGACTCACAATGTAGAAGTAAAAATTATTATTATTATTATTATTAAAATCAATTTATATCCTTGTGTTTTCAAGCCGAAAATGCATAAAAAATAATCCTAGTAATTACTTAAGTATCCAAAGAACAAAAGGAAAAGAAAAATAAATACTTCTTATTAAGAAAAGCCCTAATTATTAGGCGTGCAAACCAAATATTTTCCGAGCACGCAACCATTAGTAACCTTGTATTGTATTAATAATTTCCCACACAAAAATTGCTTCTATTATAGAAACTTTCTTAAATTAAGCTACAAACAATAATTGACAAAGTTCATAACTTTAATATTTAAATTGAAAATATTACATTATTTTACACAATCTTGCATCATTAGATTTTACAAAATGGTTTTAAGTTAATATTGCGGTTGTTGATCTATAAGATCTAATTGCTTCGATCGATAAACACATATCATCTGTGCGAAATCCAAAGTTCATTAAATACAACCCTTTGTTTATTTTGGTTGTCAGTTGTTTTTTACAGGTGGGTGAGTATTATCATTTAAGCTCTTCCGAGTGCAATGACTTGCTCAAATTAAAACGCGCAAACAAAAGGCAGAAATGCAACTCGTTCAAGTTTAAATCCAAACAAATGCATTTCTTGGATATCGGATAGCGTACGTACAGATACATATTCAGATGTGAGAAATCGGATAGGCGAAACGGAAAAGCTAACCACAGGGCAACAACAATAAAAAATATGAAGCAACAAATTAGTAAGGCACCAACACAAATTTGCCAAATGCAGGTGTGTGTGTATATGGATGTTTGTGTCTAGCGGCAAATGGAAATTATGGCGAAAATGCGAGGCAAAGGGGAAAACGAAATAAATTAACACATTTTTTTATGTAACCTAGTGATGACTAATTGCCATTACTATGGTGCGGAAAAAAGGAAGGGAAGGTGGCGAAAAAGCAATCAAACAAAACAAGAGCGCATCAATAACAGTATCGAAATGAGTCAGTGTATGTGTGTGCGTTTTAGAGGTGAGCAAATCAAAAAAGTCAAACAAACATTTAGCTGTGCGATGTCACACCTGACAATAGGAACTGCACACCCACATTAAGGCTAATCTTATCAGAAACCCACTTTGTTTCGACCGCCTTTGAAACGAAATCAGACTTATTTTTGCGGGTTGATAACCGCTTTGCCATAGTAATTGTGAGCCACAACAACAAAACAGTTGGTCTACGTGTGTGTGTATGCATACAACCCGCAAGGAAAGCAACAAAACAAGAAAACAACAAAACAAACAAAGAAAGTTGTGAAAATTCAATTTTCCAGTGGCCCTGTCTTATTGGGGTTTACATGAACAGGGTTTTAATCAGACAAGCTGACACGGCAAATGCGCAAAAATCAACGCATATGCGTTGTATTCACGAAAAATGTTACGATTTAACCATATATACACACACCCCCGCTTCCGGTGGGCGGTTTTTGTGAAGGGGGCGGGGCAACTTACCTATGCGCTGTCCAACTGGGGTGGAGAAAACATTTCCCAAAGCGCCAACGTTGAAAAATGAAGCCATTCTGGAGCGGTTTGTCGGTGCTTTTTAAATGTGTTGTCTGCTTGCGATGCGGTTAAAATTTTCCTTTATTTACTTTTTGTCACCTGGAGTAAATGTTTATGCACTTGTCTACAGCAGTGTGACCAAGGCTGGACTATTTGAAAAATACCGTCTCAAAAATGCAATAGAAAAAAAAGTTAAGCGGCTTACACTAGGACTGCGGAGTTGTGGCTTCTAATCAGAGAAATTGATAGATAAAAATATTTATATATGTATATAACAAAACAACTGGAGTTTATACATTAATATTTATATTTACGACATAAAAATAAATGAAAACGTAATAAAACTTTAAACCAAATGTGTTTCTTTTCGACATTTTTGTGAAATTGATTATACAAATAAATGACATCTTTATAAAACTTCAAACCAAAAGCGTTTCTGGTGGCCTCAGGGCATATATGTACAAACAAACTATTTTATATGCCTTTAATATCTTTTTATATAATTTAAAAAGAAAGTTAAAACATAAACTGTGATTTTATACGATAGTGTCACCGTACCGTTACTGCTGACCGATATATGCTGCGCTTGCAGCCCTGGGAAATGTTGCCGAGATTGAGCACTGTACACTGACAACCCTGCTCTGTAAAAGTCAGAAAAACACAAATTGTATTTTCAATTGGACATTTCGCAAAGTAAACAACCAAAAAATGTCGCGACAAGCCTCCCGTTTGGACGCCAAGAAAGTGGTAAGTCGAACGAAGGATTGGGATGGTGCCAGTTAGTTAACGTTGCTTAGATCTAGTTGTAAGGTTAGTTTTTTTTTTTTTGCATAGTGCCTAAGAACGTATCTTTGACGTGCCACCCACCCTCAAAATCGGCTTCATTCGCTTTTCCAGTAAGTGTGTTGTTGAGGGATTGAGGTTGAGACAAGACAGACAGGCGACACAAATAGCCGAGCAATCGGGATATGGAAAACCATTTCAGCGCCGCCAGCAGCCGTCCCTCAGCCACGCCCAGAATGAGCACCACCGCCTCCGCCGTCGCTACCGCTGCCGCCAACAACAATAGCAGCAGCAGCAACAACAACAACCCAACAATAAGCACCGGCACCAATGTAAATACAGCCACTGGAGTAGGAGCCGCCAATGCTAACGCAGCTGCTCAACCCATCCAAGTGATACCCATGCCGATGTTGTCAACGGGAGCTGCACAGATCATAATTGGCCAACAGGCTCAGGGACAGACTGCGGCGACGGGTCTGCAACCGCAACTGATACCGCTGCAGGCCAACCAAATTATGCTGCAAGCGGCCCAGCAGCAGCCACAAATGCAGGTGATGCAACTGCCCGACGGGCAGACTATTTTCTATCAAACGCCCACCATAGCCGCTCTGGATCCGAATGCAGCGGCCACCGCTGCAGCTGCCATGGCCGCGCAACCCGCGCCCCACTACCTCAACATAAACGGACAGCTAGTGCAAATCACACCGGCAGCTAGTGCCAATCAGGCAGCTCCCACTGCTGGTCAACAGATCATCATGGTTCCACAGACGGCCATGGCAGCGGTGAATGCAGCGGCGGCCAATGCTGGAGCTAGCGCAGTGGTCACCCAACAGCAGCAGCAGCAGCAACAACAGCAGCAGGTTCAATCCCAAGCCCAGCAGCAACAACAACAGCAGCAGCAACATCAACAACAGACGGCGGCGGCCAATGCTGCAGCGAATAATATAAGCGCCGATGTCAGCACAAGCACGACGGGAACGAATACGAACAGTGAGGACGAGAGCTCCAAGGGCGAGGCGGATGAGGAGCCGCTCTATGTGAATGCCAAGCAGTACAAACGCATCCTGATTCGTCGGCAGGCCAGGGCCAAGCTGGAGTCGCGTATTCCCAAGGAGCGCTGCAAGTATCTGCATGAATCTCGTCACCGGCACGCCATGAATCGAGCGCGAGGCGAAGGCGGCCGCTTCCATTCGGCGCAAGAGAAGGGCGATCAGGATTCTTCCGGTCCGGATGGCGGCAACATGTCCGTGGCGCCCAGCGCCGTAACGCTCAGTAGGGGAACGGCAAGGGCTCCACCGAAATTGATCGCACCCCACCAAACGCCAAGCATTACTATAACGGCGATAAAGTCGGAATAGCCCTTGCCTAGCTTTAGATGTAAAAACTAGATGGTAGTTTAAAATCTAAGTTAATCACTCTGTGTCAACCATGTGTCCTCAATGTGGCCGCCTCATGTCATTCTGCTTAAATCTGTATTTATTGGCTTCAAAAAGCCTTGTTCTCTTATTTCGTTTCGAAATAATTGTAATTAACTCCCGAACTTTTTTCAATTGTAAAATCAACGATTTTTGATGAGTAGGTTATAAACGTATTTCTACTTCATATTTAAAGATTATATATATTAAATTTGAATGATTTAATTTACTATTTAGCAATACAATACTAAATTTGGCTTGAAAGATAACTTATATTTTAAACTTTAAATTATCCAAAACTTAATACCTTATCAATAGTGCAATTATTCTTTAAAAAATTCGAAATGGAATAGGAAACAATACAAAAAATACAAATTTAAAACAAATTAAGGATATATGTTTAAGAATGCAATCAATATGTCGCATAATAAATACAAAGAATTGTTTATAAATCTAAAACAACATTTTTCCTGTATTAAGGGGTTAGATTTTTAAGAATGTTATGGCACCTTTTAGATTGTTACTAGCTATCTGCTTATCATTCTTCGTCCTTCTTCAGAACTCGGAGTTCCTGACACTCACCTATGGAGCACTTGTCACTCAGATGCTTCGGGACTTCGAGAACGCGGAGGATGTAAATAAGCAGCTGGAGCGGATCGGCTACAACATGGGCATGCGCCTCATCGAGGACTTTCTCGCAAGGACATCGGCTCCCCGCTGCCTGGAGATGCGCGAGACGGCCGATCGTGTGCAGCAGGCATTCCGCATTTATCTGAACATCCAGCCCACCATTTCAAACTGGTCGGCGGCCTCCGATGAGTTCTCGCTGCTGTTCGATAGCAACCCGCTAACGGAGTTCGTCGAGCTGCCGCCGGATCTGACCAATCTGCGCTACAGCGCCATCCTCAGCGGTTGCATCCGCGGCGCCCTGGAGATGGTGCAACTGGAGGTGCAGTGCTGGTTCGTGCAGGCAAGTCTTGTGGATTACTCTTATTTGTTCCTTTGTTGTGATCTAATAGTCTTCTGTTGCAGGATCAACTAAAGGGCGACAATGTGACGGAGCTGCGCGTTAAGTTTGTGAGGCGGTTAGAGGAGGTCATACCAGCTGGCGAGGATTAGAAAACCAGTGTAGAATTCTAAGAGTTCTTTCCGAGGGGAGCGTCAATAAAAGCACATTCATTTAGCATCTAGTTATCTGTTCGAAACTGCAATCCACATTCCGCAGCAAAAGCAACAGCAGCAGAAGCAACAAGCAACATTCAAAGGAGCAGCAGCGACGCAACAGCAATATCGGATCGATAAGAATCGTTACAAGTTTAGTTGTATGTTTAATTAGACTTCATACAGATAATATATTTTTTGGGTTTATAAGAAAACAATATAAAGTGTCATAAACTCGATTTGAAATACGAAAGTATTTTTATAAATCACTGCTTGCTTTGGATCTGGGGTAGATAGAAAAAAGATTTCTTTGGAAATGAAAACAAATTCTGAAATAAAGATTTTTCAAAAGACATATTTTTTGGTAGGTATTTATCTATTTGATATAAGGTATTAAGTACATTTATTTAAAAAATGATATATCATCGATGTGGTATTTTTTACATATTTTTCACAGCCCTAGCTTTGAGTGTTTCGCAACACTGGCATTTCAAAAAAATAAAGAAAATATTGTAGCTATACATTTAAGAATTTAAGGCCATCATCTTTGTTGGTTCTTCCTATGCAGGTGCACTTCGACCTATCAGTTCGCCGGCATAAAAGTGCTCGACGATATTGTGGGCGACTTTTGATCCCTTATCCCTTATCTACTCCCAAACTTAATAAAGTTTTTCTGCTTTCTTCGATTTCAAATAGAGTCCCAAATTTAATTAGCAATGAAATACCACATTGTTTTGATATATACCTTATATTTTAAACTTAAAAGTATGCAAACTTAAAACATTATAAATAGATCAATTGTTGATGTGTAAAATTTTGAAATGGAATAGGAAACAAGACTGCAAAACTCAGCAAAGAAAACTTCAAAATTTTCAATTTAAGACACAAATTATTCAAAAGCAACCATTAGGGAAATATGTATAAGAATTCAATCAATATGCCGCATTAAAATACAATAAACTTTATATAATCTTCAAGAGACCTTAGTTCGGCTGGACTTCTTTAATGTGTACGACATACTACGATTTTATTCTGGTTTCCGGTTTTTATTAGCTTTCTGCTTGTCTTTCATTTCCTTTTTTGTACAAATACGGAGCACTTGTCCTTTAGATGCCACTAGAGTAGAATGCAGAGGATCGGTTACAACATGTCCTGAACGTCCAGCCCACCATTCCGAACTGGTCGACAGACTCTGATGAGTTCCCGCCAACGGAGTTTGTAGAGCTGCCTCCGGATCTGACCAATCTCCACCACAGTGCAGCTGGAAGAGCAGTGCTGGATTGTGGAGACAATTCTGGTGTGGATTACTCTTACGTTTTTGCATTGTTGTGATCTAGTGGTCAATTGTGTGCTTGGCTCGTGTGTGCGTGTCTTTGGCTGGGTGTCCTTTTGCAGGATCAACTGAAGGCGACAGTGTGACGGAGCTCTGCGCGTTAAGTTCGTGCGGCGTCTAGAGGAGGTCATACCAGCTGGCGAGGATTAGAAAACAAGTGTGGAAAACATTGGATCAGAGCGCGCACTAAGAGTTTTTTGCAAGGTAATGGGTATTGTCAATAGAAGCATATTGTTTATAGTATTTAGCATGTAGTAGTTATCTGTTCGAAACTTCAATCCACTTTCCGGGGGGAAAAAGCAACAGCAGCAGCAGCAGCAAGTGCAACAAGCAACATCCAAAGGAGCAACAGCAGCGCAGCAGCAATATCGAAGCAATAAGAATTGTTACAACAGGTTTAGTTTTATGTTTTATTCGACTTTATACAAATGATATTTCGTTTGGGTATATAAGAAAACAATAGAAAACATGTTTATGTTCATATTTGGCATGTTATAAAAAGCGTTATAAACTCGAATTGAAACAAGAACGTATTCTATACAGATTGATACAATTGAACCACCCATAAATATAAATGATCTCTTTGGATCTGGGGTAGCAATAAATTTTAGCTGTTAATTTTCATTTAACGTGTTAAATATTAAACAAGTACGAAAACAAGAAAGAGGTTTTGATTAAAAGTAGCTGCTTATGGCACTTTATCAACTGTGGGGTTATACATATAGTATGTATTTATCAATTGGCCAGATACTACAATGTCTGCCATATTGTATTGACTGATAAGGTGGGCATATCTGTCTCCCTACAACGTATTTATGGCAATGTTTTGTCAGCTAAAAGCTGGCCATCTGCTCACCGGAAGCTGCTTTGGGTTCTAGATACTTTGGAGTCTATAATATGATTATAATGGGTTAACTTTTGTATTGTAAGTTTGTAGCGCGGCCAGCTGTAAGCTGGAATCACAATTATTTGAATCGTTTCGCTTAAATGCAATCTGACAATTTTGGTTTCTTTTGGTTTCTTTAGAGGAAAATACTTTTTACAGGCACAATACTTGATTGATTGATTACATGATTGGATTCCGTGGGTTCGTGGACTTGATCTTATAGGTTGTGTGATTAGTGTACATAAGTATATAGTTCTAAGTTTAGTTCTGCTGTGGACAAAGCATTAGATTTAGATTCCGGCGCGTCAGAACTTTGCGTAGAGCTTGCAGCGTTTTAATGCAGATGACCACGCAGCAACCGTTGGCCACGCCCTCCGCCGGACTCTTGCATGTGCAGGCGTTGCCCTTGACGGCGGCAGCGGGCACTGCGGGAACGGCGGCGCTGCTGATGACGGGCGTCTCCAGGGCGACTCTTCCCTGGCCAGAGCAACAGCCAGAAGATGCAGGAGGAGCAGCAGGTGGTGGCAATGCTTTCTGTTTGCCCGAACAGCAGCCGCTTGATTGTGCAGCAGCAGCACCACTTGCACCACCACCGCAACAGCCGCCGGAGGAGGAGGGGGCACTCGTCTTGGTTGCACAACCGCAACCGCTCGGCACAGGATCCGGTTTGATTGGCTCTCCACAGCAGCCGCCAGCAGTTGGAGCTGGCTTGGCAGCTGCACCACCTCCGCAGCATCCACTGCCGCCACCACCGCCGCCGCCGCTGCCCATGGAAGCCAGATTCTGCAGCAGCAAAGCAACATCCTCGATGTTCTGGTTCATTTCCGCCTCGCGTTTACTCACTTTTTTGGTGGGCGCCACGCTGCCGCAGATGCGTTTGCCACCGCTGGAATTCACAGTTGTTGTTGTAGTATTCGTCCTTTGACTCCTTTGACCACCTGCTACTCCACAATCTCCGCCATGACAACTCTTTGTTTGATCACACTTGCAATTGGTGCAATTGCATATGCCTGCATCCGCTGTGATCTGCTTGAGCGTTGGCTTGTTGTCCCGAATGTCCAGTTCCACCAAGCCGGAGGCATCGCTGGGCACCTGGGAAGCCTGCTGCAAGGTGGCCTGCAACAGGTCGCTGTTGTTGTCGATGGTCATCAGGATGTCATTCAGCAGCGACTCCGTTTCCATGTCCTCTTCGTTTTCGTAGCTGTCCTGCTTCAGCAGCTCCTCGATATTTTGTTGGTTCAACTCCAAAGTGGGCGTGGGCAGTGAAGCATCCATTGCGTTGTCCACTTCCATAATCTCCGCTGGCTGTTCACCCATATTTCCACTCACTGCATTGCCAAAGCTCGGCTTCAGGTCCACGAAACTGGGCATCTCGGTGGGCAATGCCACGCAGGCGTCCGTTAAAGGAGCCATGGGAATGATGGGCTTGGAAACCAGGACGCCGGCGTCGATCCACGGACTGGGGATCTCCTCCTCGGCGGCGTAGGACAGTTGATAGGCCTGCGAAGTCTCGGGAAGGGTCAGAGGTTCGTCGCCCTGCAGGATGAACACATTGGACAGCTGATCCGGCGGCGGATGAAGCGTTTGCAGCACAACTCCACTATCCGTGCTCGTGCTTTCCGAGCAATTACTTCCCACATTTAGGGACATCATCTCAGTTGGCTCCTTCTGGAACTCCTCTTCCTCCTGCTCTTCTTGCTGCTGGGGATCCTGTTGCTCCTGATCTTTGGACTTGGACTGCTGCGACTTCAGTGGTCGCTTCTTGCGTCCCTTGTTTTGCAACTGCCGCTGATGTGTTTTCTTGTGGGATTTTAAGCTATGCGATGTGCTAAACGACTTCTGGCAGCTGTCCTCCTGGCAGGGATACGGCTTCTCCCCCGTGTGCGTCCTTCGGTGGGTTTTCAGGTGATGCGAGGCGGTGAACGCCTTGCCGCAATCGTCCTCGGGACACTTGTACGGACGCTCCTGCGTGTGGGTGCGCATATGCTTCTTCAGGTCGCTCAACGTGGTGAAGCACTTCTGGCACAGCTCGCAGTTGAATGTCTCGCCATTGTGCAGGCGCAGGTGGGCGTGCAATCTACGGAAGCGATGATTTTGGAGATTAATAAACCCTCAGCCATTGGTCTATTCCGGGGACTATCGATCTGGCATCGAAGTGGACAATTACTCACCTGTAGCGCGTGTTGAACGCCTTATCGCAGCCGGTCACCTCGCATTCGTAGGGCTTCACCTTCGTGTGGACGCGGACGTGGATCTTCAGGCTGTAGGACGTGAGGAACGCCTTCTGGCATCCATCTTCTGGACATTTGAAGCTGTAGTCGCCTGGAGAGTTGAATAACAAAATAATATATTGTATTATATGAATAAATTACAAAATAACTAAGACCATTACTTTTCTAATTTTTATCCGATTTAAAAGTGGCATAGTTCTATGAATTTGTTATTAAAATATCAAAAAAACTGCATCATTAGTTATTTTATTTTTTATGGGTACATTTTTTTCGAATTTTTATGATGACCCCTTTATGAACCCTTCTTAAGTTTTCGAAAAATGGAAATTAGGAGACGTGGACAAAGGATCTCGTAGAGCCATTCAATAACAAGTACTTTATTTTGTCAACTTCGAATGTAATAGGACTGGACACAATAAATAAATATAATAACTACCTATCTATTAAAGAAAACTCACCTGTGTGCGTCTTCAAATGCGTTCGGAGGTTTCCAATCGTACTATAGCTGCGATAACAGTTCTCGTAGTTGCACTTGTAACGACTGAGAGCCTCATCCGAACTCTGGATTGCAGATAATAAAGGCATTAGATACATGTGTACATTGAATGGGTTCAATTGAGGGGTTACAAGATGTGCATTGGAATGAGACAATTACGATCAGATGGAACCATGCAGTGTTATTCGAGTGATTGGGATGTGGCAAAGCCAAAACGAGTTTCAATTAGGCAGACACTACGCACCGCTAGTTGGTTAACAAAACTTGGTTACACAGCGCCTACAGCGGAATCGTAGGAATCGGAATCGGAATCGGATTCTCCACTAACACTAGGATTAGGATGGCGAGTCGCTACAAAAAGCGTTAGGCAACACTTGGCTTTAGTGAATTCTGATTGGGAGTGGATACCTCGTAGGCCAATGCCATGTGCTGATAGTTTTCGTCGAACCTGGCAGCCTCGTTCTCATCATCATCATCATCAACGTCTTGGTGGAGAACGCCCGGTTGGATGCAGTGGGCCAGCTGCTCGTCCTCGTCCGCCTCATTTGGATTGTACTCATCCACATAGCTGGAAGATCAGATCGAGCGAGGCGTTCAAAAAAACCGGGGGAAGACCAACGAAAGAGGCATACTAAATATCAAATTTGCAGTTGGAAACAAACAAACAGAAAATCGCATTGGGCGAGGCATTTATATTCCACCCGATTTGTGTGTCAGTGGGCCGTTAAGATCATTCATTGTATATAATAATAAACGCAACAAGTATAAATATATATATATGGAATACATATATAAAAACGAATTGCAGAGATTAAGATTAGTGGGGTTAGAGCATCAGCGAAAAAACATCAACAGCAAACAACAAAGTAAGAACGGCGACAAAAACAGCCGTTCTCCGGAGACCTTTCGCTCCTTATTAAACAGATTAATTAATATTTAATGTTGTCATGGTCAAAACACAACACAAAGCCAAAAGAAAAATAGCAGACTGAGGAGCTGGGAAACTATAAAGAAAAGTGAGTGAGGGAAATGGGAAATACAACAAGTGCGTGGGTTCTGAGACGGCTGGCATTCTAACTGACTGTCTGACTGACGGGCAGCGTGCGGCCCCCTGGACCCTTCATACTACATTTCCCACCCATTGGGATGCCCCTCTGATCGCGGGAGTGGAAGAAAAATGAGAAATATGATTGAGGGAACACTACTCATGGCGGTAAAAATAGCCGAAAAAGAAGGCGTCTTCGCCAAAAGGCACAGACCGACCAAATCAACAAAACAACACACAAGGCACGGATGAAAAATTGAAAAATTATTGTACCGCACAATAATGAACAAGTCAAGAAGCAACAACAATTAAGAAAAAAAAAAAAAGAAAAGCGGACTAACCCCATCACAACAGATCATTTGGACTTAAGAACAGGCAATTTTAGTTTATGACTATTTTAATACATTTTGAGGGGCCATCATCAATTAAACGGTGACTGATTTATATTTATATGTAGAAATAGTTAGTCTCTATAAACTGTAATCTTCCTATAACCACTTATTTATAATAATTAAATTTGTCAAACCATATCTATTAAAATTCAAGTAAATGGTTTAAACCCTTCAGCTTTCGTAGCTTATCACTAATTTTTTTTGTTTCCGGAAAATGTATTATTTTTTTGCTATTTCAGAAAAAGACCCTATCAGCAAGACATGTTTTCTATATATTACTAGACAATGGAGCCCTGTGACTCATTTATGATCTTTGCTCTTCTAGAAAAAAAGAACAATAGAAAAAACTATTATATAGAAAGTGGCAAAAAACTACTTTTTAAGGGGGAATGATCTCGGAAAAGAATTTCACAATGTGGTTTCGATTGAAAACCGGCTTCTTTACATCAAGTGTGAATGAGTTTTGGGAAAATTTCGATCGTCTCCGCGTAGCACATTGTACAAATATATATCATATCTATGTATGCATATATCCATCTATACATACATTCTGGTCGGCGATTTTGGGGTGGGGGTAGAAATCTAAATGCGTTCATCGGCGCAACTATATTTAGCCCAAACAAACGTTTTCGATACAATCATCGAGAAAAGTGGAAACTGAGGCATGCAACCATTATGACGCCCATTGCCACACGGCAATATATTGCCACAAAAAGAGGATATAACTCAGTCGAAACGTTTCCTAAATCAGCAATTTTGCAGGTTGGGAACACAAATCAGGCAATTAGCAAACAACTTGCAAGCGATTCGGACAACGCGTTGTAATAAGTGGACATTGGCATGGTAGAAATTTGCCAACAAAATCTCGACAAGGAAGAAATTATGAAAATTCAAAATTCTTTGCTTTTTTCGGGGGGAGCCGAACCAAAAAAAAGTGAAATAAAATTAAAATGAAAAAAAGCCGGACACGTCACGACGACACAGACGCTGGGCAAATGTTTTCATTTTTTGCTCTGAGACTTTTTGTGTGTGGGCAGTGGAAAATTAGCAGAAAAGCGGGGAGGTCGTGGGTTTGTCCCTGGGCGGGGGTCAGAAAAGCGGAGGGCACACCTGACGGCCCACTATAATTGGCCAAAATACGACAAAAACACAGAATCATACCGACAAACATTGTAATCAAAATATGCAATTATTCTACGGCACCCTTCTGCTTTTAAACATATATTTTGCAAATCGAAATTAAGTGATTTCATGTTGTTGTCTCAAAAGGCAATCAAACGCTCTCAAGGTCCCTCATGAAATTAAATATTGGCAAGCCATATATACATTTAATATTTTCTATTTTACTGCTGATTCTCTAGATTTTCTATTTAAACAATAATTTTATCAACCCTCAACTTAAATTCGGAATATTTTTCTATCGTTGTTGTGGTTATTATACATTTAATTAATTAATTAGGCATTCAATGCTTAAAGCTGTTCAAATATTTCAGCAAAAAATGTTTCCTCAGATTTATGATTTATTTTTATTTATTAAATTGACTTCATTTTAAAAATTGTGTGGCAAAAATATGTTTTCGGTATTCATACGTCCATATATACAAAATTTCGGGAAACGCTTTATTTTGGGCAATCTATAAATTTGAAAATTTGAGAAATGAATGCATATTCTTTCTATTATTCACATTATTGTGGGCAGACTACAAACTTGAGAGTTCCAGAAAAGTATATGTATATTTACATACAGTCCAATTCAAAATATTATAAGTAACTTGACCACGTTTAATATCTTTTAAAGGAACTTTTCCTTATAAACAATTAACTAAAGGGGAAAAGAATATGTATATTTACAAACAGTCCTTTTCAAAATAATAGAATTAACTCGATCATGTTTAATACCTTTTAAATGAACTTTTCTTTATAAACAAACAACTAAAGTGAAAATAAAAATCTATTAAAATTCATGCTCATCCAAACAAAGAGTTTAGGCTTCAAGCAAATTATGGAAAACTCATGCAGCGAAGGGAATCCATGCATAATGGCTACCTCGTCTCGATAGTGAAATAAGCTGGGGAGTTGGAATCCGAGCTTCTGGAGTTGTTGTTCACATTTCCCTGGACATTATCACAGTTGATTGTGGGAATCGGAGCCTCGTTCGAGGTGGAGACCATGCTGAGGGAGACCACGGTGGGTGGTTGGACTTGGACGAGCTTCTGGTTCTCGAACTGGTATTCCAGCGTGAAGCAGATGTCATCCAGATTGAACACCTGAGCGGTGCTCTCACTTAGACTGGCTATCAGGGGAACTTCAGCATGGCTGGAGCTAAGATTTTCGGTGGCATGATGGTATGTGATGGGTATGACCGTGATGGGCATGGGCGTTAGTTGGTCCGTGATCTGGAAAACGTGTTCGCCTTCCGCGGCAACTAATTGTGGATGTGCCAGGTGAGTCTGTGTGTTTGGTTGCTGCTCCTGTGGGAACAGGGCACTGTAGCTGTTCTGAACGTCATCTGAGTCGAGGGTTAGACCCAAGTTAAGCACCTGTTGCTCGCCACTGGTGGATTCCGTTGCCTGGCTGCCGTAGATGCTGTAGTTATCGCCGTGGATGATGCCCAGTCCATCTGTTTCAGGTTTTGGTGTGAGCATTTGGGCCAGGGACTTATCGAAATCCAAGGAACCAGCGCACGAGGAACTCGAAACGGCCGGCGGGGAACCGGATAGCGAATTGCGCGACGAGTTCGTCTCATAATCCCGGCTGTCTGATAACGAATTTCCATGACTATTAACCGTCTTCCAGTCGGTTTGATAGTAGTGGTGCTGCTCCAGCTGGAGCTGTTGTTGTTGTAGTTGTTTCTCTTGATCGTTCATTTCGTGTTATATTATTATTTATTCGCACACGCACGTACACAAAAGAACACACCTGCTATATCGCATATGCAGTTGTTGTAATCGCCATACGTATATATATATATATATGTTATTGCAAAAGAATTTAGAGATCGCGAGATCGAAAAGCACACATCCGCGATCGAAAAGCACAACAACAAGATAAGAAACTGTGTGACCGAATCCGAATCTGGCAGATACATTGAGGTTCTGGAAAATGTACTACTTAAGCGAAAGATATACCAACAGTATTCAGAACGGTAAAAATTTAAAAGCTTTGGCCGCGATTCAGCGGAGATTCAAGCCATAGTAAGATAGGCAACATAGATTAACAAAAAGTTAAAAATTTGCACATACATTTAAATAAAAGATCACTAACAAACTTAATGGAAGAACAGAAGATGATAACTTCAAAACACATTTGGAATATTTCTGGTATTCCATAGTAAAGTCATCAATAGCTTAATATACCAAACATACTATAAATTTAAAAATAATGTTTGTTTTCCGCCCTGGTTTCTATCCAAGTTATTCACCTTTTTGTAGGTTTTCACTTTATTGGTATTTTTAGGTATGTTTTAGTATATTTTTCATGCCCAATTCTCAGTCACACTGAGTCCTTCTTTTTCTTTCGTTTCCGGCGAGGTATGTGTGCAAAATATTTTTCTCCACGTTTTTCTCTAAAATAACTGTTAATTTCTCATTTTAGCGGTGATTAAAATATCCATCAAGCAACAGAATGGTGGGTTCTAACAAAAAACCGGCTGTAATTTAAGTGATGAACCGGCAAATAACCAAAAAAAGACGGCCAACGGCAAAAGAAGCCCACGTGCATAGTAAAATTTGTCCACCCCAAAAACAACAATTTATGTGCGGCGTCTAACCTGTGACTCCATTATTCCGCTCGATATTAGATGCTAGCAAAAACTGGCATAAGTGCAACATAAACAACTGACAAGTTGTCGTTTACTCAAAGTGCATCGAAAAAATTAAAAAAAAAAAAGACTGAAATATGAACAATTCTTAAACAGCCAAAGATTTCTGGTTGTTGAGTGTTGAATATGTGAACAAAAGAGTGAATGCGGACTTTTTGCAGTCCCGCCAAAATGTTGATTTACCAATTACAATCAGTTATTGACCTTTTTACCACCGTTTATAGGGTCGCGTACGAACCAAGACGGTGAAGAAGGCCGCTAAGGTCATCATCGAGAAGTACTACACTCGCCTGACGTTGGACTTCCACACCAACAAGCGCATCTGCGAGGAGGTGGCCATCATCCCCACCAAGCCCCTCCGCAACAAGATTGCCGGGTAAGTTTAGTCAGTCATTCAGAGAATAGCGATGCTAAAGAATGCCAAAACAAGGCTTAACTTTTGTCATCCGCTTTTTTCTTTGTCGAATGGCATTTTATTACTAACTGGATACCACAATTGAGAACCGAATAATAACTTTATATTATCTTCCAGCTATGTCACCCATTTGATGGGCCGTCTGCGTCACTCCCAGGTGCGTGGAATCTCCATCAAGCTGCAGGAGGAGGAGCGTGAGCGTCGCGACAACTACGTCCCGGCCGTCTCCGCTCTGGAGCAGGACATCATCGAGGTCGACGCCGACACCAAGGAGATGTTGAAGCTGCTGGACTTCCACAACATCCGTGGCCTGCAGCTCACCCAGCCCAACACCAACAACTTTGGTCGTCGCAACTAAGTTTTTCTATAGCGCGTAGATGGTGATGTTCTGATTTGCATGGAATCACAATAAACAATTTTGTGTGAAGTGCATTTGAAGTGTGTATCTTTGGGTTTGTCTAAAAACAAACTGATCGAGGATTAAAGAAAATTTAAAACAAATTCCAAGTGTGTTTTGCGTGAAACTGCATTTAAAAGTGTAAAGGACACCACTTTTATCTATATGTTCCTCTATTGATTCTGTTCTTTTTTTCGTTACTTAATTGTTGAAGTACAACGCAAAGCTAGTAAACTTTTTAGTTAACAATTTTCTTATGAAGTTATAAGACTTTTTGCGTTTTCTCATCTTTATGATATGTCAGATTTTGGTATTTATTTTTTTTTTTGTTAAGTTAATTTTCATCCTAAAAGAATGCTACAATATAAAGATCAAGTTCAAGTTTCCTAGCAGTTCAACGGAATTTTTTTTAAAATGTAATTTTCGAAAAATAAAGTTTGATTTGTTAAATCTTACTTTTATTTGTTTTCACAAAAGATATAAAATATTTAAAAAATTTTAACGGTCGTTCACTCAATTACAAAACAGTAAAAGTTCTTAAACATAAACGGGCTTTCATTATCTGATATAAAATTTCGTTCTGGCTTTTCCGAACAAAAAGGATTTGTAGTCGGCGGCAGGACAACATTTATGTGGCGATTCGATTGGTTTATAAAGTGAACCATGTCCAGAGGAGCTTCATATTTGGTATATGAAGTCACCACAATGGGACATTTAAGATCAAGTGCGGCCTGAATGGTATCTGGCCAAGTATCTTCGAGAGCAAAACCAGTCGATCGGTATAAACCAGAGTTGAAAAAACAAACTATTAAAAAAATAGTTGATTAAAAAAAATTAATTTTAGAGATCAAATTAACTTACCCAAAGTTGGCTGAAGAAAATGCGGTTCCTTGCAGTAATTGTGATACAAACCATTCTCAAAATAATAGTTTACAGTTCTCTGGGCTTTTTGGCACAAACGGCAGCACCTTTAAATAATATTTTAATTTAATAATAATATAATTGTAAACCTTATGGCACATTATAATCTCACTTGATTTTCTTAAGCTGCTCAAAGGATATATTATTGGGATTAAGTTCTGGTCCAATAAAAACCACATTTAGGGTTTTCACCGATGGCATTATGTGGAGGAGGAATAGTTCCCATTTCTGTAGCATATCCACTTCGAATTCTATCTCGGCTCCAATTAAGTGGAGGGTTAATACCTCACAGTTTCTTAAACGTTCGCAGAGTTTTAGGGCAAACCAGGCAGTTAAGGGTCCTGTGGAAACCTGAGTCAAAGCGGCATATTCGCACTCATTGGTAACATCTGTTGGAATTCAAGAAATATCAATTAAAATCTATTCTAAAGCCCACAGGTAATTTAAATAAATATCTTATTCCTTACTGAAATTAAGTTTCTTCATCATGTGTTTGGTGTTGGAGCAAGCCATAGGTAATTCCCGAAGTATCTTGTTGGGCAGCGATGGCTCCATCCGGCCGAACTTCGCCTGGAACATGATGAAAGCCTTGAACAGTTGATAAGAACCACACCACTTGGCGTGCTCCTTGCTCCGATGACCGGGCTTATCCTTGCAGAAGGCCACCTCGCCGCATCCTCCGCAGATGGCGAGTCGCTGGAAGCGGTTCTCCCGGCACTTGGGTTCGCCACAGATCATTGGAAAGAGGAGCAGCTCCTGTTCCGTGGCCGTGAGTTGGCGATTCATCTCCTTTTCCACCTGGCGGATGCACACGATCCGGTAGGAACGGAACTGCTCGCCACTGAAGTCGCCGCACTTGTAGAACATTTCGTGACCTGCATAACGAGTGTCCCGCCGATAATTGGCCATTAGTGTGATTTATGGTTTGCTGACAGGCTCCTCTCATCTCACCGTTGCGGTCCACCGTTTGGCGCAGGGCGTAGCACAACTGCCGGTGCTCCTGGTCGTCTTTCATGTGGCCACCGCTGCAGTAGTAGCTCAGTCCACAACGAGAGCAGGGTATCCGCTTTTGAGCACACAGGTCCGCCTTGCACAGCTATTTTGACAGAGAAATTCATTAAAGAATATTAATAATGGCATAAATCTTATCTCAAATACTATAGATATTTAAAAAAAAATTTTTATTTAAAAACTAAGCGAAGAAATCTATTTTATTGGATAGAAATTGGATACAACTTTAGAATAAAATTGTAGTCCAAACGCTTTAAGGAATTGTACTACCCACATTGCATAATGAGGCCATAAAATATTGCCTTGGCTTGTAGATGTACTCCACGTACTCCTCCGCCTCGTCATCGGATGATTCCACATCGCTTGGAGGAGCTTGGCTGAAAAGTTTGCCCAGGTTGCTGATTAACGCCGCAGCTGGCAAGTCTCCAGTTCCTATTTTAAAGTCCTATTATTACTTTAACAATTTAAAATAAAATAAACTCCACTAACCCTTTTGCAATTTGGTACCCAAACATTTTAGAAGGTCATCCATTTCCTCAGGTTTTACATCCTTAAAAGGATTTCCGGTTACCTTGGATTCTACTGGAATTTTGTGAGTTTCTGGGGCAGAAGCCACCTTTGGTTTCTTTTCTTCCGTTTTTGATTCTTTTGATTGGCTAACTACTTTAGGTTGAATATTAACTGGCACAGGTTCGTTTATTGGGGCTGTATTATTATTGGCCAATAATTTTCTACGTAATAGTTGCTGAATTAGCCTGATGGTTTCGTTCTCTTTCGAGTTTTCCAACTGAGAATGATCACTTTTCGGTGGAGTTTCCACCTGGAAGTCACTTTTGTCACTTTTTGGCGAAGCACTTTTAGGAGATCTTTCAACTGGGATGTCATTTTTAATGGGAGAAACTCTCCTATTAACTTCATCACTTTTGGGAGCAGATAGATTAAGGTTTTCCTCTTGTTCCGAATGCAACTGGTTTATCTTGTTCCGCTGGCGATTCCGTATCCTTGGCTTCTTTTTATGCATCCCCGACTGATTCATATTTTTTGGGTTTTATGTTATGTCGAATGCAAAATTAGACAGAGCACGTTACCCAATTGAACGAACAATAAAGAATGCGCATTGTTCTTGGTCTGAGATCTGCGATCCGCCTCGATTCAATTGGCCACCAGCCATCGCTTCTCATCGCGGCGGACACAAGCCCAAATGTATGCCCCTTTCTATTTTTGTTGAGCACGGGCCGATGTCTCTGACATCGCCAGACGGTATCTGAATTCGCATCCGAATCTGAATCCGTATGGGTTGTTGGTTGGCGTCCATTATTATTCTCGAGTACCAGCGTTTGATTAATTCTCTGCCTACTAATTGCGTCAACAATCACAAAATTACACTTAGCTTCATTTTTGGTGCTTTTCCGAAATTAAGTTGTCAATGTGGACTAAAATAATAAAACATTAACTACATGTTAAGGATAAGTGAATTAAATAAAAAAATGTTTTTTTAATTGCAGAACCAAAAAATATATATTTTACAGCAAGGGTGTTTTAAAGTTTAGTTTTACATTTAATTTAAAAACCAAAAAAAAATTAATTTTATAAAATTTGCACATTAACTAAACAACTGAATTTGTTAAAAAATGTGTGTCTGAAAAGTTTGCGAGAAATTAATTGCCACATAAGTAACGATGTCCGCATTGTGGCTAATAATTAGTTAACAACATTCCTGTATTGACGTACTAGTTATTAAAAATAGAAAACACTTGTTATACGCCTTGAAAAATCCAAAATTCAGTTGACACTTTGGGTGACGACAAATGCTTAAAAGTATTTTTAAAATAATTGTCTACCAACTACGTAACAAATTTTTCTCAATGCAATAACAATTCCGTAATCACCACAACCAACAAAAAACAGATTGGCTTTGAATTAAAATTTGAAAAACGCGCGTAAAATACAACTATTTTCTGTCAGAAATTCTTGCACAGGTTTCCAACACTATTTTCACCTGCCCATTCAATTCCAAATAAAAACACGCAAGGTATGTATATTCAATTATTTCATTGCTTATCTAAAAATATATATAAGGAAGGTAATTGCTTACAGTTTTTCAAAGTTTATTTAAAATATTTTTTAAATAAAAGACAATAAGAACTTAACTATTCAGAATTTAAGCAAGTCAGATAAGGTAATTTTAATGTAATTTAAGAAGGTTATAGACTATTTTTGTTTCCGATCAAGAAGACACACGCGAGGCTTTTCACACAAGGATGCGTGATTTTTAAGGATTCAAAATGTTACTACAAAGTCAATTGGGCATAAAGTAACCAAGAGATAATAAAAACTACTGTTCATATAAAACCCATCATTTGGGTTTTAATGTTTCATTGTAAAGCAAAAAAAAAAACAGTTTATAAATATGAATTCTCTTTACTCGCACATGAAGAAACAGTTTGTTTTCAAACAATATATTATATATTATAAAATATACATCAAAATCAAACCCTGAAGTACATATGTTATCCTTCTAAAAAGAGATTTAAATTATTTTTTACTTATGCTAACTAAAGAAAAGTTGTAATTGTTTGTGGATTACTTTATGCCACTTCAATAAAACATTAAAATGTTTTAATCGACACCAGCCTATTTTACACACTTAGTCATATCGCAAACGGTATGGATTTAAAATTAAAGAAGCATGATTGATCCCATATCCGTTTACAACTTCACTGGTGGCCATTGGTCAGATCAACACCTCCACAGGCACCTTCGCCATCGGACGTGCTGGAGCTACCATTGCAGCCATTCGAAATTCCGTTCTTGGGTGTGCTGGGGATCTTCAGTGACCTCAGCGATTTCGTAGCGCCCGCCAATCCTTTTACGACACTTTCCTCCTCATCCGAAGAGGCGTCGGACAGTTGACGGGGCGACAGGCGGCATCCGCGCTGGATATATTGCGACAACCGATCCACGGAGGCGAGAATCAGTCCAAGAAACGGTGGCGATGGCTTCAGTGGTCGCGACAAGTACTCCGGATGATATTGCGTGGCCACGAAATACGGATGACCGCTTAGCTCAATGATTTCCATCCTGGTTTTGTCCTCGTCGGTGCCCACGAAGCGCATTCCCTGCTCTTCCAGTCGAGGTACATATTTGGGATTGACCTCGTAACGATGTCGATGACGCTCCTCAACTGTTTTCGGATTTCCATACAACTGACGAATGACACTGGGTCCATCTGCGAAAACCGTAGTTCGTTTGCCCAAACGCATAGTCCCTCCCAATTGTCCAGTATGATGCTCCGGCATATCAATAACCAAAGCATTTCCGGTATTCGGATCGATTTCCGTGGTGTTGGCATCCTTAAGACCCAATTTACTGCGAGCGAATTCAATAACCGCCGCTTGCAGACCCAAACAGATGCCAAGCAACGGCTTGCGATTCTCTCGTGCCCATTGGCATGCTCGGATCTTGCCCTCCATGCCGCGGGAACCAAAACCACCGGGCACCAGGATGCCATCGCTTTCGCACAGCTTCTGCCACTCCTTGTGGTATTTGCTTGGCTCCGTTTGCAGAGTCTCCTCTTCCAGCTGGCACGATTCGATGAATACCAGCTCCAGTTTGCGATTTACAGCCAGGGCGGCATGTTGCAGAGCCTTCACCACCGAGGCGTACGAGTCCGTAAACTTGGTGTACTTGCCCACGACGGCAATGCAAACTTCACGGCGAACAGTCTCTGTGCGACGTGCCAAATCGCGCCACTGCTGCAGACATCTAGAGTTAGCAAAGGATATAGAATTAATACATATACTTAAGATTTAAAAGCCCATTATTACTTACTTGGTCCTCTTGCTCATGTCAATATTAAGCTGCAGTCGCTCGTTAAGGTATTCGATCACTCCGTTCTGCTCCATTAGCAGCGGCACATGATAAATGGAGTTCAAATCGTGTATGCAGATCACCTGATCCGGACCCACGTGACAAAAGTTGCTGATCTTCTCCTTGACCTCCAGGCCAATGGGTTTCTCAGATCGACAGACAATCAAATCGGGACTCAGGCCGCAACCTCTAAGTTCCCTAACCGAACTTTGAGTGGGCTTTGTCTTGGGTTCACCGGTGGCCTTCGGCAACGGAACCAGCGACACGTGAGCCAAACAGAAGTTCTCACGTTTCACGCGGAACTGGAACTGACGGAAGGCCTCCACAAAAGGCATGCCCTCGATATCGCCGATCGTTCCTCCCAATTCCACAATGCACACCTGTGGCTTCGAGGAGCCCTGTACAGGTGTCTGGGCCACACGCTCCACCCATTCCTGAATGGCATCCGTAATGTGTGGAACAACTGAAAACAGAATTTACCAAATAAGTATAATTTCATTTATATTAACTACAATTCTTTGTACTCACCTTGAACTGTTTTGCCCAAATACTCGCCAGTGCGCTCCTTTTCAATGACCAACTTGTAGATCTTGCCCGTGGTTATATTGTTGTCCCGATGCAAAGTGACATCCAGAAAGCGTTCGTAGTTTCCCAGATCCAAATCAACCTCGGCGCCATCATCCAAAACATAAACCTCGCCTGCGAATAAAAAAAATGTTAAGCAATTAATAAATGTTTTATTGTTTTCAACCCCTCCATTAAAAATAAAAGAACTGCAAACCGTTAAATGTTACATTTTTATTTGCAATGTATTTGTGCTTAGGCGTAAATGGCGCACTCCCAGCTTTCCTTGGAGTGTCGCTCAACTAGAAATCAATCAAGTAGCATGGCATGGACACAAAACTAAATGTAATGCTTAAAGTCTAGGCGTATTTACAGTCTTGTGCTTAATCTAGGCTTTCTGAGCTGTTCGACTACTTGGACTCCTCGAGATCCTCCTTGTACAGCTCCTTGAAGATGAGCTTTTGTATCTTGGTGCGTATGCGTAGCTTTTGAGCGGCCGTCAGCTGTTTCATGTACGGATGCAGGCTGAGCAAGTAGTGGTAGTCATCGTCCTCGGGCACCAAAGGAGCATCCATCGTCGAGGAGCCATTGAAGTTGCTGTCCTCCGAGAGACGTGGTCGCTTTAGCTTGAGGGCGGGTATAAGTCCATTGGCATACGAGTGTTGCGTGAAGCTGAGATGTTCCCCAGTACCTCCCACCGCTGTGGATGCTCCGAACTCCTCGTTTCGTTCTTTGGCCGCATGATGAGCTGCTGCCAGAGTGGCGAGCGGATGGTGGGCCTTGTTATAGAGTGGCGGTGGCGACACCGATCTCTTTCCTCCCATTGACGCACCATTCGAGGAGGCAGATGATGCGGATGTGGTTGTTGCCGGGGCCAAAACAGCCGCCGATCCTGGTTGTTGTACTTGGGCAGATGTCGTAGTAACCACCGGTGGTGGAGAACAATGAGCAGCAGGTGGCTCCACCAGCATTTGGAGTAAAGGCGCCGCGGGTGATGGCTGTTGTTGTGCTTGCGGTGGTGGTGGTTTCTTACTCAGATCCTCTGCCTCCTTTTCCAATTCCATCAACTGGGCGCGAAGTAATCCCGCCTTGATCAGAGCATGCTGATGGGCCTCCTCTTGAGCTCGCAAAGCTCCTGTGGCCAGTGGTGTAGTGCTCACTTGGTTCATTTGATGAGCAGCCGGTGGCGTGGGCATTGCCTCCTCCATCGTGGCTTCGCTAGCCTCACCGTCTGCCTCCGCCTCCATGTCCTCCTCGTCGTAATCTTCGTCGCTGTCCTGCAGGCGACGGATTAAACCATTTGTTAAATCCGGTTCCACAACTGTCTTTTCGCAATCCTCGCTCTGCTGGTTAAAGTAGAAAGACTGATCCTGCTCGTTTTTCGGCAAACGATGGCGCATGTGATCAGCTAAAGAAGGTTATTTTATTAACAAATGTATCATATTAATTTAAAAATGTGTATTATAACTTACTTAGAAACAACAAGGCGTAATAGTGCAGCCACTTGGACTCAAACGTTGCCGGATCCACCATAAAATCACCGTTATCCGCTCGAGGTATCCGTTTGTACTCTACCCGAAAGTTATCTCGAAGTCCCTTCCATTTGGCCTTGAGCACGATCTCTGCGAGAGCGAGTGGAAGAACAATAGAACAACTTTCTATCTCAAGCCCTAAGTCATTCTTAGTGTTGCCAACTTAGCTATTATATCGCCCAATTTTATAAGAATTTATTTTTATTTTGCCTTTGTTAAAATTTGTTTTCAATTTAGTTAGTTTTCAGGGCTTAGATTGGCTGGTTGTACTGAATTTGACAAACTGTTAAATTTTTTTTAGCTATGTATGTACCTTAACAATTACAATTTTAATCCCAGCTTAAGCACAAAGGTGGGCAACACTAAGACTTCTTTTTGGCCATATGCTCTACTTACTCGGCAGCTTGTGCGCTCCGCTCAGCTCGTCCCACATCTGCTCGAGGAAGGCCTTGTTGCAGTGGAAGTTGCGGTTCCAGATGGCCGGACGCTCCTCGATATCGTGAATAAACTGCTCCACATTGAGCACAATAGTGGACTTTTTTGGCGCCATGTTAGCACTCAAACCGAGTGAGTCTTTTTTGTTTTTTTTTTTTTGTCTTTTCTTTGTTTCGCGGGTTCTTTTTTTTAATAGGCAGCTCCTGCTGTTTCACTTGTCCGCTAGCTAACGGTGAATGCCAAATGCATGCTCAAATAGCGCACACACACAAGGACACTAATACCACTGACTCACTGAGAGGAGAATAAGAGGAACGAAGAGCATTAGGCCTTGGTCACTGGCCATCCCTCTCCCACTCACACCCAAAACTTAGTTGCGATCCATGACCATCAATGAGCAGCCAGTGCCCTTAAAACTGTTAACACAATAACTTCATTAAGATTCCTGCTATAGCAAAATAGGCCCAAAACGAGCTGGGGCGACAGGAAATGCTGTTCTGCGTTGCTCGCTTTGCTCCGTTCTGCTCCCCAATCGTCCATCTCCCATTCTGCTCCCCCAACAAGAAGAAGACGCAGCAGACGAGGCAGGAAAGAAGCAGCGAAATCAAATTATAAACACGCCAGGCCAGCGAGACAGAGACGGACGGAAAGACAGAGACAGACGGCCGGCCGACGACCAAGAGACCAGCCAACAGTTACTCCACGAGCCTGCCGGCTCCCGCTGCCGCTCTCCCGCTCACGCTCCCGGTTCCGCTGGCTATGGCTCACCCCTTCCCCCTTCCGACAGCACTGCGCTGGATACACTGGGGGAACAGGCGCGTAATCACATTGTTAACAACTTTGTTTTTAAAGCATTAAAAGGAAATTTTTTTATAAAATTCTCTTCAAAGGATTAAATGATTAACATAAAAATAATCATCACTCCAAAATAATTATATCACCTCGAATTACGATTTTGAAATCCTTTCTACTCCCTATTTCCTCCGAGTGCATGGTCTGGCCCCAGTGCATCAGAGTGGATGTGTGTTTGTGTGCTGGTGTGAGTTAGTCAGGCGCAGGCGGCGGCATTCAGTCAGTCATGCAAAAATGTTTGCCGTGCACCGAGTGCGAAATACTAAAAACGGCAGCGTGGAGTGTGGAGATTCAGATTGGCGAAGGGGGCGGAGAGGAGCTTGGGGCACACGGGGAGCGGATGCGGAGGCACAGGCCGCAAGCACATACATACAAACATACATATACACTCATCCATATATATATGTATATTCCAGCGAGCAAAAGCAATTTCTGGCGGCAGCTATAGCTTTGCTGCAGGCAAGGCAGCAAAGTCGGCAGACAAGAGACCAGAAGACCAACCAAGCCAAGCCAGACAAATAATGCGTCACGTTGCGCAGTCGTTAAATTTTCGTTTTCGTCGTTGCCGTTTTTATGGGCAAAAACTGCCGGCGACACAGTGTATGGTGTTGTTTTAGTTGTTGTTGTTGTTGTTGTTAGGTGAGGGTAGAGGGCCAAGAGAGGGGGAGAGTAGAGGGGGGCCTGAAACAGGGGGGCGAAAAGCGGGCTGAAAAGCTGGCCCAGCTGCTATCGAGGTGCTTGGGAGCTGTGGGTAAAACTGCTCCTCTGCTGGTAGCCAAGAATTTCACAAGTTTCGACCCGCCGTGGAAAGTTATGAGGCCTCAAACACACACAAATTGCACACACATTACATACACACACACACAGACAAATGCCAACTGGAAGCTGTGTGGCTAGGAAATTGGCAGCTAAGTGGACTAACACTTGGGGATTTGGAAATCATTTCCTTAACTTTGATTTTCCCGCTTATCAGTCGTGTTGAGCGCAACGAGATAAGACTTCAGGTCCGTTCAACTATTTATAGGTCAGATCTTGCATAAAGTCAATGTATTGATCGAGTGGGAATAGAGAGCACTGCAAATCTTTTTAATACTCCCTCTCTTTTTTGTACTTAACCCATTAGAGTCTTTAACCGGAATCAAGTGGTAACTAACATAAAAATTAAAATATGTAATTTAAACTGGTGGTTTAGTCAATTTAAAAAATAATGTCATTAATGTGTTATAGATGTATAAATTATAGATGTAAGTAAAGCATACCCAGAAAACTGAATTTGTTATCTAAATTTTTTGGTATAAACGATACATCTTTCTTTAAATTTGTAAAAGTTAAATGTATCCTGTTTTTTCACCAATGATTCATAATGGGTTAAATTCTCTGATAATATCCTCTTACGCACCTTTAACTGTAGTCTTCCTTACTATCCGACAAACTCTTTTCTTTTCTTGGGCTTTAAATGTTCCATCTTTTTCCTTTTCTTAGGTTTAAACTCCTTATCAACCCAACATGAATGCTATTGTTTCTTAAACTTTTCACCGAATTCCAAACCGTTCGATTCGCTGTTTTAAACTTTTTTTCTACCTTTGCCCCTTCAAACTTAAATTTTTATGATATCCCCCTCCCGTTTCAACTGTCATTGAAATTAGCTCAGAAATGAAGAGCAGAAGAAGAGTGCCGATAGGCTCAAAAACCCAGGGTTGAGGAAATAAACTATATAGTTTGCTCTATAAAATCAATAAAACACATACGCACGCACACACATGTGCGTGTTCCACTCGCTGACACAAACACACACATATGCAAAATTAGCGCGCCAGGAGTCGCAACTAACGGGATATATGTGGGTGGTTTTTAAGTGGGTGGTTGGGGTGGCTTAGTGGCCCAGTGGGTGGTCGCTTCGTGTGTGTGTGTGTTACCGCCGCAAAGTTTATAATAATCGTAAAGTTTTTTTTTTTTTTTTTTTGTTTTGTGCGCTCGGACAGCGCCGGCCCGTATATTCCGTTATGTCCCGAGAGCGTTTTCGCACGAGCGATGGAAAAGCCGAAATGCGGAATTGCGAATTCCCGAACCAAAATGCGAACCACTGCTGATTGCAGTCAGCTTACAACTGAAATTGAAAATTCAGCAGAGCAAAGTGCGAAGCGCCGCTGCTGCTGTCGCGGCGGCGTTGTTGTCGTTGTTGCTGCTGCTGCCCGTTGACGCGCCGCCACCGCTGCCGCACACAGACCGCTCTGCCGCCCCCCTCGAAGTCCCACCTCCCCACCAATGCTGCCTGCCACTGCGACAGGCTGCAGCCATCCGCCATCAGCCGAAAGCCATGAGCCATGAGCCAGCCAGCCAGCCAGCAGGCCGTGTTCAGAGCCAGGCCCAGTCGTAGTCCCATTCCCATTCGCATTCCCACTCCAAGTCCCAATCCCCGGCCAGGTCCACAAGCCCCCCAAAAAAGCCAAGCGAGCCAGCCAGCCAGCCAACAAAACGTGCCAACTAGCGGCGGCAGCTGAAACGACGCCAGCCAGCCAGCCAGCCAAACAGCCACCAGCAGCAGCAGCAGGCAGGCAGGCAAAATAATATGTATAAAAAAAAAAAACAAAAAAAAAGTACCAAAGGCCGGCTAGGGGAGAACGAAAATGGTTATACACTTCTTATGGGCATCTTAATGGTTATCTATAGGTTCAGTTTTCAAAAGTGATTTTCAGCATTAGTACCTTTGCAGTTGAATAAATATCTAAAAGTCCTACTAGTCTCGTACCGTACTTGCCTAGGATTCTTGGGTTATTTACCAGACAAATTATGTCATATCACTGCCCTAGAACAAAAAGTTTCAGATTTTGAAAGAATAGTAGTATTCTTCAAGATGTTAAGTTACCCAAAGATTTAACAATGTTTCAAAATCGATGTTTTAAGTAAATTTTTTACGGTAAATATAAAAATTCGTCCCTAAATCCCAATACCCCGGGAAAAGGAGAGAGCATGAGAAGCGCACACTGAAACGCAAAAAACGCCAGCGAGGAGGCGCAGGCGATCCAATGAGGAGCGAAGAGGGGGGCATCGGGAAACGAGGGGAACGGAAGAGGAGAGGAGGGGAGCAGAGCAGAGCAGTCAGCAGGCTGGCAGTTCAGTTCAGTTTCAGGCGAGAGCCAAAGCCACGCCACAAGCTTTTGCTTTTGCCGGCGCGACACATACATACATACATACATACATATATAATGTGCGGGGGGCCGAAGGAGGAGGAGGTGGAGAAGCGCGCACAAACGCTAAAAACGGCCGCCGCCATTTGCTTGGCTCTGCTCGCTGCTCCCTGTGTTGTTGCCTTTGCATTTGTTGTTGCTGCTTTTGGGCATATTATTGCCGGCTATCCAGCACACGCACACTTACACACACACACTTATTCAAACACTCACCCATAGTCCACACAAACACATGCGGGAGAGAGCCAGCCGTGCTGTCTGTGTGAGGTGGAGCCGGTGGCCTGCTCTCCTCCGGCTCCTCTTCCTCCTCCTCCTCGTTCTTCTTCTTCTTCTCTTCCTGCCTACTGCATGCGCAGCCAACAACAATCAACGCGCGGAAGCGAGCGAGCTAGCGAGCGAAAAGCATAAACCATGAAGAGCGGGGGAGGGTGGGGGTAAGAGAGAAGAGGGGGGCCGGGGTCGAAGAGAGGAGGCTCGTTAAAATCACGCGACAGGAGGCAGCAGCAGAAGCAGAAGAGGAAGCAGAACCAACGGGGGCGGTGCAACAAACGCCGGGCAAAGCGAATCGATGTGAATTTGGCTGTGGCTCCACGGCTACCGCTCTTCTTCTTCGCTCTTCACTCTCCTCTTCTGTTCTCACTTCCCGCCGCTCCTCTCCCCAGCTCTTCCTCTTCTTCTGGCGCCTGTCGCTCAGACACCGTAAGTGTGAGGTGGGTGGTGGGCGGGTGGAAATGGGGGGAGGCGGTTGGCGTGGTTGTAATATAACGCTATATAATAAGGGGCAAGTGCGATTGGGTAGCCGCTTCGAACTTAATTTCTTACAATTAAGCAACAGACTTTTGCCGGCAGTTACACAATCACCGTTAGCAATTTTAGTTTTTTCAAGGCCTAATCTTAAGTCTAGCTTCACGCTCTTTACGATCTTGCAAAATTGATTTAAAGAACCATATTAAACCACATAAGATACATTTACGCTCAGTTTTATATCAACCGTATATGGTTTCCAGATAAAAGCATCTCTTAGACTTCTTAATGGCGTTAAAACTTAAAAAATCTAAGATTATCTTAATTAAAACCATTCATGTCAGAAAAAGACACAAGCACCTTTTCCAAAAAAAATAACATTTTCATACATATTTTTACTAAGACTTTCGACCAAAGATTTCCCAAACCATAAAAGAGGGAGGCTAATTTATCAAACGGCTACTGTATTTCGTAACTTTCTTACTGCCCAATGTAATTACTTAAAGCGATCCGTAAGCTATGCTTAAAGTTATGGCAAGTGGGCAAACTTTTGACCAGACGGAAGATTGAAGCTTATGAAGCCATAGAATGGACACACACACACGCACACAGACACGTGCGGCCCCATCAGTGAGCCGTATTGTGTGCGTGTAGCAGCAAATGAGGGGGCGGAACGGTGGGAGGCGAGAAGGTGACCGAGGAGGCGGGGTTGGGTGGCAGCCACTCAACCTCAGACGCCAGCAACGCGTAGCAACGGTCACATCCTGCTGGCGAGCTGGAGAGTTCGAGAGCTGCCGCCACAGCCAAATGGTATTTTCCATTTAATTTTTGCACACTCACACACACACAAAAGCTCGCACACGCAGACCATATGTATATGAGTACAGTGAAGCTTCGAAATTAGTAAATCCAATCAAAAACTTTACTTTACTTTTTGGGGAATTCCAAATCTGTTTTCATTTCGCAGATTTTCTGTCAAATAATTGGACGGGCTCCTCAACGTATGCTAACTTTTTGGTTACATTAAAATTAATTTTACAATTTTGTTTTTTTTGTTTTAGTGCGAATATTTCTCTTTAGTATGATACTACTGTATGTGGCGGCACACGCACAAGGCGGAGCAGGAGCGTGAGTGAAAAAAAAAGAAGAAGAGGAGCAGCCAGAGGTGGCAGCAGTAACAACTACAACACAGCAGTAGCAGAGGCCCAAGCATTATTGTCGTCGCGAAACGTGAGCGTAACGAATGCGCAAGCAGAAAGGCAGCAACAAAGCAAATGCAGGCCAAAAGGAGGTGGAAAAGAGGGGAGGCCGGACGATAGGGGGAGAGGGGGCGGCAGTTAATGGCGCACAGGCAAAGAGCAACAGCTGCTAACGATGTTGACGCGCCGATGACGGCCACACAACCAAACGAGCAGACAGAAGAGCAAAGAGAGAAGCGAGCGGTGGAGGAGGACGTAAAGTGCGGAGAGCAGAGGAGCTTGGCTCTTTTATGGCTAAAAACGCTAATGTGGCCAAGGAAGCGCGGGGGGTGGGGGGCAACATGACGGAGCGCAAAAAAGCCCAAGCAACAACAAAGAAGCACTCGGCAGCTAGAAGAAGACACCCTCAAAAGATGGAACGCCGCAGCGGCCAATATGGCGACCCTTGCCATTTCCCACTCCACTTTCCCCCTCTCTTTCTGCCCTCCTCCACACACCCACTCACACCATGAAAATTAACGCAAAACAAATGAAGCACACGCATGTGCCGCAGTCGACGCTGGCATCGACGTCGACGCCAGCAACTCACAAAAACAACAACAACGATGGGCAGCAACAACAAGCACAATAACAAATGAGCAGAATTGCATTTTGTGCAATTCGACCCCCAAAAAGTGAAGCTGGGCGCAAAAATGCAAATGACAGGCGGCAGACAGTAATCCCCTGCGAAGGAGAGCAGCGGAGGGACGGTGGTTGTGCGTTGTGGAAGAAAGATGGGCTATAGGCTTGCTGGCTCTTTCAACTCATCGAAGTTTCATGCGTCTATTTACATTACCGAAAGTAAATTTGTTCTTTTAAAGTATTACGTACAAGATAACACCGAGTTTGACGGCAAATAGGTTGATCGTACTAAACAAGTAAGCGATTTTTTGACCTAAACACGTTTTTAACTTTCATTTTGCTTCACACATGCACATTTATTTAACCACACGTGCAGAGGCCCCTCGAATCGTTCAGGTCAAAGCTGCGTCACATGTCACACACACAAGCACACTCATGCACAAATTGGCTCCCACCTTCCAAAAACACACTCCCAAACACACAGCACAAACAAACGCTTCGTAATTGCATTGGCACGTTGCATAAATAAATTTGTGTGTGTCGCTGCTGCATTTTATTCATTCAACGTTGTTCTTGTTGTTATTGCTGGCGCCATTTTGGTGGAGAAGTTCTTTTTGAAAGGGGAGCGCGGAAAACAGGAGAGTATAAAGGGGGAGTGCGAAAAAGTGAGTGAGAAACACATAACGGCAAGTGAATTGCTAAAAAGTACAATACAAATTTTAATCGACTACACTATTTTTTCAAAGTAATAAATCATTTTTACTCCTATTAAATCAAAATTTAATCAAATAAAAATGTATTATCGCCGATAAAGACGTTTTTATGGTGTTTGCTTATCATAGCAAATGCTTTTTGTGGGTCAGTTTCGCTTAAAACGCAGCTGGCTTCGGATCAATTACAACTTGTTTTAGTGCGCACGTGAGTGAACCGTTTCCCTTTTCCTCAAAAAACACTAAACAAACAGACAAAAGAAAACCCAAACAAAAATAAGAATGAATCGAGCAAAGCAAAGCTAGTGAAACGAAGGGAAAAAAAACTTTCGTTTTCAATGTCAAGCAACAAAAACAATGTTTGCCGGTTAAGGGAGCCTTTTTTACAAGAAGAGAGCAAGAAACAGACAGCAAAAAAATTAAGAGAGTTATTATATATTTTTCTCTTTTTCAAAATAAATTGTATATGCGAATTGGTGTTGCCTTTTAATATTAAGCGCTTCATTTGATTTGGAGCCAAATATTTGTTCATATGTTCATAAAACTTAATGGGTAAAATTTAACATTCCAAAACACGTGCGAGAACTTGTTGTTAGTTTATTAAGAGAAAAAAAGAGAGAGGAGTGGGTCTAAGAAACAG